TTTTGCGGGGTTGAATATACAATGATATCGAGGAAGACGGGAGGATGCGTCAAAAGCCAAAACGATATACTTTGGGACACACCATACGCTTAGCCCGTTTTCTTTTCTGGAGGTTGTTGTCCAACACCGCTAAACACAATAGGCTGCCTTACGGTTCCCTCACCTCACCACTACGGGGTGACGGCAATCGATAACCCAGTTTTCGAAGCCCTTTTGACTGTATAAGTTATTTCGAACCTGACATAATATAAAACTCTATTAGAGTATTTTACCCTTCGTGGGGGATATAACCCGTAGCTACTTACCTTACAATTATTGTTTGACTAAAACATACATTGTCATTCTTTTAAAAAACTTTTCGTGTACATTATTTTGGATAAGTCATTTTTTATACATCATTCATCAGATCCGTGGGAAACGAAACTGACATGGTAAAATGACGCTTCCCGCACGCTAGATCGGTGTTTAATTAGGCATTTTACAGACGGGAGTAGAAAAATTATTTTCATGCAAAAACAACGGCGACAGTCGTACCAACGCAACGGCGAATAACAATCAAAACAACCAAAACCAAAACTTACCTCGTGTAATAAGGTGGCGGGCCCAACAGCAATAAAGAAGAAGAATAACCTAAGGTAACCTCCAAAACGAAGGTTTCTGTTTTAGTTGACGGTAGTAACACGGTCGTAATTTTGTGGTTGCTTACCAGTGCGGCATAATCGGTAAACGACTGCGGTAATTTCATACACCTGGCAAGGCCGCGTGCCGTAAACGGACGCAAAAGGAAATCACCTCGAAAAATGAGCGGGATGAAACGATCGAACGAAAGATGCGAAGGTTAAGCGACAAGTCGTCGAACCAAAATCACAACGTTTCTGTTGAGACAAATTTTTCAGCCGAAAGTTTTCGGTGCCACAAGAGAACTGAAGCGCATTTAACAAAAAGAGACGGCAGTTTTATTACCCGAATCGCCAGCAAACAACGTCGCGGATACTCGCCGCAACGCGACGCAAAAACTATAGAAATTGCCCGGAGAAACGCAGCAAAAAAAACGTATCAATTGTACTCCGCAATTAATCACCGCGGTTCCGCGATTATATAACGAAAAGAAACGCCAAGGTTGGCCGTGAATTCGTTGCTTTTCGATGGCGGCAGCTCCGTTCTATCAAATTGACATCGGCGCGGCCGTCTTGATTATTATATCGGCATTTAAAACCGCATCGATCTTAACACATTAGTGCCCGTTGACGTATTAATACGTTTTTTTCATCCAAAATCTTGTAGCCGTTGACGTAGTAATACGTCATTAATTGTGACAAATCTAGGTGCCGTGGACGTAGTGGTACGTTATTTTTGGTTGTAAATCTAGGCGCCGTTGACGTAGTAGTACGTTTTTTGTTGTCATAGTAAATGTCACATTATAACTGATAATTTAAGAGTTAGCTTGTGTTCTGCAATAATTAACTTACGAATTGACTGATTAATTAAGTAATTTATATATTAATTTAATTGTTTGCCCTGCGATATCATGGAAGAAGACGACTTTGAATTAATTAATAAATGTAATGAGGTATGTGCCGATATATTATCTGAGTTTGAAAATGATGAAGAATGTAACAGCGACGATACAGATTTAGCAGAAAGTAGCAGAAAAAGAAATGTTTTGCCAATTATAAGTGAATCTGAAAGCAGCGATTCAGAAGACACGATATTGGAAAACGAACAGAACTGTTCAACATCAAATTGGTCCCAAATCGATAACGATATTACAGTAAACCCATTTTTGGGAAATTCTGGGGTTAAAGTGTTCCCAAGAAATGCAGAAAATATTTCAGACGTGGTGGATTTGTTTATAGATGATGATTTTTTTCAATTATTAGTAACAGAGACAAATAGATATTATATGCAAAACATGCATAAATATAAACGTGTAAAAAGCACAAAGCAGTGGCGAGATACCACGATAACAGAAATCAAGAAATTTTTAGCTTTGAATATATTGATGGGACAAGTAAAAAAAAATAATGTTAACGATTATTGGACTACTGATCCGTACATGGAAACACCAATTTTTGGTAAAATCATGACTAGAAATAGATTCAGGCAAATACTACAATCACTACATTTTTGCGATAATAGTGCAATCCCTGATGACGCAAGTCGACTTGTTAAAGTAGAATCAATAATGCAATACTTTATAGAGAAGTTTGATAAAGTCTATAAACCAAAACAAAATCTATCGTTGGATGAAGCCATGATTCCTTGCAGAGGTAGAGTAAGTTTCCGAGTGTACAACCCAGGAAAGATTACAAAGTATGGGTTATTAGTGAGAATGTTGTGTGAATCCGACACTGGATATATATGCAAATTTAAATTATATAGTGGCAATGGAGAAACATTGCAAAACCTGGTCGTAAACCTTTTAGATGGTTATGGAAATATTTGGCACCATGTTTACATGGACAATTACTACAACAGTGTTCAGTTAGCACAGAAGTTACTCTACAAAAAGATAAGAATTTGTGGAACTATAAGAGAGAACCGCGGGCTACCACACGATCTAAAAAAAATTACTTTAAAACAAGGACAACACAACTTCCGTAGAAAAGGTGAAATTCTAATACATATTTGGAAAGATAAAAGAGTTGTAAGAATGATTTCAACAATACACCAGGCTCGAATGATACAAACCCAGAAAATAAATCGAAAAACTGGCGATCTGATACAAAAACCAGAAACAATTTTGGAATATAATAAGTACATGAAGGGAGTTGATATAGCAGACCAATACCTTGCTTATAATCCTATTATAAGAAAAACTGTGAAATGGACAAAGAAGGCTTTTATGTTCATATTAAATACTGCACTGTTCAATTCATTTGTTGTCTTCAAGGTTCTGAATCCAGGAAAAAAAATAAAATTTTCATCTTTTTTGAAAAATATTGCGCAAAACTGGATTGAAAAAGGATATGTTCATTCAGAGAGTCCAGGAAATGTATCCAAGAGAGTTTCTCGCGAAGATGCACCAATGAGACTTTCTGCAGACATGAGACAACATAAAATTGTGAAAATTACTAGTTCAGGCAATAAGAAGTTTCCTCAAAAGCGCTGCAGAGTTTGCAAAAAAAACGGAAAAAGGAAGGAAACCTGTTTCATGTGCTCATATTGTGTAATTCCTTTATGTATGGGAAAATGTTTTGAGGATTATCACACAAAAAAAAATTATTAAATCTAAATAATAAATCAATATATAATAAAAATAATTTTTGTTGGTATTTTTTTCTTGTTTTTTTTAAGATTAAATATTTTAAAATCTATTAATCGAAACACTGCACAGAACTATATTTCTATCCATCTTAGCAACCGAGTGAACTATTTTATCATACTACAAAAACCTAAAATTGAGAAATATGTAGCATTGAAATCAAATAGCCCTAATATTATATCCTACTTTAAAATAAAATATGCCGGCTCTCAGCTATAACAACATCACTGAGCATTTTTTTTGTGGGAGGCACTCCCTCCCTATGGGACCGACCTCGGATCCGACCGCGTCAGGCGAAAGCCCCGTCCTCCCTTTACTTAAAAAAAATTCGGCGCCCCTCCCGGTCCCATAGGGCGGGAGGGGGAATTTTTCGAAAGGGACGCCGCCGAAAAATTTTCAAAAATTTTTTTGAGGAGGGAGGAGGAGGGAGGTCGGGTACTTCCTCCCCCGACCTCCTCCAGAACTTTACCGAGTTGGGTCCCGATCGGAACGACGGTCTCGGAGATAGCAAACTTTTTGACCTTTGACCTCCTCAAAACCTCAACAAAAAAATTCGCCAATTGTCGATCTCGGGCTCGACGCGTGGCCTGAGTATAGGGCTTTCGGGGCGTCCGGGTCGGGTCCGCCCCCGACCTCAAATACTCAAAAATCCGACGCTACCTCAATATTGAGGAATTTTTGAGGAGGTAGGGCAAGGCGGCGCTCGACGCCCCTCCGCGACCTCACTCACGCCCCGAGGTCGGAATTTTCGATTTCCGATTTTGGGAAAGTGAAAAACGCGGTCCTTTTTTTTGATCCCCCCTTGTCGCCCCCCGTTTGGGAGGAGATCGGGGAGGAGGGTATCGTAAGAAAGGCCGTTCCTTCGACCACCTCCCGTATCGATCCGAACCCGGCCGGACCTAACGCGACCTTAATCGACGCGTTCAACGACAACATTGAAAAAGGTCATATTTTTGAGTTTTTGAGGTAGGAGATTTTTGAGGGCGGATCCGGCGTTTCCGACCCGAGAAACCCCCCCGTGCCGGTTTCGAAGCGATTCGGCCGGTAAACCTCGGAGATAGCAAACTTTTTGAACTTTGAGGAGGCGCCCTCAAAAAAAACTCCACAGACGGGTATAGGACATGGGCCTTCAGAACGACGCCCGGGTATAGGCGCGTCGACGTAGGTACTCGAATTTTCGATCCGTCCCATAGGAGACGAGACCCTCCCTAACCTCAATACCTCCTCAATTTTGAGGGGCGTCCTTTTTGAGGGTTCCGGTGCGCCTCGGGCCCCTCTACGCGAATATACCGTCCGCGCCCCGATCCGACCTCAAATAACTCCGAAAACCTCGAAAAACCGAAAAAGGGCTACCTCCTCAAAAGCGATTTTTTGAGGTCGCTTCCTCCTCGAGATTTTTTTCTGAATTCGATGGCGAGAACCCCGACCCCCCAGGTCGTACCGTTTCCGAGATAGCCCCCCCGACTTCGCCCCCCTGCCCCCCATCGAAAAAATAAAACCGGTTTTTTCAATTGAAATCAAATAGCCCTAATATTATATCCTACTTTAAAATAAAATATGCCGGCTCTCAGCTATAACAACATCACTGAGCATTGACGGTATTCGGTAGTTAGGTATCAGGACAATGTTTCGGCAAGCGCCGTACGTAATTAGGATTTCTAAACGGCCGGTATAGTGTTAAGAAACCAATTACCGCTTTGGCGTCGCTCCAAAACGCGAGAGCGGAAAAACTCACCAGGAAAAAACGTGCGATCCCGATTTTCCTTTAAAAATATCTGGGCTTCGCGTGTTCCGTTTCAGATCGCGACGCCGTAAAACGGCAAAACAAAAAGCGATCGTAACAAAAAAAAAAAACACACTAATTGCCGATAATTGTCGCGCATCGAAATAAAACGATACACTCCTGTATTATCGAGAAGGCGAATCTCGCAATCACGTGGGAGTGTGGCATCGGAGAAATTGCGAAAGAAGTTGCGTCGCCCGCGGAACGTGACGCACTGCTGCATCGTCGGACGGCGTCGACGGTGGATGAAATGTCAGCGGGCGGCGTTGTCACATCCGTTAAGAAAAAATACGACTTGCCTACGAATCGACGGACGCTATCAAAATTGGGCGCTTTTTTATCTGATCTAGATAACGGAAAATGACGAATAGTTCAAGGAGGTATATGGAAAAACCCGAACGCTTGAAAAATGAAAATAAACATTACCCTTAATCTTAATGGTTACGGGTAATGGTCTGCTCGCCAGGGTGTTCTATAAGGGGCTGCGGTTTTGGAGTAATAAACAGTAATGACGAGGTCGGTTGTAAAAGTATACATTGTTCTGAAATTTTGGTTAGTTCCATAAGCCGCGTCGCTATACCTTAAAAATATACTTTAAAAAATAATGTTTTTTTTTGTTTTTTCGCCCAAAACGCAGCTTCAATTAAATTTTTATTACTACGATGCTGGAGGCAGTAGAAAGTTAAATTTTTGGACGTAGTAGAGGTATCGAACAGAACATTATACAGGGTTGATCAAAACTAATGATTTGCCTACCAGATACCAAAATGGTGAAAAGTGCTTTTTTTTTAAATGGAACCTATACCATATACCTACATCTGATTCCTGAAATAATAGTAAGTTTCGCGGGAAATAGGATTATTTTGGCATAAATTATGTATTGTTTGTTCTGACTCAGGATTAATTTGTCATTCAGAGAGAACCTACAATATATCAGCTCCATGTCAGTACCCTGTAACGTTCATTTCTAAAATTCATTTATAAATTCCAAACTTTTTGTTGTCGCAATAATTTGAATTAAAATAAATTACCTCATAAATTTTACACGTTTTTAGTTAATGTTTTAAGTTAACGCTGAATTCCGATTCAATAACTTTTGTCTCTAAAAAAATTAAATTAAAACAAAAAATTATTTATTACTTTATGACAACACCGTGCCTTCATCAAATACTGTGAAAATCTGAACATTTTTTATTCTAGTTTAATTGTGTTAAATGGATTTTCATCAAGTAAAAGCCACGTCAGTTCAACTTTTTCTTGGTTCTTTATTAATTAAAAATTTTTGGTTACCTACCAGGAACTGTCTAAAGGAAAAGAACAAGAAATATGTAGCAGTGACTGTGACAAGTCAAACTAACCTAGCAAGTATCTCTTAAAAACGACAAGTAAATAGAGTATTGAAATGGATCACGAATAAATATACATATTAATACATAATATATAATTAAAATACACATATGTAATTATTGAACCGTTATTGGTTAGTTTTAGTTTAGTTAGAATTTACTATTCAAATTGAAAAAGATAAAAAATAAATTTAACAAAATAAATAAGAACTAAAAGTTCAGATTTTCACGAAATTATATATTATGACATGACAATTGTTTTTTTTTTGTCTTTATTAAATGCACATCTGAACTTTTAGTTCTTATTTATTTTGATAAATGGATTTTCTACAAGTAAAAGCTACCTCAGTTTTAATTTGCCTCTAAAATTTAACGCTTAAATTTTTTTAAATTTAAAGTTATGAGTTGACCGTCATCTACTTTCAGATTTATGAAACGTCTAGTCGATCATGTTGGAAGTACCTCATCTGGATGGATTTGATAAAATAGTGCAAAGACTTTTTATGATTTATTTAATGTCAGTACTGTGGGGCGAAAATTTTGAAATTTTATGTAATAAAATACTTTGAAGCTTTTATTTTTACAGTCAAAATTTCTACTTTTTAAATCTTAGAAATTTCAAGTAAAAAAACAGCAAAACGCATTCATTCGTATGCCAAAAACTTTTGGCGGTGGACCGATGTTTATACATATTTATTTTTATAAATGGATTCCCGGTATATTTTTACCCATTCCTAATCAGCAGAATACGTTTATAAATATTTATTTTTTTTTATTTTTTAAACGTTGTTAGTGCTCTGGGCAAATTATTTTGGGTCTAATTACGATTGCAAATTACTAAATTATAGGGTATCGTGAAAAAATTAAATTCTGCTTCTTAGTTTTATTTTAACAGGTTATACTGTCTTTTAATAATCTCTTCAGTTCTCAAAGTCTGACTTTTACGAAAGATATAACCGGATTAACCAAGCACCTTCGAAAAGTCCAGTGCGAAAATTTACATCGCAGAAAACAAGTAGGTTAGGTAGGTTAAACGTTAAACTTCTAGTAGAAAAATAGAGACAAAAGATTAATAAAACCATACATCGTAGAAATGACGGTTTTGTCAATGGTTTTTAAAAAGGATCAATAATAATCCAAATTTTAGAACTTCATCGGTAATTCTCACAAGATTGCTTTCGAAAAATCTTCGATGAGCTGGGTAAGTTCGTAGCAAATAGCGCGAATCACTTTTTTATTTTACAAAGAAGGAGCTTCGCGGATTCGTGTCCTAGAGGGACGCGTTGTTTTTCTATGGTGCTCCTGCGCACCACTATGCAAAATCGATGTAATTTGTTTGTGAATACACCCTGTATAAAGTGTCCTTCACATCTCGTCGAACTTCAAAGCTACGGCACACTTCGGTAAATGTTAAAATTTGTACTGATAATTGCAATTTAATCTTGCGAGCCCTGTATTATAGACGAAACCGTAAACTCTCTCTCGACACAGTTTACGATACTCTTCATATCAAATTATCACATCTTTAAAAGTTTTTCATGTATCGCCAATAATTCACCCACAAAGGCGCAAATTTCTATGATCTATTAGAATTTTTTGCCCACAAACGACGTACCCTGTATATAATTCCAACAATGTTCGAAATAGAGGATATAGATCTCCTTAGTTTCCTGGTATCCGAATTTTTCCAATGGAGTAAACGGTTTTCAAAAAACTACTTGTATTCTGAAACCATGCAATACGTGGTAATATTAAATGACGTCATCACGTCTATATTGAGTGCGCGAAATAGTGATTTTCATTTTTATTATTTCAAATATCTCGAACAGTGTATATGATAGACGAAAACCGTAAATACAAAAATTGTAGCCCTTGATACAGCCTGTTTGAACGGATTGTTTGTATGAATTTTGATTTAAGGTTAATAATTTACTCTCTAAAAGAACAATTTTCGGGGTCTTCTAGATTTTTGTCTATAACTAAAACACCTTGTATATAATCAAAAAAATGCGTAAAACAAAAATTATAGCGCCGGGTCTCGCACGTATTACGGACTTCAACTTTTCTCCCAAGTCTGAAATCGGTAGCTGCAAGTTTGGAGTACTTATTATCTTTTTTTATTATTGCACGGAATATCGCGAACACCCTGTACAATACTTAAAAACCGTAAATACAAAAGTTTAAGCTGACTATATGGGCTATATCGTCATGTAAAAGAAACTGACATCTAAAACACAGATTTGAAATTATTGCCAATTTTCAATAATAGGGGGACCCATTATTCAGTTTTTTTTTTAATTTGCGGCGCACCCCGTATATCTTTGAAAAATTGTCAAGAATAAAAGTTTATGGAGTCGTTTCCTCTGCGTCTTCTGGTTCACGAATTTTTCCGGTCTTGTAAACGGTTTTTGAAAAATGGTCTTTTTTGTAGACCCCTGCACACGCGATTTTTATTTTTTTTTAAATACTTCCTGACCCCTCAGCCCTCCCATTTTCCACAGGTTCCGTCCCGGGGCAAAGCTGCATATATGTACCAAATATGAAGTCGATTACTTCAAATTTCGGACACTTATCGTGTTTCATAGCAAGGTCCAAAAAATAGTCGAAAATCACGAAAAAAAAAATGGATACCGGCGTCGGATCAGGGCCATTTCTTATAAGCTTATGTGCCTCGTGGAGGGTTAAAAAGGAGGTAAATTTCAATTTTGTAGCTCCAACGGATCGAAAGTTATTCAGGAAAAAACAAAAGACGAGAAAGGAGAACGGAGAATGGACAGACAAAAAAAATTTTTTTCGACGGTGATCATTTCTGTACCAACGGCGATCCCGTAGGACTTACCGTTACCGAGATATAAAATTTTTATACGAGCGCAGATACTTTCGAAAATTCGATTTCATCGATTTTCGAAAATAACAAGTAACAGTCTCACCATCACCAACCAAACATTTTTAAAACCCGAATAAGAATAAGCAGTACCAAAATGGTACACATTCATATATTTACAGAAAAATGGCAACGGCGCGCTTACGAGATCTCTGGCGAAAAAGGCCGAACCAGGCCGTGTTGAACAACATAAAAAAAAACACCCATAAGGGCAGGGAAGGGAGGTTTTTAATTCCTCCCTTGGGGGGTGACCTTTTAAAGGTCGAAAATGCGAAATAACTGTGCAAGTCACTGATCAGGGACCTTAGTTAGTTAATAAACTAGTTAGGTCACGTGGTAGCATTGTTTTTTACCAAACCCCTGTGTTTGTAAATCGAAAAGAGGTCAGAACCGACGCCATGTCATCAAAATAGACAAAAACTCCAATAACCTTGAAAGGTTTAGGAGAAAAGGTGATTATTACACAAATTGTAAATTTTTATAAATTTTGAAGGGTTTTGTTTTTACATTGCCGCTTGAAACGTCCGCCATTCAACCGGGTTAAAACTCGCGAGAAATTTAAGCCGGGTAAACCATTTAAGCGAGACAACATAGCAAAGCCTTCCACGCATCTGGGTTCTTTGAACTTTATCGTAAACAAAACTCTTAATTCCTTCACTTCCAACTCGGAGACTATAAAAAATACAAGGGCTTTACACTGTTGCACATTTTAACAAAAATTCAATAAAGGCAAAACAAAAGCTCAAAACTCACTTGGTGGCGTAAATTTGCGGGACCCCTCTGAGGGTGTCTCGAAGACGACGGTCCGGAGTGTCCTGGATATTTGTCTTCTCCGATCAGTGGTCTGGCCAGCTGCTGCACGCGTTGGGCCTTGCGCCTCAAACCACGCACCTCAGCTAGCAGTGCCTCATATTGAGACACCGGTAACGACATGACGATAAGAAACTGAGGCGGCGGAATTCAACTGCGACAAAAATGAGTTTGAGATGCGGATTTTTTAATCTCGCAGGATAATAAAACGCCTCCGGAAAATCTTATTGATTTTGCTCACACGATGGGTGTGACTTATCGTGTCGGACGCTCATGATAATTATAAAACCTTTTAACGGACGAAGAGGGTCCAAGTGAGGCGGGGGGGCCGCCGGTTTTAAAATATAGCGACACATTCGGTTGTTTTTTATAAATGCTCCTAATAGGAGCTTCGACGAAAGTGTCATCCAAAGTTTCGCATCATTTACACAAATCGGCGGTAATATAACATATTCAAACGATGAAAAGCGTGTATTACCATGATTCCCGAGCACACGACAGGCAAGAGTCAGTCAACACATTTATTTATCACGAATTACTGGATCGAAAAAAATCTGACGTACTTCCATTTTCTTTTTCTTTATCGACTGGGTTGCCAATCTTCAAAAAATTAATTTTGTTCGGGCGATCGCCGATAAAATCAAAACTCAAAGGCGTGATATTGCTTGTTTCGACAACTACTTATCGCGTTTGTTAGAATCCGATGAATCGCTTAATGGAAATAAAAACAAAGCTTGTTTGTTTTGCAATGTCTTTACGCCTAGGAAGTTCTAGAAACAACCGAGCGTTTTCTTTAGAATATTGGCACCATGTTGACAGTTTCATCACATAACCTTATATTTTAGGCGTTCTAGAACAAAATATTTGAAAATTGAAAATTTCAGACAAAATGGCAATGTTCGGCATAATAGTTTCCGGGCGATTAGTAAGTAGCACACCATGAGGTTTTAAATCATAACTCTGGTTTAAATTTTGGCAGGTCCAAACCGAGTTTCAACAGCTTAATGAGCGGCAGTTTGTAACCGTAATCCCGGACGCTGACAATATCAATCATATTGTCGTGTTCTTAACCGGCGCCATCCCCTTTCCTGAAGGTTTCGCCGGCCAAGGTATGCAATTGACAAATTTTCCCAAAAAAATAATGGGTAACTTTTCCGAATAGTTTATTTCAGCTGGCCTGACCCAAACGCCCCTCCAAATTGGCAGTTGTTGGGGTACCTTTCGAACCAGAAACCGTCGGCGATTTACAAAATCTCCAATCTGAAAAAGCTCCACGAAATGGGTGATTACTCGAACCTGATGTTCGGGCAGTCGCATATAGTGCACAATGCGCAGATAGGAATCAGCATAGAACCACTTTCGAACATTCAGGAAGTGCCGTCGAGCGAATCGGCGGAGGCGCAAGTGACTTTCGCGCAGAAAATGCTGGAAAGCTTCATGAACTTTGTCTTGAGTTACAGTGTTACCCAGCAAAACATGCTACCTAACCCGACCATGACATATGTACCATTGTCTACCGTGCAGAGCTGGTACACAAATTTCGAGCGGCGTTTACAGCAGAACCCCAACTTTTGGAAGTCTTAATCAGTGTCTTAGTGTTTTTGTTTTTAATTTTAAGTCTTAAGGTATATCAAGATCTTTTTGTACAACAGTGAGATAAGTGAAAGTATGCATTTCAATGTTGTATGATATTCATTTCATTAAAATGCTGATAATGAAAAAAAATTGTTTTTCTTCGTATTACTTAATGTTAATAATGTTAAATAGTACAGTTCGATATAAATAAAAACCTATAATATACCACTTCAAAGTAAGTTAAATCGTCTTTTATCCTCACGCTATTATCTCAATGTGCTGTTTTGTTGTTGGTATGATTCCATTTTAAATGATATTCATTTCTTTAAAATGCTGATCATGGAAGAAAATTGGTTTTCTTCATATTACTTAATATTATAAATAGTACAGTTCGACATAAATAAAAAAACTATAATATACGAGACACCTCCACTTTAAAGTAAGTTAAATTGACTTTCATCCTCACACTATCATCTCGATGTGCTGTTTTGTTGGCAAGATTCCATTTTTTATGATATTCATTTCATTAAAATGATGATAATGAAACAAAAAATTATTTTTCTTCATATTATTTAATGTAATAAATGATACAGTTTGAAATAAATAAAAACCTATAATATACCACTTTAAAGTAAGTTAAATCGATTTTTATCCTCACGCTTATATCCCAATGCGCGGTTTTGTAGTTGGTATGTTTCAATTTTGTGTGATGTTCATTTCATCAAAATGCTGATAATGAAAGAAAATTGTTTTTCTTCGTATTACTTGATGTCGACATACATCAAAACCTCTAATATATCAGAAACCTTCACTTTAAAGTAAGTTAAATCGACTTTCATCCTTACGCGATCATCCGAATGTGCTGTTTTGTTGTTGGCATGATTCCAGTTTATATGATATTCATTTGATTAAAATGCCGATAATGAAAAAAAATTTTTTTCTTCATATTATTTAATGTTAATAATGTTAAATAGTACAGTTTGACATAAATAAAAACCTATAATATACCACTTCAAAGTAAGTTAAATCGTCTTTTATCCTCACGCTATCATCTCAATGTACTGTTTTGTTGTTTTTCTTTATATTACTTAATATTATAAATAGTACAGTTCGACATAAATAAAAAACTATAATATACGAGATACCTCCACTTTAAAGTAAGTTAAATTGACTTTCATCCTCACGCTATCATCTCAATGTGCTGTTTTGTTGGCAATATTTCATTTTGTATGATATTCATTTCATTAAAATGATGATAATGAAAGAAAATTATTTTTCTTCATATTATTTAATGTAATAAATGATACAGTTTGAAATAAATAAAAACCTATAATATACCACTTTAGAGTAAGTTAAATCGACTTTCATCCTTACGCTATCATCTGAATGTGCTGTTTTGTTGTTGGCATGATTCCAGTTTGTATTATATTCATTTCATTAAAATGCCGATAATGACAGAAAATTGTGGTTTTAATACTATTTATTGTAAAAAATGGTACAATTCGATATAAATAAAAACCTATAATATACAAAAACCGAGACTTAAAAGTAAGTTAAATCAACTTTCTACTCTCCCTTCCAGACTTATGCCGCCACTGTCTTCAGACTGCGCCAGATCAGCACCCGCGTCGCCGTCGCTGACGACGTTCTTTTTCCAATTTTTAGCGGCGGCCAATAGTTTGAGGTTAGGTCGGGCGGCTTCGTCTTCGGGAAATATATAGTCGAATATTTCTTCCCATCCTTGTTCGACGCCGTCCTCGTCGATGACCTTCTGACGTTTCTTAATGCGTTTGGGCATCTTAGCGTTGACTTGGGCCTGAGTCGTTTCGTCCCCGTGCGTACTCTCGAACTCTTTCCAATTTTCCAGCAACAATACGCGACTCTCCTTTTCGCCCGAGCCTTTGAGACTTTCGTTACCCCTCTCGAACACCCTCCTGGCCAGGCTCAGGTTCGTACCGTCTTCCGAATACTGATTTAGCTCGAACTTGGCGTAAGACAGCCACAACTTCACGTGCAGCGTTCTTTCCAACAGCCTCTCGTACAACTGTCTCGCGTTATCGAACTCCTCCTGGGAGATTTCAAAGTCCAAGTACCCTTTCCACAGCAGCTCGGGCATATCTAACCTGGGCTGGCCGACGGCGAGCTCGTATATCGCTCTAGCGCGGTCCGTGTCCCCCAAAAGCGTCTCGAGTTCAGCGAATTTCATCCACGTCACGCAATTTTCCGGGCCGAACTCCAAGAACTTCTCGTAGAGCTTCCTGCACCTGTCAAACTCCCTCAGCTGGATCTCGATGTCGATGTAGCCCCGGAACAGCTTGTTCCTGGGGCACATCCCGACGGAAGCGCCGAGCAGTTTCCTGGCGGCGCTCAGATTTTTCCGCCGTATTTCGAATTTCGCGAACAGCAGCCAGATTTTCGAAAACGTGAAGATTTTATGGGGCAACAGTTCGAGACACGCCTTGTACACTTGACGCGTGCGCTCGTAATCCGCCGCTTCTAGTTCCTCGAAGAACGCGTAGTTGATCCACAGGTATATGTACCGCCTCCAAAACTCTTTGTCTTTGGTGGGCGGGACGTTCGCGATGGCCCGCTCGTAAGTTTCGCGCGTGACCTCCAAGTCACCTTCGCCTTCGACGAGGCGGATGTAGTCGAACCACGCGTCGTAATTCGTCGGGTTTTCCGCGATTTCCTGCTCGTATTGGAACTTACGTTTCGATACGATCACCTCCTCGATACCGCTCCGGTCTCCATATTTCTTCTCGTGAATCGTGTATGCTTTATACAGCTCCTTCGTTTGGTCCTTGGGTATGTGATCGAGAGCGTACTTATAAATAACCCTCGCTCTATCGTGTTCTTTCTGATTCTCTTCAAATTTGGCGAACGCGATGTACAACTTCTCGTCCATGTATTCGTCGCCGAAGAACTGAATCGCTCTCTCGTAAATCTGCCTCGAGGAGTGTATAAACCCGTGGTTTTCTTCGAATCGCGCGTATTTGATCCAGTGCTTCACGTCGGGATGCGTTATAACAAACCTCTCGTATATTTGCCTGGCCCGATCGATTTCCTTGTAACGCAACTCGAAATTGATATAAGTTTGCCAGGCTTGTTCGTCCGGCTGCCACTCCATCCACCGTTCGAAGACCGCTCTCGCACCCGGCACGTTTTCCAACATCTCTTCCATGTAGGTGTACTTGTACCAAAACTGATTCACTCTCGGTAGTATGGTAACCGCGCGGTCCCATAAATTTCTTGCGTGGTTCACTTGCCGATTCCTCATTTCCATTTCCGTATACTTCAGCCATATCGTGATGTTTCGATGATCCACGTCCAAAGCCCGCTCCCAAATCGACCGCGCCCGTTGGATTTCCTTCTGGGATTCCTCCCATTGCGCGTATTTTATCCAGTTAGAGATCACGGTCCGGTTCTTCCTGATATTGTCTTCGAATTGCTTTCGCCTTCGGAGCTGGTAATCGGCCAGTTCGGCCGGGTCCGAAATTTTTTGTTTGGGGGGCGGCGGCAATATTTCCAAATCCCTTTCTTTCGCCTCCCGCAGAAGCTGCTCCGCGGTTATCTGTATTTCCGCGGGAGCCTTGTTCTTCACCTTCGCCACTTTCGGCATTTTTTGCGCCTTGTTTTCCATTTTAGGGACTTTAATGCGTAAAGGGAAACTGATTCGATCACTTGCTAAGCGGCCCTGTCCTTTTAATGAAGGAATCAACAAGCCACATAAAATTCCTTTTTTTGTAGGTTAAAAACGGAGGCAAGTACTTGTAACTTACTAAAATTAATGCTGTGAATCGACCGTCTCGCCAATCTTGTTCAGTGATTTTGGAATTTTAGTCCATTTTGCTGATTCTTGCTACTGAATACTACGAAAATATACTTCGTTTAGTTCGCTTTTTTTAATATTTTATGTTAGCGAACTAGACAAAATAACAGTAAAACGTTTTTTTTTTAATATATTGGAATAACCTCAGAAACAGTTATCGGTGTTCTAAAATAAAGAACTCTAAGAATATGGAATAACATTAACAAAACACGTAAACAATTCGACATCAAGTAATAAGACAACAGAACATGGCTAATAGCATTTCAGAAGTTCGGATATGAGTATCGCAATTTTCAGACCATGGTGATTTAATCTGTCCGTTTCGCCCTTGATGATTTAACGTTTTTTTTCAATCGCTTTTCTCTTGGTTCGTACTTCGGGTTTAAGTATAATTCAACCTTTTCTTAGTGATTGTGATCGGAAGCGGTTTGGTAATGTTTTAATTTTTTTTTTGAATACAAGTGATGGAACGTGTGTTGGTAATTGACCGACAGAAAATGCCTAACGGATATTATGAAACGAAGCTAATGATTGGATTGAATTTGTTCAGTGCTTAATACTTGACGGAAGTCGGCAATGGGCGAATGATCACAGTAGTTTGCCCATCTGCATTAGTTAAACACATGGTTGGATTGAATTGAGTTGTTGAGTGCTTGCAATTTTTGTTAATTTTTGCAATTAAAAAGTCATGACCGAACGAATAATTCCTATTCAGATAGAAGGACGAGAAAGCGATAATCAACCTGAAAAAGTAGAAGCCGAAGAAGACAATAATTCGATAGCCGCGGACCAAAATGACGACGGTGACGGGGAACAAAAATTATCGGAATCCATGGAGCAATTGGCCGTGGATCAGCCCGTGAAAAAACCGGTAGTTCAAGTGAAGTCGCTCAACACGCAACAGGAATACCTAAAAGAGTTCGACGTTATGGAGAAACGCGACAGCAACGTTTTGCTTTCGGACTATCAGTTGCCCAATGCGGATTCTGTCGAAAAAATATTCTTGATTATCGACAGGGCTCAAGACGAAAACGTTACCCCGTTTAACATCGGAGCGAAGAAGTACACGCCTCTCGCGGCGATCAAGCGGGCCGTGAATATATTTTTAACATTAAAGCACAATATAAATCCACATCATGAATTTGCCATCATTGTCTTAAATGAAAGTGATGCGACGCTGGTTATAAATTTCACTAGTGATCTTAGGAAACTTAAGGAAGCCGTGAGCAAGATAACCGAGTGCGAAACGGAAGATATTTTTAACTTGAATTCCCTGTTCAAAATAATAACGGAATACGAGCTGCCCAGTGTGATTGCCCCAGAAATAGCCCCTTCATATGTGATGAGAGCGATCATTTTCTATGGAAGATCGTACACCAGACCACAACTTGAGCCCGATAGTGAAATCTGCCACTATCTGGAGTATCCCTATTTCACCTGCGACATTCTTATGACCCACGAACCTGTAGAGGCGGGCAACAATTGTGTCCAGATTTTCGAGTTGCTTCAAAATTTGGACACAAAAGGCACCGCTTATTTTTTCCCGGTGGGCAGGGATTTGAGGCGATTGCAAAGGTGTTGCGGGAAATTGTTGGCGCACCCGCTTCAGAGGCCCGTTCAAAAACTAATTAAAAGTTAGGTTAAGTAAAACTTTACAATTTTCTGTATTTGGATTTATTGTTATTATTAAACAATGTTTTTTATGCTCCGCATCGATCGAAACATTATTCCTCAGTGTTACCACAACTTTAAAAATGTTTGGTCACGGCTCAGTGTTGCCACAACCTTAAAACTTTATCTTTGCCCCCGGACGCTACTTTTAGGCCGTCGGTGGACCAATCGACAGCGTATACTTCGTCCGCGTGACCGGGCAAGTCGATTTCTAATTTTCTAGTCCTCAAATTCCACAATTTCAAAGTCGAGTCCGCACTACCGCTGACCATCAGTCTGGAATCGGCCGAAAACGCCACCATATACACGGCCTGCACGTGGCCCCGCAACGTCCCTAGAAATTTCCCAGTTTTCGCGTCCCACAGTTTAATCGATTTGTCGAAAGAAACCGACGCAATCATCCGACCGTCGGGAGAGAATTTTACGTCGTTCACTAATTGTTGGTGACCCGTCAGCCTCGCCAGAGGTTTTTTGCCCTTTTCCGGATCCCAAAGGAATAGGGTAAAGTCGTCTGAACCTGAGACTAACCTACGTGGTAACGATAAACTAGGGTTAGCAAACAAAAAGCAGTTTCGGTAATTCGTCGATCTAAGAAATGAAAGAGACGTCGCAACTCGTTATTTTGTTCTCATAATGCGGCAACTAATATCAAGAATGGGACTGACTAGAGTAGGGAGAACTCGTTAGAGAGATTGTTGATCGGCCAAGGTAGAGTTCATCAACGATATACCGTTTTTACAATCTTTAATGGTTTTGAATTTGGAATGAGTTTCACACGCGCCTGTTGTAAAGCGACAGGGACTATTCTTTTCAGCACGTGTACCACAAGCCAGGGCCGTATTTATGACGTTAGCTGACCATAACTGTGCCGTGCGGACTGTTGTATTTTAAGAGTACAATTTAAAAGTAAGACTGGATTTTTCACTGCATGAACTAATAATAATCGATGCATCTCTACACAAATGCGTCAGCTTTCAGAATTTGTATGCTCGAAGTACCAAAGTACGGTTTTGGAACTTTATTGTGGAATTTCAAATCTATTTTTGAGGGTTACAAACAGAACGAGCTAGGACTGCGGTTAGACCTTGATAAAAATTTATCAAAGTTAAATACCGGATTATGTCGTAAAAACGGTATATCGTTTGGTCTACTCTACCACAGATAAATAAAGGTATGGAAAATTAGAACTCAGTTTTGTAACACTTGCGCACCATAATTATTGTCTTGAAATGAAACATTGGTACATTTAGAATGAGTCGTGACATTGCGGTAATTTTTCTGAAAAATAGATTTTTATAAAAATTTGGCAACGCCGGTCCAAGTTATTGTTATGGTCACAGAATACTAACAGTCTGTATCACAGTTGTTTCCATTTTTTTGTGTTTGGTGATTATCTCTGTACCTTTTTCCTGTTTTTGTGTTAGCGGTCAAAACTTAATAAAATTTTGTATATTTTGGGGATCATGGAGTCCAGATAAAGTAGCCGATTTCTTAAATACATACGTCAATATGCACAGTTCAAATTTCACTAACTAAATATTTAGTGCTTAAAAATGGCTCACATAAATTCAAGGATATTTAGTGCTTAAAAATAGCTCACATAAATTCAAGGATTAAAAAAAAAAGTCGTTTCTATTTAATTTAGAATTTAAGCTAAAACTGGCAACCTCAGACAAAGTGAATGGTTTTATCCCTGGAATCCCCCGCTACTAGCTTAATTAAATAAAGAGAAAAAAAGGTACCTTTCACCGTGAGGTTCTATAACTTCGTAAAACCTTTTGAGGGCAAATTCCTGGGACTTCTTTTTGTCAGAGCGAAATGTATCCTTGTTGGAATCCTTGACTGGGTCGAACGCGCCGATTTTCAGGATGTAATCTGTGCTCAGTGCTAAAGTGTTAACCTGAAATATAACGTTACAAGACCCGACTCAAGCTAAATGAAATTCCATACCCAATGAGCGTGCCCCTCCAAAGTCCTACACAAAACGCCATCCTTCGCCCTCCAAACCTTCACGGTCCTGTCCTGAGATGCAGAATAAATCAATCCTGACCCGCCCCACTTAACCACAGTTACGCATTTGGTGTGACCTGATATTGTTAAAAGCGTGGTGCACAATATAGTGTCCCATACTCTTATGTCGCCATCCTTGGATGAGCTTGCTAGAAGGCTAAAAATTTAACTGGTACTTAGAATGTTATTTTGTCGCCCAACTACTTCTACCGGCACTCTGGGTTTTTGTGATATGGTTCCCAGCTCAAAGAAGTAATCCACTGCTTATGTCCAATCATGGTTTTACCAACTTGGGTGCCCGTTAGGGGGTTCCAAATAATAATCCTTCCATCTTTACAAGCGGAAGCGAGCTTCGCGCTATCCGGAGACCAACTGATGCACAACACCCAATTCTTGTGCCCTTTGCAAGTGTAGTACGGCGTTTGGGTGTCCACATCCCAAAATCTTACAGTCATATCCCCCGATCCGCTCGCCAAATGCTTGCCGTCGGGAGAAAAACTCACCGATATCACGGCTTCCGCGTGTCCGGGCATCGAAGCCGTGCATCTCGTCACTGGTCTCACTTTAAACACAGCCTGCTGCTGATATACTATATCGATGACGTTCTCGGTACTAAAATCGGCGTTCACTATTTCTAGAGTCTTTTGCAAATTCTGCGTTATCTCGGCGTCGTTTATGTAAAACAAATAGGGGACCGCTTCTTCCTGCTTGAGGAGCGCGTTGCAAATCAAGCCGAGCTGCTCGACCGTACAGCTCGCGGGCAAGTCCATCAAATCGCCGACTACCTCTCCAGTGTCATTCTTTAGGCGACACAGCAGCTTCTTTTCCTCGGGCTCTTTTTCGTCGTCCATCGCGAAATTTAAAAACCTCCCGCTGCCAAATCGGTTCTAACCTCAAACACGTCGCCTAACCTTAACCTTCTTTTTAGTGACTGATCTAATTTTACTAGAAACATCAGTTCAGCCGTGTCCCACGTCAATGGATCTCTCGGACGTCATCACATGTTTTACTCGTTCTCCCTTAATTTATACTTGAATGGAACGCAATAAAATTAAATTAAATCATTTAATATCAATTACTTCAATAGACTAAGGCTGTTTTAATTTGTGTCTCCTAATCCATACGATCTTCTTCTTTTTGGTGAATCGCGTATATTAAAAATATCAGTTCAACTCTTCACTGGTCAATCTATCTGACGTCATGTTCTTGTTCTTACTTAAATTATACGAATACTTTGATAAAACGCAATAAAACCATTTTTTTTATATTAAATGACATATATTTCTTTAAGAATAAAGTTGTTTTCCCACTTGGTAGACCTTAAAATCTTCACCCAACCTAAACAATCTCTTCGTTCTAATGACTGGCCTAGTGTTTATTTATTAAAAATGTAAGTTTATGTGATTTAGTGAAACGCAAATTTTTACAATCTTCTTTTTGGTGCAATGTGTCAATCTATGTGACGCCACCGCCTGCTTTACTCGTTCTGGATTACTTTAAACGGATGATTTAGTGAAACGCAGTAGAACTAATTTTATTTATATTTTTACTTAGTTAGTTTCATTTAATAGACAATTGTTTGAGTTGTTTTAATACGGTCTCGAGCAGCTTCTTTTTGTCCCGCTCGTTCTTCTTCAAAACGGTAAACATGTTCTTCTTATCGCCTTCCTTCAACCTAAAAACAGAGTTTAAACGCTTGGCCGTTACTGCGGGGGGGCCGTTTACTTTTCTAGTAGAACGATGGCGGTCTCCGGATGGACCTTTTTATACTTGCTCGTCTCTTGGCCGTAATCGTGAAAGTAAGCGGGCCAGTCCCACGAAATTAGCAAGTCTAAGATTTCCCGCAGCTTGCTGAAATACGAGAGCAACTCGTCCTGCTGCAAGCCCTTGACAGGTTCGGAAGCGGCAAACTCTAAAAACACCGCTTAATTTTTTTTCTAAAGACGCTTTTCAACTATTCCCTACGTTCGCACTGAAGGAGGTCCAAATTAAACTGATTCAAGGCGCCCATGGAAACCTGTTTGGTTTCATTGTTCATCATTAACGCGAACATCGACCTGGCGATGTGCTCGCAGGCGGCCTTGCACGCCACCTGCGCCACTTCCGGCTACAACGAATTTCCCGTAAACACCGCCTAAAGTCACTAGATTGGGTAAGTACCGCAATACGTAAGGTGTTGAACCTTACAGACAGAAAAGACTAACCAAAATTGGCTCAAACATGGCTAAAGTCACTAGATTCACTGACAAAATGTTACTAGATGTTGAGTTCCAATATTACAATCGAATAAATAGGCTTTTAATGCGGTGTCAGCGATGCGGTATCTTCGCTTAGCTTTGGGCTTCGTCTGCAGTTTGGGACATAAAACTCGTGCGTTCAATTTATCTCGATATTTTAAGTTTTTTTAGAGATAACAAAGTAAACAAAAAAACGAAGTGTAGGGTTAGCAGCCAAGTTTTTTTCCAAGTGACGTATAAAAGAAAACTATCAATTTTCTAACATATAAGAACATAAGAACAATTTTCAGGGCTTTTAGATTTTTGTCTATAACTAAAACACCTTGTATATAATCGAAAAAATGCGTAAAACAAAAATTATAGCGCCGGGTCTCGCACGTGTTACGGATGTAAAATTTTTCCGATCGGATGAATCGCTTTGGAGGAAAAGCTGTTTTTTTGGATGCCAAAATAACCACAAAAAAAATTCAAAAATTAAAAAAATATACTTCGCGTTATGTCATTGTTCCCAATTTAAAGAGTCTAAATGCGGGTCCAGAGTTCAACTTCTCTCCCAAGAATGAAGTCGGTAGCTGCAACGTTGGAGTATTTATTATGTTTTTTAATATTGCACGGAATATCGCGAACACCCTGTACAATACTTAAAAACCGTAAATACAAAAGTTTAAGCTGACTATATGGGCTATATCGTCATGTAAAAGAAACTGACATCTAAAACACAGATTTGAAATTATTGCCAATTTTCAATAATAGGAGGACCCATTTTTCAGGTTTTTTTTTTTTATTTGGCGGCGCACCCCGTATATTTTTGAAAAATTGTCAAGAATAAAAGTTTATGGGGTCGTTTCCTCTGCGTCTTCTGGTTCACGAATTTTTCCGGTCTTGCAAACGGTTTTTGAAAAATGGTCTTTTTTGTAGACACCTGCACACGCGATTTTTATTTTTTTTAAATACTTCCTGACCCCTCAGCCCTCCCATTTTCAACAGGTTCCGTCCCGGGGCAAAGCTGCATATATGTACCAAATATGAAGTCGATTGCTTCAAATTTCGGACACTTATCGTGTCCAAAAAAGTTCAAAAAACAGTCGAAAATCGCGAAAAAAGATGGATACCGGCGTCGGATCAGGGCCATTTCTTATGAGCTTATGTGCCTCGTGGAGGGTTAAAAAGAAGGTAAATTTCAATTTTGTAGCTCCAACGGTTCGAAAGTTATTCAGGAAAAACCAAAATACGAGAACGGACAGACAAAAAAAATTTTTTTTCGACTTTGATCAATTCTGTACCAACGGCGATCCCGTAGGACTTACCGTTACCGATATATAAAATTTTTATACGAGCGCAGATACTTTCGAAAAATTCGATTTCACCGATTTTCGAAGGAAATAGAGCCACCGAATATATACATATTATATATAAACAAAAAAATCGTTCTTAATAGAAATATATCCAAACGGAATATAAAGAAGGCAAACACTAGCTTCGGCAGCCTTCTCAAAACTAAGCTATATACTGCAGAACCAACAAATTCGACTACTTCTAAGAACTAAGGTTTTTGACGCTTGTATCTTGCTAATGCGCAGCACAAACATGGACCATCACAAAGAATATTCAGAGAACATTCTAAGAGTCACGCAACATGCAATGGAAAGGGCAACGCTGGGAATATCTCTTAAAGATAAGACGACGTAGTGCACAAACCCCTAAGAATGAAATGTAAAATGTAAAAATCACTCGTGGTTTAGAGACCATACGAATGTCGAAGACCTTCAATAAGATGGACGGATGATTTAAAATTAAAACAGCCGAAATTGAATGCAAACAGCCTATAGCAGAAGAAAATGGAAGAAGGAACTTGAACTTGAAGAGGCGTATGTTCAAAAGTTCAAAACTCTAAAAAAGAATGCTTATGTTTCTGTAACCAGTTTCACTAAAACACTACAATCTATTTTATAGAAAAATGTGTCAGGAGCATCTTTTTCTACTTTGACAACGCACCCGGGATTTATTTGGCAATATCGCCTGAACTGTTCCAATGAATGTAAAAAGAAGTTTCGAGTTACTAGTTTTTCAAAATCAAAAAATCATCGTAACCCATCTCTACGATTTTATAAGGAGTTCCCGTTTCTTCGCGTTTTTTACCATCATTATGTACTCTGCGGCGACACACTGGGTTATGTGCCGGTTTTGGTCGTTAAAGAACGCGGGAAATTCGATAGTGGCACTAGCTCCCTCTAGCGGAACTGAAGTAAGATAACTATATTAAAATACAAATGTGCGAGTTTTATGGTACAATTAATTAAAAATAGTTATTTTTTGATATGGCCCATTATTTCGCCCAGATTCGACGTCCCCTCGTTTTGCCCAATCATCGCCGAAAATATGGCGGTCGAATTGCGGTACTTTCCCAAGCGAATGACTATATAACCTACCGGCAAGGTGGTGAAACTCTGGAAAGTCGTCTGCAAGTACGCGATCATGTCCGATATAAAACTGGAGGCGTGTCCCTTCGGCTCGACCAGCACCCAATCGTAACTTTCCAGCTCCAGAAACTCGTCCAGTTTCTGCTTGAGCTTCTCGCAGATTTGGCGGACTGCGTCCTCCCTCGCGGTTTTGAACATCGCGTGTTGACCTTGGCCGGTCGTCACGCTTCGGCTTTCCTCGCTAACGTTCGAGGAGAGAGTTTGAGGAGATGGTATCAAATTTTCGAAAATCCCGAACGGCGCTCGGGTTCGGGTGGGGGGTGGTTTGTAACAGCCGATCCGTCAACAGCTGAGACGTGACGTATGCGTTGTCGAATGACAGATGTTTAGAGTCGAGCCAGCGATTTTAACAGGAATATTAAATTTGAAACTTATTTAAAATGATTTATCTTACTAAGTTAACATTTTATTACTTTTTTAAACAGGAATTCAGTTAATTTTGAGTAGTAAATTCATAGAGTAATGCAGAACAGAAACAGAGCCCATTAAAAAATAGTTTTTTACGACGACTTTATGTATTATTCACGCAGAAGGTGTAACGGAATGAGTTAAAATTGATTCAATATTTTGTAGTAGCTCACAGGGCATTTTGCATGTTTGGTGCAAAAACGTCGTATTTTATAGACAGGAGTTGCAACCTTGTATAAGAGAGAAAGGAGGTCGAAAGAATATACCCAGTAAACTTGCGACATGGTAAAGAAGTTATTAGTATTAAAAATATTTGCAAAAATGTATAGTACATTACACTGTTCGACTTAAACTATATGAGTATTAATAAATTTTAATTATGTTAATGTAATTTTAGAAATGCCTTACTTCCTTCAACTCAGTATGATACTATACAGAGGTGGAGGCCATCGAATATACCTGTAGAATTGGAAGACTTTAGAGTTCTGGGAGCCAGCGAGTGATCTAGATATTAGTTTCGTTATACAGTTTGGCACAAAAGCTTGGCATAAGCCTCTTTTCCTTCAAGCCCTGTATTAAAGGAATCAACTCATTCGTGATATCGGGCAAATTTTATGACTTTCAGTTCATCAAATATTTTTTCTGGGATCAGCAAATTAGCAGAAAAGAGAACAATCAGTACAAATATGCTCTGCTATACCAATGCAACAATTATTTTTGTATCACCATAAGTACATTTTTATGTGATTCTCGTGTGGCTATGAGAAATTCTTTTGTGTGTTTCCCCAAGAAATGTTAAAAAGTTTTGCCTTTCATCTAATATATACAGAGTGATATTTACAAATCTTTTGAATTCGTCTTACGTCGGTTAAGTTTAACCAATCATCAGCTTCAGCTTAAGCTCTGAAGAAGCCAACAGGATGATTGGCCAAACGTCAGCCAGTTTTATTTATAAACAAACGATACAGGACGAAACCAGAAGATTTGTATGTAGTATTACAGTAGCCCGTGGAAGTTTCCTTGAAAAATTCTATACACGTGGGGTGGTAAGTAAGTTTTAGATTTGAGATAGAGAAAAAGTCAAAACTACTTTAGTAAGGTGCTTGTTCAAACGATGAAGTTGTCATTCATAAAATTTTGAATTTGATTTGATAGGCGTCAACTTTTACGTTAGCCGGTGGCTGTAATAAATAGAGGGCGATAATGACGATAAAATATTCAGAAGGGTAGTCACGGGTTAATAAAAAATATTCTTTTGAATGCGGATTGTAGTATCCTTCGATAAAATTAAGCTTATTTTTTTGGAAATAATTGATAGCTAATTCGTATTCCGATTATACCTATATGTATTATCGACTGTCACATTACAAAGTCTTTCGATTTCGATATAAAAATCACGTCATTCAAAGAAACATCTATTTATCCTTTTCTATTCGACCGTCTGCTACATCCGATCTCTCGCGAAACGAGACTCACCGAGACTTTCCGAAACGGGACCGAACGCCGTTAGGGATTTTCGACAATTTGAACATTCGACCATTTGTAGTGTTCCATGACCTTTCACGAAAACGCAGCGTCTTACCCGGTGATATTCGAAATGAATTGGTCCAAATACACGTTCGCGTCCTCCAAATAGCCCGTGTCGATGATAATCTGGCATATTTTTTGCAAGTTTACGTTCGGACTACGGAACGTCGACGACAGGCAGCCGCTAAACGTCCGGGTCAGCAGCAGGTTCATCGATTTACGAATCATCTCATCCACTTCGACCTGGCTAAAAACGCTTACTTTGTTTGATTACGAGGTTGCATGGTTTTAGGTTGTCCCATGAAGCTACTGTGTCGATAATACAGGAACTGACGCGCAAGATTTAAAAATGTCGCTTTTAACCAATCAGATCGCGGCATTCAACATACCAACATGGCCGCGATAAGTTTGGATGCGGCATTTTTACGGAATTTTCTCAAAATATGTCCAGATGCTATTAAATTTTCATAGTAAAAGGAGTTAGGTTAGTGAATATTCTTGTTCAGAAAGAAAATAGCGGAAAGCACAAGTTAGTGGGTTATGGTGGTTAGTAACGACCTAGTTTGTCGATGTTGCATCAAAAGGTCGGATTAAGTCTGTGTTGGGTAAAATTTTAAGATGCAGAAGAGCACTTTGCATGCATTACGATCACAGTCTTGTAAGAAATATTAGTTAGTGATAAACCTTCCAATTAGGTTCCAGACACAGCTCCATTTAATTTAACTTAAGGGACTTTACATAATCCTCAATTGCGTATTACTACTGAAAACAACGCCTACGTTGAAACTTTAGTAAGGAGAGGTTAACACGGAAAAACGTTGTTTCTCATTCAAAAATTGACGAAAAAACGTGAATGGGAATGCCGCAGTTAAAAAAAACGGCGTCTTCCCATAGTCCTTCAATTACGACCTCATTTATTTTTAAATCAAAATTAGCACTGAAACTGAAAAACGGTTGTTTTCATCAAAGACACCGAACCTTTTTATTTTTGAGTCAAAACTATCACGATTATTTAGAATAGTTGCGCACGCTGAATATATCCATCGTCTTTATCGACGTCAGTTTGACAAACTGCCAGTATTTTGAGGTTATGTGTTGTTATAGTGAACCATTTTTCACGGGTCAGTTTAAGTAAAGTGAAACCTGCACATTATAAACTGTATGATAATATATAGTAAAAATAAATAATTTATTGAAGGACTAGTTATTATCCACATCCAGAGTTGACTTTAAGACAACTTCCTGACGAATTTACCAAAAACCACAAGTTTCGAAACAGGCCTTGAAGGTCCATGCTGGTTTTGGTCTGTTTTGCAGACCGTCAATCCGAAATTAGATGACAATTTTGCGCGTAAGCTTTGTATAATATGCGGTTTGTCAATAACGAAAAAAAAAAAAACTAACCTCAAATTCAAATCCTCTGAGAATTTGAGGCACGCGTATATGAATTCCTTGACCTGTTGGTATACTTTCGGCACCATGCTGGAAAACGGGAAGCAATAGGGAAAGCGCACGTCGTCCGGCAAGTCTCCCTCCCACGGGAACGATAGCAGGATCTGTTCGAACTGCTCCTGGTCATCGATTTTGATCGGCTGAAAGTCCTCCTTGGACAAAATCTCCCTGAATACCTGAACCCAGCGTTGCATCAGCACCTCGGTGTAATGGTCCCTCAACTCCCTCATCAGTTCCCATAGGGGTTTCACCGAATAACCGTAGTTACGCAGCGTCGTGCAGAAAAGCATAATGAGATCTTTTATCCTCAGGATCAATGTGGCGTCCGTGCAGTACGCCTAGAATTACGTAATTCTGGGTTTGCTCGTTGCATACTGATGATTTCAGAGAAGGAAACCCGACAACTGAGGCGATGGAACGTGTTTTATGGGGATAAAATTGGTTCCATCGCTGAATCGGTAACTTTTTATTACAAAAAACGGCCAAAAAGGTGAAATAAGCTCTCGACTTATGCGGTTTAGTGAAGTTTCAAATTTTCTTAGGAAGAGTTCAGCACTTAACATATTTTTTAAGAACGTTTGATATGTGGTCAGTGATGTTTTGAAACTAAGGATCGACCACAGTGGCAAGTGTGGCGTTGCTTTCGGACTCATTTCCTTTGGGAGGTTGTGGCAAAGTGTGTTTTGCAATGGAGACAACAATTCCAGTGAGTTGAGAAAGTTTTACGGCTCTGTAAACAAGAAAATTAATAATTAATGTTACTCCTTATTTTTTTATCAGTGGCGCCATCTAAGGCCGTTTTTCAGGGTTATGTTACGGGTATAAAGTTTCAGTTTCTATGGGGCGTTCGAATCGAACAAGATGGCAAACGTTTTATGTGTGTACAAGACGGGAAGAAATAAAGCTCTTTTAGTACGTACGTTATTTTACTTGGCTACAACCAATATATCGGGGCGATTATACAACAATTATGTCTGGGATTCCGAGAAGGTGTGGGTGGACATTACAATTGTGTGGACATAACACGGGTTTATCAAATGAATAAATGAAAGATCGATTTATTCAACATATCAAGATTGTGGCTAAAAGACGAACTTAACTCATAGAAGCGATGGAGATTTGTTGCACCGGTGAATTGAGGATCTACATCAACAATTTACATAACCATCAGTTTGATGTTGGTGCTGGAAACAGCCCTTGGTGTATTTAATGGTCCAGCACGCAAGAACCCTAGTAAAGAATCTGAACCTTCGGTTAGTTGAGGCGTGGACTAAACTCCGCAATATGAAACTTACATGCAAAGCCGCCGGAAATATTAAAGCTAAAGCTGATGTTGGTTATGGAACATTCAAAAACATCAATAAGCAAACAAATTGGTTGATTTTGTTTATTATTTTCAACCCAGAGTAAGAACTTGTAAGGACAATAAAGTGAAAACACTATAGAAAATATGGAAATGATGTTCTTACCATCCAGCACCAAAGTTGTATGTTAAAAAAACCTTCAAACAGGCTATAAATGTTCTGAGTATGGGTAAGTATTATAATATTTAAGTTAAATAATAAGTTTTTGTAGGGATATGGATCAACAAGAGCATGAAGACGACCAAGATATAAATAATCTTGTCATAGGCAATGGGATGGGGATGCTATAGAATTGTCGCATGCAACAAAGCCAAGTAATTATGATTTAATTCAAATTAGCAAATGAAAAATGTGAAAGCCAATTTTTTACAAAATTCGACTCAGGCGTCACACAATTTTTTCCTTTTTATTTGAAATATCCTGAGAGGTGGAATAATCAAAACGACACTAAGACCTTACTGTACCTATCTGTTTTATTTTAGCATAAAATGGCCATAAATATTGTAGTTTTTTTTTTAACACGAATTTGGCGGGTCTCCCTTAGAAGCAGCTCTTACCGAATGAGTTTGTAACGCCGTGGTTACTTTGGATAAGGCCATGGTCCACATGTCTTCCAGAAACGCTTTCGTTATCAGCCCTCCCCCGGTGTTTAGGACGTGATCTTCGAGAATAAAGAAACCCAAAACCGAATATATGTAATTTCTGTAACTTTCCTCGGATTCGTGCTGGAAATATTGTCAAATAAATCCGAAAACCCGCGAAACACACCCAAAACCAATACCATATTGGTGGGAGGCTGCAAAACGAGGCGCGCTTGTTTGGTCCTCTCTGCCCTGTAATACGTCTCGAATGTCGCCACTTTGCCGAGGACGTGAGCAATATGCAACCCCCGGTATATTGGGGAGAAATCTATCAACTCCTGAGGACTGAGGTCGTCTTCAGAGAAATGGTCCCCCGATTCCGAGGGTTGCCTCAAATTTCTCTTTTTCTTTCTACCAATGACGGTCGGATCGCTAGCCAGCTGCTCGGTGGTGTGCCTCATGGCTACCTCGCCGATTTTGGGCGAAAATTTCCTGATATTTTCGAGAAAATCTTTCAAGTCCGACATCGAAGCCGTCTCTATTTTCTCCCGGTATTTGGGAATTTTCGCTCTGAGCTGATTCGAAAACCGATAGTTCGCCACGTGAGGCAAATGCAGATGCTCGAGCTCTTCCAGAGTTTTCAGAGCGGGGTAATACCTACGCCATGGAACTACCAGACACCATCCAAAAAGTAAACATTGTTCCCTACCTTTTTTCCGAAATTTGTTTTTGCAACTTGGAGTAGGTAACAAACACCGGCAAACACAGATTCAGTTGACTCACGACCGTCGCGATGTTGCTTTGAACCTTCCTCGCTTTCAGCAATTCGGCGCCCGACTTACAAATCGCCTGCGAAGAAGTGTGCAGCTCCTTGTCTAAGCTTACCACTTGTTCCTGTAAAACGATCACGCTTCAAAATCCCGACGAACCATATGGAGGCACTGACGTTTAAGTTTTTAGACTGATATTTCACCACCAGGAGCTCTCTGACCGAGTCAATGAACCCTTGGTAATAAACATTGCAAAGTCTCTCGATGTCTTTGTCGTGGTGCTTGATGCGTTCCTCTAACTTTTGCTTGAATTCCGCATGTTGGTTGTTATCGAAGATCGCCCTGATGCGAGGAAAATCTTGCGCGCGACGTTATTTACTAATATTTCGGTAACTACCTGAACGTGGGACCCCAATATTCGTCTACGCCCTCGATTTCTTGCAAATATAAATCCAGCTGGGCGTCCAAATTGCTGGTGTCCGACGAATACTCCATCTCGCTGGTCTTTCTCGCTTTCGTTACATTTAAAGCGGATTTAAAAATTGACAAACACAACGTAACGTAACCTCAAAATTTGCCAATAAGTGTTCCCAACATCTAATAAAATTATAATGGAACAAACCAAGCGCTTTGATCCTTGCAACGCAATGCTCTAACGGTAATCATACAGGTTTACGTATTTGGTGGATGGGTCATAGATACTGAAATTGGTAGTTGGTGCAGCAATGATTCTTTACTGAATTTTTAACCCGTTGTTGCCAATTACTGAATTATCATTTCTTAGTTCTTTCTCGTTCACAATTTATTGTCGATCCCCACATATTTTTTAATGATCAGGCCATCATTAAAAAAGCTAAAGACATATTTTTGTTGTTTCGGAGTGGTATTTTTTAAATTCATTCAGTTTAAGGTTATTTTTGGTTAATTTAAATTTGTTTTTATTATTTAGAGAACTATAGATTTTATTTTTTATTTTAAAGCATCAAAATAAATATAATTTTGATATAGCTCTGACATTGTTACAATAATTAAATAAAACAATGCCACTAAAAAACCCGTTGTTTTTTTAATGCTTTAAATTTTCGCTAGTGCACTGACATCGCAGAAAATTTGTTGGATGTGTGTGTGGATGTAAGTTTTATTAGTGCATATTTCGAAATCAGTGCGAAAATGTTTGAGATGCTGGAATTTTTGGTAGGGGCTGTTTCATATAATCGCAGCTTTGCTTATTTGTATAATTTCCTGGTTGGTAACACTGTGCGCCGGGATGACATTTGGCAACCGCAGTTAAAATTTCACGTAAACTGCCTTCTAGATCTAGCTCATTTCTTAAATATTCAGGGAGTATTGGCGACACTGACCACATGCGCACCTCTGCGTGACGGCAAACGTCAACAAATAAAAAAAAATCGGTAAAAAGACATCGAACGACTACAGCGCTGCACGGGACGGACGGCAGAGCTCGCTGCTACGGTGCAGCAATTCGCCCTAGGAGACGGGTGCGACGCCATATTTGTTGTCGTTAATGGGGGAGGTAGTGAATTATTCGAAATTTCCGTGTTCGGCGGTCGTTCTGAGTGAAACGGTGGCGGCGACGAACTGACTGGGATATCGGGCAGACGCGGCGACCGTCATGTCGGCGTAAATAGGGCACTGGCCCTTCGAAATTTCGCCTTTACCGTTCGGTTCTTTGTTTCGAAGACTGGCTGGCAACGGGAATGCCCCAGTCGACATCGACGAGATGATCGACTGGGACGTACGGGGCGGCGATCGGTTCAGTTTCGAGGATTCGGACAGGTTCGAGGAGGACTCCATGTGTAGCTGGAGCTCCGAGCCCGAAAGTGTTTGCAACAATTGGCGAGGATGGAAGAAACCGTCGACGAGCACGGCGTCGTTCTTCGGGAGCGGCAAGAGAACCGCCGAAGGTAAATTGAAGCGCGGTCCGATTCACGGGAACTGTTTTTTTTTGCACCGATGTCATTGCCACCGAACGACATCGGACGATATCATATGGACATCATCTGTTTTACGCTCGTACGCGGTCGGTCGTACCGTCGTCGACTTCAACTTCTCTCTTTTTTCGACGATCGCGGGGTTTTTGTTTTCCTTCCGAACGCGCGTGTGTTTTTTTTTGTCATCGTGTTTACTTGACCGAATTTGGGTCAAAAATGCGACGCGTCTTTTTTCTCGACACCAATTGTTGCGTCCGAGGACGTCAAATTCGCGCCTAATGCTTTAATGATTTCTTTTGTTTTGTTTTCACGAATGGTGTCTAATCTAAACATGCGCCTTACCTGTCAAACGCGTTTTGGCCCCCCGGACAATTGATTTGCGGCGTGGAAGTTGTTTGGTGGCAGTGGCGCGTGTACTCATCCAACAATTATTAAAACGATTTGGGTTCTCAAAAATGCTTCTTCTACAAGGTGCGATGTGAACGTACCAAATTTCTGCATTGAAAATAAGCCCTAGTTTCTCATATAAACGCTTCCTTTCCAAATGAAATTCCGAAAAAAAAGCTATTTTTTATCATAACCTTCAAAACCAGGAGTGTGAGGGAGTAATTCAATGTACACCGTGAGCCAAATAAAATGATCCACTATACCGTCTGAAAATCCATAGGAGATACGAAAAAAAATTAAAAATATTATTTTGTTGACACAGGGTGTCCCAAAAGTGTCTGAAAACCATTGAAGATACGAAAAAAATAAATAAAATATTTTAATTTTGTTGACACAGGGTGTCCCAAAAGTGTCGCCCCCGACATCAACTTTATGTTATTTTAAATGGAATACCCTATATATTTCGACATTTTTGGAATCGTTGCCACATATAAAATTGTGTTGTGACGCGACTGATTGCAACGAAAATTTAATCACAGATTAAGGGTTGATACACTACTCAATCAGTTTTGACAGATGCCTCTCAGCTTATACAGGGTGTCCCAAATAGGTGGTGCCGTTTTGGCGAATTCAATTAACAAAATCTTAAGATTTATAAATGAAACACACTATATTTTTATTCAGATATCAATTCTAAGACAAAAAATAAGGTAAGTTTTTATCTTGTTTTATCTTGTATTTAACTTTTACTTTTTGAGATGTTCGAGGTTTAAAAAAATTCGAACCTAAAAAATTAGACAAGAGAATTTTGCATTCAATAGTAGTGATGCGGTTAGAAATGCGGTTTCCAGGATTGTGACGCACTATACATTGTGTATTTCAGAGGATGGACGATATATTGAAAATATATTACAGTATCACCATGTTTAATGTTTTTTTTTAATTGTTTGTTTCTGTTTTTTTTTTGTTTTATAGATTTATTTATTCAAATTTGTTACCTTGTTTGGTTAGCTTATAAATTTCTTTTATTTTTGGGACACAGAGTGTGTGGTGACGTCACGTGGCATGTTCGATTTTAATCTTCTTGATAAGAATTAGTATATCCACTATGACTGAACGACTTATGAAAGCACAATTGAACAATCTGCCTTGATGGCCTCTGATTTTTTTCACCATGAACGAATGGTTTACGTCTTTTTATTTTGTTTCTGTAAAACTTCCTTCAGTTCTGTACCGCTTGAATTACTAGTCCCAGAAGCTGTATTAAAGCATAAACTAATGTTTATACACTGAATTGATTTGCTTCGACACTTATTTTGCCAAGTTTATTTGTACTCCTACAGAACCTTGACCTCTACATTTTTTTAATATGTAATATTTCTTGAGTTTGAAGTACTGGGTTCGATTAAAATATCTTAGGTGGTGGACAAGTCCGCTTTCTGCCTTCTTGGCAAACGAAAATTTTTATGAGCTCTGTTTCTATACATTTTCTCCTAATTTTACTCTCTTGTACGGATTTTTTTTTGGATATTTTAAATTAAACAAATTCCAACAAATCCAATAAAAATTAAAGTTTGAATTTTCGGAGGTCAACCAAATGAAAGCTATTATTTACGATACAACTTCATTTATAAATTTTGAACTATAATTGTTGTTTCCCACATCCTTCACAAATCCGCTGTCTTCTTTCCCTCTTGCACCAACGTTCCTCATTTTAAAAGTGTGCTACTAAAACAGTAAGGCACAGGTAGGTCAACTACACCTGTCCGTTTACTTGCCACTCTCGGGATCCTTGACAATCATTATAAGACCACTAAGTTCAATAATGATTTATAACCGTTGCACAAAAAACTAAAAAAAAACAATGGCTTCCGTCTTTGGGTTTGTTATGTTTGTATTTTTATTTTAAGAATGATATCTTTAAATTATAACGTCCATTTTGTGTATTAACGATTGAAAACGGTTTTATGGCGAAATTATCAAATCGCCAAGCGAAAAAGAAAGAAGAAAGGCCTACGAATAAAGACGAAGTAATAATAATAATAAAAAAAAAATCGCGATGCCGAAAAACATCGACTCGGCCGCTGAGACCGATCGCCTGGTGATGCTAATCGTGTTATTGCAAGGTGCATTAGCCCCGTGAAAGGGTGTCTAGCCTCAGGTAACGTCTGTCCTTCGCTGCCGCTCGCGATGGACCCGACCAGGGCCGGGATAGGTCGAGTACGGCCCTTTGTCGTTCGCACGTCTCTAGTCTCCTATTCGCGATATTGTATCGCGCCCGTTATTATACTGGGTGTTTCGAAAAACGGTCCGCCAATAGAATTTTACGAAACTAACGTGACTTTGGTTAATATGCGTCCTTTCGGACGGTACGGTCCTGTAAAGGGGCAATAAAAATCTTTTTTTTTTAAATTATTTCTCAAACGTTCTAAGGTAAAGTCTGTTCATAGATATAAGAAAGTGACTACTAACTGATACACTTAATATTTTAGTCCATTGAATATGACAAAACACTAAAATAAAAAAATCTTGTAACTATTCTAAATACTCCTGTATGTGGCCACCTTTTTTCTAAACACATTTCCCATACACTCTAATTGTCTCTTAACTCTCTCTAACTCAAAGTTCCAAGACATTATATTACAAGGAGTTCTGTGCACGGCATTTTTTATGTATCCCCAAAAGGAAAAATCCATTAAAGTTAAGCCGGGGATGTTGGCTGTCCAATCCATAATTCCGCCGTTCCGTATCCAAACCCTGGGATAATTTTTTTTAACTTGCACACTATTGTGAAGAGGGGCACTGCCTGGCTGTCATATAATCAGCGCTGAGATATTTAGGGGTAAATCTTTTATATATTGTTATATTTGGTGCTCCGAGAGTTGCAAATAATGATCTTCAGTTATCTCTTGATCTATAAATGTTGGACCCAAAATATGCCCACCTATGACACCACACCATACATTATTTGATTGGTACCCCTGCGTTTTTATTTCGTGTATTTGTCGAGGATTATTTAAAGACCAATATCGCGTATTTTGTCTATTGCAACCCTTTCTTGTAGTGAACGAACTTTGATCAATCCATAAAATGTTTTTTGGTGAGGGGGCTTTTTTTTTAGGACATTTTGAAAATTGCTATAACTTTTTTATTTATGAAAATTTTCGATTCGGATAAAAACACGATTAGGGCAAATTTTAAGGCAGATGCAGTGACGTACTCAATTTTTTCTACAGTTCTTATGTTATTTGTAAATTATAGTTGGCTATGCTCTGTTGCTGTGTTGAAAAAAGACGGAAATATATGGGATTACTGGGAAATGCATATAGCTGTTTAGTTAGGGACATAACTTTTATTCTTTATTGAATGGTTATATAAATATTTTGCATGTGTTGTTCCATTTTTGAAAATTATGGGCAATCTTTCAGAAGGGCTGAAAATCGAAAAACGCCCCATATCTCGGTTGATAGCGAAGATATCGCCATGCGGTTTGAACCTTAAATGTTTCTTCAAAATCGAGCCCTTGCCATGTAAGTGGATTTTGCCCTATAGTTCAGCAATAGATTTTTTCTGTTAAAACACCCTGTACAAAGTGTCTGAAATAAGGTCCCTCTACCCCTTAACTCAGAAAATTGCATAGTTCCATCTCTTATTTTAAATAGAACATCCTATATATTATTAAATTTTAGGATTCTCATTAAAATTTTAGATGTATTTCATGTGTAATGTCCATTTCTTTAAATAAATAGCAAATATTTTAAAAATATATATTTCTAAATGGTGCAAAAACTTGTGTGAAGTTTGTGAACTATTTTCATTATTTATGGATCCACTCTCGGAGATGGCATAATGTAGTGAGATGAAGTGCTCCCTTTTTTATGTACAAATTTCAGCTTTTTTATTGAATTATGAATTTACATTTATTCTAGCTTCTTGTAATTGTTCTCGTTCTATTTTCTTATGAAAAATATAAAATCAAAATTTTTTGGAGCTTAGAGAAAAATTTTGAAAAATATTGTTTTATATTTAGACTTTAATTAAAGATTTCCCACTGGCTATATATATTTTTCATTTCGTAGCTCCTAAAATCATTAAAAAAAATTCCTATAAGGTAGCCTTACTTAATAAATTTTGGATGGATTCTTTTATTGTCATTTATTGTGTGGATATTTTGTGGATATTTTTGATACGTCGCGAATAAAAATAAAATACAGAAATGAAATTAGAAACAACGTAAAATTCCAATTTTTCCAAATGGAATAATTTTATCCGATATGGCATTAAAAGAATAAAAAGACATGTTCGATCCTTTCAAAAATTGTTTTATCAGGATTTCTGCTGTGGATTTTTCTCTTGATATTCTGCTTAGTTAATGCGATATTTTTGTTGTTTTATCAGGATTTCTGCTGTGGATTTTTCTCTTGATATTCTGCTTAGTTAATGCGATATTTTTGTTGTTTTCAATATAACAATTATATAGATCGATTTTTTCATTTGCTTAATACATTCTGATTTTTTAATGAAAAAAATTGATTTACCCCATATGAATGGAATGCCCTGTATATACAAAAAATTATGATTTCAAAAATTTAGATAAAACTATGCAAGTTTTCTATTTAACATTATTTCGTACACATTCAGCTTATGTTTTTTCTTCTATTTCACTATAGGAGATTATCTTATTAAATAATGAATTAAATATATAGAAAAAAAGTGCAAGTTAGCAAGCAACGTGGTAGTAGCAGTTACTAATAATAATTTTGAAGATCCAGTTTTTGGAGTTTTTTGACGTTTTGGTAAGTGGTCTAGTAAAAATAATAATTTTAATTAATTTATTTTATGAGCAGTAACTTTTATGATCCAATCAATGATATTTATGGTTTCAGTTTTATTTCGGCACTTCAAACCGCCGTTTCACAGAGGCGAACCTTCTGAAGGAAGCGTTTTTCGACAACCTGTATATAGGCTTTTTTAAAAATTGCTTCCCATTTTCATTTCCTGTCACAATGTGATTGACTTCGATCTGAAAAAGTGCGATAAATAGTTTTTTTTGTCTAATGAGAAAAAAAAACGCAAAAATATTTTTGCGTGCGTTCATAAAGAGATAAAAATAGTTTAAAGTGGAATTGTTTACTGGAATGTGACGTCACCGCGAACTTGACCGAATCAGGCCAACGAGCTGACATTAGCGAAGAAAAAAAAGGAGAAACTGAAAAATCTGTTAAGTGCGTATTTGGAAAAAATTAATAGCCTCTTACCAGGTAGTCTGATACATTGGTTATAGATATCCGCGCACCTGTATTTGTGTACGCGCCTCGTCCGTCGTGATTTGCAATTTAAATGGCGGCCGATGAAACGGAGACCCGAAAAAAAAATGCAAATGACGACGCCGTGCCATAAACAAATTCCCGGGTTCGTCGTACGAAAAGTAAATAAATAAATTTCGTGTTAGTTCGTCGGATGATTTTTTGGCCCAATTCCCGATTCCCGATTGTTTTTTTGTAGCATTCCGTGCTAAAGTTTCAATGTTCTTAACCGTGCCAGTGTATACTGGGAGTTCGAAAAATGGACAGAGATATTTAAAATTTTCTAACCATGGATCCGAAAATGCAATTTTCAAGAGATATTGTTTTAAATTGGAACAAAAAAGGAACGGTGCGCCGTCATGCATGCAATGAAGCCGACGGCCGTAATTTTCTTTAATATTAAAATTTTCGAACTAATTTTATTATATCAGAGAATTAAAAAAAAAGTTCATAAAACTGCTGGAGTCCAAAGAGTTGTACTTTTAGTGGCTTATTAGAAGTAAATAATAAAAATTGCCACAAAGTCAGTGGCGTGACAATAATATTCCTTAAGATAACCCCGGGGACGGCACTGGAGTGCAACATTTTTATCTAGTTAAAGCAAAATAGATCATTTGTCCTTATAAATGACGTTGCCATATTTGAACAAAATCGGACAAAAAATATTAAATATATTGTTTTTGTTTTAACACTTTTTTTTCGAAAATATCTCGGTCTATTTTTCGAGCACCCTGCAAAATACATTGCTCATAAAGGTAGGCGATTTTGTAAATTTTATTCGCAGATAAAGTGACATATCAGTTGCCCGGCGCGTCCGCCAAAATTCAAGTATCGATTTTTCCCTCATTCCTGGTGTCTTTCGACTTGCAGATCCCCTGACGGTGCCGTCGCTGACGGAACTGGCCGCGAAGTGTGTCGCGTCGCACATTCCGTTCGAGCTGGTGGAGCATGTGTATCCGCCGGTACCGGAACAGTTGCAGCTGCGCATAGCGTTTTGGAGCTTCCCGGACAACGAAGAGGACATACGGCTCTACTCGTGTCTGGCGAACGGGTCCGCGGACGAGTTCGCTCGCGGCGAAAACCTTCACCGTAACCACATGGTCAAGGACCCGTTACAAATCGGTTAGTTTTGGTTAGACCAAACCACCATCCGAAATTGGTACACTAGATTTCACACGTCCATAAGATTTCACGTATTTCTCATTGATTTTACTGAATTCACCGATTTTGAAAAATATTATTTAGATTATCGGGGATTTTTTTTTATTCCATCGCAATTAAAAAAAAGTAAGTAATGGAAAAACGGACCGGGACACTCTTTTTGAAAGAATTTTTGATTTTTTTTCTTTTAATTTTGTTTCCTACTTCACCAGATAAGTCTCGAAAAGTTGTGGTATTCCGCAGTGCTTGGAGTCCTTTAAAAAATAGGCTATAAATCGTGCTATGACCCAGAATTGCTTACCTTGCCACCAGATAGGCGATTTAATTGAAAAAAAACATTTTTACGTTATTTTTTACGTCATTAGATAATCAAACAAGGATCCAACAATCAAGTTAAAATGTACCCTAAAATATGAATAAAAAAACTGATCAAAATTTAAAAAAAGTTAAATGTTGGAATGCATTTCCACTTTACGACTGGTAATTAACGTAAAATTGTCCTTAATTCACCAAACTAAATTTGACTTTAATATTTAGGATGCCAGATTTCGCATTTATATTTATTACTCTTTTTCCAATACGGTCAAAAGTCACATGTTTGACATTTTTCGAATATACCAATACCAATCGCGCCGCCATTTTTAGGTTTTCATCTGTCGGCGAGCGTACAGCAGGGACGGTACAATACCGGCAACCCGCCCACACACAACGTGGCGGTCACGTTCGATCGTCGTCGCATCTCCTCGTGCAATTGCACGTGCCAGTCGACGGCTTACTGGTGCTCCCACATCGTGGCCGTTTGTCTAACCAGAATCCATTGGGTAATTCGCAGTATTTTTAACGCACATTCCCTGAGATTACAAAATTCCATATTCCCATGAACCATGACTTGGATTAGTTACTAATCTGTAATTTCGTTATTTCAAGGTCGCCTCCGGAAGACGAAGGGCCCAGAAACGACCGAAACACACTACTTACGCTTGCGCGTCTTGTTGCCATAGACGTAAGTAGTCTGTTTCGTCGCTTCTGCGCCCTCCGTCCTTCGAAGGAAATCTTGAACAGCTAATAACCGTCAATTTGAAGCAGAGATGCGGTTTCTGCGATGCCAGATTTTAGAATAACCAAAAAACTATTTTGCTTAAAATTTTTTTCACACACTGATTTGATTTTTGGTATATTTTTTCTTTCCATTTGATTTATTGTTTTTGGAAAGGCTGTGTTTATGCACTAGCGAAAAATGACTCAAATTAAAAAAAAAAGACAGAAAAGGAAGAAGCTAAAATGGGGATTAGGGGATAAAAGTTAACCGTATGTGTTATTTTATCACCCAATAGCCACTTGTACGCAACACGTGTGTCCTAAGCGACGTAGCTAGGTTAAGAATCTGTGTTTTTTGTTATTTCAAAATCTTCTCTGCACGACGGAGGACGCAAAAGTAAAGAAAATATATATACTGTAAATGGCCTATAGGTGTAAGTAATGTATTTGTATTGCTATGTCTATTATTATATTTTTATAATTGTTTTTTTAAAGCTGGTGTTTTTTATATTGAAACAAAGTAAAGCAAATCTTTCTAAAAAAATTAATGCAAAGGAAAGGCAGTATGAAATCCATGTTTTCGGTATTTTCAAATACATTTTCTCGGATCTTCTGATGGTAAGAGTAATTTTTGGAAAATCGTTTTATTGATAGTTTGAAAAGAATTTTCCAGTACTCTATTTCACATACATTCAATTTATTAGGCTATTTTTTCTCTCTAATCGAATTGTTGGTTTTGGAAATCTAGTGTTTATAAGAAATGAAGCAACAGTCTAAAACAAAGACACTGAAAGAGAGAAAAGAGATGAGGTAGCAAAATTTCAGATTCCCAACTGTTCAAGTGCATCCCACACGTGTGTCCTAAACCACCTAGTTAAGTAATTTTGTTATCTCAAAATCGGCTTTGGATGACGGAGGGCGCAGAAGTAGCGAAAATACGCTATGAATGGCCTATAGATGTGAGTAGTGTATTTTCATTGCTCCTACGCCCTCCGTCCTCGGAGATCTTGAGCAGCTAATGAACGTCATTATAATTGGGGGTGATTTTTCTTTTTTTTGTCTTATATATAAGCTCTGTCTTTGGAGTTTGAGTTAGCCAAAAAAAAAAGTTACTCAGAATAGTATGCAGAATATCCAAGATGAAAAAAAAAGAAATTTTGGAGGACAGTTTTATTGATTTCCATGCTTAATTTTAAAACTAATTTTGCATCAACACTTTTCATCTACATTTCTTATCTAATTTCTTTTCTCTTTGTTTTATTAATTTTTGCAAAGATGGCGTTTTTTTCACTGAAACAAAATCGAACAAAAATTCTAAGCAACTAAGACAAAGAAAAGTGAGTACGAAAGAAGTGAAGGCCCGACGAAGTTAAACTCCAATTCGGGTTCTAAAATGTTAGCGGCTCTATTTTCATAATTTAACGTAGTTCTCTGCGACCTGGAAAAGTCAGTAAATCGTTAAAGGATCGGGGCAAAGTCACAAAACTTTCTCAGCGTCTGTTGCTTTAACGTGCCCTTTTAACGCAGCCCCACCTGGTGACCCTGAGGGCGCCCGTATCGGAATCGTTATCCCGGCTGCACCGTGAGCAGCTGCAGAAATTTGCTCAATACCTGATCAGCGAGCTACCTCAGCAAATATTGCCGACTGCGCAGCGGTTACTCGACGAGCTGCTAGGCTCGCAGCCCTCCGCAATCAATTCGGTATGCGGGGCCCCGGATCCAACCGCGGGCGCTTCGGCGGCCGACCAAACGTCGTGGTATTTGGACGAGAAAACGCTCCACGACAACATCAAAAAGATCCTGATCAAGTTCTGCGTGCCTGCCCCCATAGTGTTCAGCGACGTCAACTATTTGAGCACGGTGGCGCCGCCTGCCGCCGCCGAATGGTCCTCGTTGCTGAGACCACTGCGCGGGCGCGAACCCGAAGGCATGTGGAACCTGCTCAGTATCGTCAGGGAGATGTTCAAGCGGAACGATCGGAACGCGGTTCCGCTGCTCGAGATCATCACCGAGGAGTGCATGGCGTGCGAGCAGATACTCATCTGGTAGGGACGGCGTGGTGGGGAGAGAGTTTTTTTCTTTGCTGGGCAAAAGTCAAGCGGAGAGCTTCGCTCTGACCGTCGTTATGGATGTCGAACCTCGAAGGAAAATGCAAGTCATTGGCCGTCGAGTTGTGAATTTTACGATACCCTTAGTTTTCGAATTCAAGGGCAACGTTTGGTCAAAATGTGGCATTTGATTGGTTGTACAACTCTATCTCGAAAAAATATTTAAATTGTAATTATAACTGAAAAACATTGAAAAAAGGCATCATTTCCAATATGAGATATTGTATAGTGTGTTTCACGGCTATATGTTTACCGCCAACGGTAAACTGCATTTGGGGAGTTTCATAAGAGGCGATGCTCTATCGATCTAAAATATTTTGTTCGCTGCGACGTTGCCGCTTATTCAAAAAAGTAGCATCGCCATTGACATTTTAATTAGTGGTTTTCGAGACATTTCGACCAAAACATAGTTACAATTAAATTTTTATTCCTGTGTCACTGGAGTAGAAAATTAAAATTTTGAACGTTGCTTGGGGAGGTAGTATAATTTTCTTCTTAATATCGAAATTAGTTCTATATCATACAGGGTTAGTCACAATTAATGATTTGCCTACGGGATATAAAAATGGTGAAAAGTGTATGTTCTTAAATGGAACACCATATCATCATGTATTCTTTCGAATGATGTATCATGGAAAACACTATTCTAATGTTGTTTTAATGAACTTGTTTATAATGCTTAGTTAATGCAACCACATTATAGATAGACCATTCAGAAAATTTATTGAAATGAATTCTGATTTACACCATATGTACAAGAAAAATTTCGTCAGAATTTAGCCTACTTAAAAATTAAAATTGCCCATATAAAAATGAATCCAATTTTTTGCATTAGGTGTTCGAAGTGTTCACCATTGCAGTCTAAACACTTTAAAATCCGTTGAAGTGGACTGAGCATAGTTGATATTTTTCGTCCGGTCTCTCCAATGTATTCTTTTTTTTTATATTTATAATATTTGAACTCGATTTTAAGATATTTAAGACAACCTATATTATTAAGAATATGAATTCTTTGGGTTTGCATATGTATTGACGGAAAAAATCGCGACCGCAGGTGGTTCAACACGAAAGTGGCGCTGCTGAGCGGCGGCTCGAGTCACGGGGGCAGCGGCGGCGGCAAACACAACAACATCAACAGCAACACGCACGCGTCCCAACACGCAGGCTCGTCGCTGTGCGACGAGGTTGTCGTATTATGGCGTCTCGCCGCCCTCAACCCCGGCCTCGCGCCCTCCGAACGCGACATGCTCCATAACCAGTTCACCACGTGGCAGAATAAGATCAAGGAGAAGGTGACCAAGTGCCGCAACACGACCGCCACGTCCACATCGAGCTACTACAAGAATTCCAGCACGCTGAAAGCGGACTTCGAGATCTTCACCGGGTTCCGGCCCGCGATCGAAGCGTGCTACCTCGACTGGGAGGATTACCCGATGCCCGGCATCACCTACACCTCAGACATTAACCCCATGTACCATTGTCCGTTCACTTGTTTCCGGCACGGGCCTGACAGCAGCCGCGGCGAGACCCAGGTGACGCAGGTTAACTCGAGCAAGGCGGTGCTCAACTGCGAGCCCCTCCACGCGGCTGCGCACTCGCACCACCACGCCCACCACCGTCACCATCGGCACCCGTTTCGAGCCCACCATCGTTTCGATTACGTCAACGTGATGAGTATGAACCCGGTCGAGTACCCGCCCCATCCCCACCTCTCGCAGCTCGGGGAACGAGACGGCAACAGGTCGAGCGTCAGCAGCGAAGGCTTTTGCGAGGTAAAGGACCCCTCCCAATTCCGTCCATTTTACTCCAAACTTTATAATACAAAGAAAATGGATAGAATATAATATAACACTGCGCTTATGTACTCGCCAAGCCACTTCAGCGATTATTTAATCTCTGTCTTCAGTACAGCCGCATTCCTGAGTCGTGGAAAACTCCCAGAGTTTGCCCAGTTCATAAGAAATCAGACAAGAATGTCATCAGTAATTATAGACCCATCTCGATAATATGGTTCCGCGGTTTTACCTTCCTACCGCGACGACTAGTGTCTTGAAGTTCTCTCCCTTATATAATATGTGCAACGTTTCCAACCGTACTGTTGTGACTAGTCTTATTGCAATTTCGTTGCCTTCGCAGTTGATTAATTTCCTTCATTAGTATTTTTCTTATGTTCATTTTGTTGCGGATCATCTTTTTTGCAATATTAGTGTATTTGGGTGGTGGTGTTTATATTAAATGTTAAATGTAGCTGGTGTTCTCCTGCTCTATAATTGGGTTTGATCCTGTTGAGCAGTGTATGTAAACAAATAAACAAATAAATACATAATAAGGCTATAGACTAAAGACACAGCAACAAGAGGCTTATTTATTATGAAAAAGTCCAAAAACTAATCGTGTAAAAGGTTCGATATAGCAACAAGTTCATCGTTGTGATTATGTCCGTTTTTTGTTTACTTTTTTTGGCGTGTTTGTGGAAGAAAGCTAGTAGGTTCAGTAAGTATATACCACTTTTTAAACCGAAAATTGGACGCAGAACAGACCTACTGGCGAGACGCTACAAAGGGTCTCTGTAGAAAATTTTAATTTATTAAATAATAGATTAGTTAATTATATTAAATTTGTTCAAAATGTGTTTCATTCGCTTGGAAGATGGACGACGACAAGTGAACTGCTACAACGACTATTTTTGTAGAAAAATGTTTTCGAATGCAGACGGCATAATTCTGCTACACGTGAGCTGCTACAACGATTGTCTCTGTAGAAAATTTATTACGAAAACCATGTAGGCGTTTTGAGAAAACATTACATTTGTGTAAAAAGTTATTAAGTAGATGGTTGTGTTCCAAGGTGAATAATGACATGACTCTGCCACAACGCCTGTCGCTGTAGAAAATTTATTATGGAAACCACCGCTGATAGATTGTCCGTTTCTAAATTTTCCGGCATGATTCACCACTTGTTAAACCGAAAATGACACGCAGAACAAACCTACTGGTGAGACGCTACAAAGGGTCTCTGTAGAAAATTTTAATTTATTAAATAATAGATTAGTTAATTATATTAAATTTGTTCAAAATGTGTTTCATTCGCTTGGAAGATGGACGACGACAAGTAAACTGCTACAACGACTATTTTTGTAGAAAAATGTTTTCGAATGCAGACGGCATAATTCTGCTACACGTGAGCTGCTACAACGATTGTCTCTGTAGAAAATTTATTACGAAAACCATGTAGCCGTTTTGAGAAAACCTTACATGTGTTTAAAAAGTTATTAAGTAGATGGTTGTGTTCCAAGGTGAATAACGACATGACCCTGCTACAACGCCTATCGCTGTAGAGAATTTATTATGGAAACCATGTTGGTGTTTTGAGAAAAATTAAAATTTGGTTTAAATGTTATTAAGTAGATCGCTGTTTTCAAATGTGGGCGACATAAACTTGCTGCAAGTAAGCTACTACAACGACTGTCTCTGTAGAAAATTTATTAAGCAAAACCTGTTAGCGTTTAAAAAAATAAATTTGGTGAAAACGTTATTAAGTAGATCGTTGTTTTCGGAGGTGAACGGCATAATTCTGCTACAACGACTGTCTCTGTAGAAAATTTATTATGAAAACCAAGTTGGCGTTTTGAGATCATTTTACATTTGTTTAAAAAGTTATAAAGTAGGTCTTTGTTTTCGAATGTGGACGACGCAAACCTGCTACAACGACTGCCTGTGGAAAATTTATTGCTAAAAACCATGTTGCCGTGTTGAAACGATGAACGTCTCTGTAGAAAATTTGTTGTTTAAAAAGTTATTAAGTCGATCAATTCGCTTCCAAGGCGGACGACAACATAAACCTGTTGCAAGTGCACTGCTACAACGACTTTTTGTGTAGAAAATTTTCTGTAAAGGAATTACGAAAACTTTGTTGGTGTTTTGAAATAGAAAAGGCTTATGTCTCTGTAGAAAATTTATTATGAAAACCATGTAGGCATTTTGAAAAAGGTTTACATGTGTTTAAAAAGTTATTAAGTAGATGGTTGTATTCCAATGTGAATAATGACATAACCCTACTACAAGTGAACTGCTACGGCTGTTTCTGTAGAAAATTTATTACGGAAACCATGTTGGCGTTCTGAGAAAATTTTAAATTTGGTTAAAAAATTATTAAGGAGATCGTTGTTTTTTAAATGTTGGCTTTATAAACTTGCTGCAATTGAGCTGCTTCAACGACTGTCTCTGTAAATAACTTATTATGAAAACCAAGTTGGCGTTTTGAGATTATTTTACACTTGTTTAAAAAGTTATAAAGTAGGTCGTTGTTTCCGAACGTAGACGTCATAAACCTGCTGTAAGTGAGTTGCTACAACAACTGTCCGTAGAGAATTTATTACAAAAACCATGTTGGCGTTTTGAAAAAATGTCAAGTCTGTTTAAAAAATTAAGTCGATCGTTCGATTTGATGGCAGAGGATAAGATAAAGCTTCCGCAATGAAGTCATTACAGTGTAGAATATTTATTGCTAAAAACTATGTTGCCGTCTTGAAACCATGACCATCTCTGTAGAAATTTGTTGTTCAAACAGTTATTAAGTCGTTCAATTCGCTTCCAAGGTGGACGACGACATAAACCTGCTGCAAGTAAGCCGCTACAACGACTCGGACTCGCAGGAGGGCGGCGGCAGCGACTCGTCGAGCAGCAGCAGCAGCCGGGACAGCAACACTCCGCCCGCGAGGCAGAACAAGGTCGTCCCAGGCGACGCGACTCCTCAACAAGCCACGCCCATACCGGGAACATCGAAGGAGCGGCGCGACGTCCCGTGGACGACGCCCGACCCGGACGATGAGCGGAGGCGGCGCTCGAAGGACGAGTCGGCGTCGTCGTCGGACTCGCCCAATTCCGGCGACGAGTACAGCGTCTACTTTTACAGCAACGGCAAGGACGGGGGCGGCGACGCTTTCGCCAATCAAGGCGACGGCGGCGCGAGGAGCGACGACTGCGACTCCAAAACCGATCCGGACCCGTTCGCGGGCTTCCGCAAGGGCGACGACCCTTGGGACGTGCTGTTCTCGAGGGCGGAGGGCTTGCACGCCCACGGACACAGTCGCGAGGCCTGCATCCTAGGTAAGAAATGCGCCCCGCCCCCTTTGTCCCTTCACAACGTTCTAACGACCGCAGGAGTCAAGCTGGCCGAAGAACTGCTCGCCAATCCGCCAAACTTGATGATCGAGATCCCGCAGGCGCCCAAAAAGAAAGGCAAGAAGCAGCAGGTCAACCCGGCGACGCACCAGCTGAGCGTGCTGGCGTCAGCGACGCTATCGAAGTGCGCGTTCCTCTGCTCGGTACTGTCCGAGAACAGCGAGCACTTTCATTTGGCTTTCCGCGTCGGCATGTTCGGGTTGGAAATGGCCCGGCCGCCGGCTAGTACGAAACCGCTCGAGGTAAAGCTCGCGAATCAGGAAACGGACCTCGTTAACCTGCTGAAGAGGTTGCCGCTCGGCCACAAGGAACTGAAGATACTGCGCGAGAGGGCAGAACACATCAAAGACGGCACGCTGAAGTCGAGAGGCGAGGCGATGTTGCCGATCATGCTCGCCAGTTTCGTATTCGACGCGTTGGTGATACCGTCGATCGTCGGTCGAGACCGTTCGAAGATCCTCAACCTCCGGATGCTTACCGACGAGCCGTTGGCGTTCGAGGCGGCGGTCGTCGCGTTAGGTCTTAAGGCGAACGTGTCGGAGGCGGACCACCCGTTGCTGTGCGAGGGCACGCGACGTCAGAGGGGCGAGCTCGCCATAGCGTTGCTCACGTTCTACAAGGACGACTCGTACAAGATCTGCCGCATCATGGAGAAGCTGCTCGACCGCGAGGTGCACCAGCTGCTCAAGACGCCGCTGCTCAGCTCGTACTACTCGAACAACCCGCCGATACGGAGCCAGTACCACCACATGAAGCGGGACGAGCCGCCCGACATGATGACGCCTCTCGGACCTTTCATCCCCCCGACGGAGATGGTCACGCCCGAGGCTAGTAAGTTGGGGACGGGGGCGGGGCTGCGAAGTTTTGCGAAATCTAGCTTTAGACGAGACTATGAAACAGTTGCGACATCTGGTTACTTTCGCAAAATCGATTAAATCACAGTTACTAGAGCAGCAACTTATGAAATAAATTTTCAGAAGGTTCATTTAACATACGCATGCGCGAGATTTAAAATCTCGTTTTTTACCGGTGATTGCGACATTAAACAACCAACATGTCTGCCACTCAATGTTTTCTTAGAATATGCCCAGAATTCATTAATTATTCTGGGAAAACGAGTTATGTATGTGCAAATCGCCGTTTACAAAAAAAAAGGCGTAAAGGGTAGGTTAGGGTGTGAAAAATACATTATTTTCGAAAGTATATTCGGTAGTTACCGTCGCAAAATGATTGAAATTCATTTTTTGCGAATGTTAAAAAATACATCCAAATTTATATTAATTTATTACTGAAGCTATTGAAGATACTTGTAAAAACGGAAGAGAAAAAAAAAAACAAAACGCACTCACGCAGGAACACATTTTAGGAAGATTCTATTTCCAAAAGTTGATTTTTTTAAATGCATTTAAGTTTAAGTTAGTAAATTCCTGTGACATAGAATTGTATAAACGAATCGCTTTGAATGTAAAGGATATCTGAAACAAGGAGGTATCATTAGTTCTATTCCTAACCTTTACAGGATGAATGGAGCCCTGAAAAAAGGGATAATCTTTGATAATCTGGATTTGACTATATTACAGTACGTGTGCCGGATTAATAAAAAGTACCGGAAAGTTTAAATATAGTTAAATTTATTATATATATTTAAATTTAAATAAAAAAAACCCTAGGTATTGCATAAAAAAATTTACAGATTTGTCAAATCTGGATTAATGAACGTTTATAATAATAATAATAATAATAATAAATACATTTATTGCTTTGCCAAATGTACATATTATTATACTACAGAATATTAGATGGTACCACTTTTAAGGCAAACAAAAAGTGTAATAAAACGCAGACATCCAGCAAAGTCAGACACTGTTCAAGCCCCAATTTAATGTAAACCAAATTACCCTAAGAAGAAGAAAAAAAAGAAATCAAATAAACAAAATTATAGTTTTTAATAATGAGAGAAGTTGCAGGACAAAGGAGAAAGGAAGGGGTAAACAGCAGAGTGGTTTTCCGATACAGAAATTATTGTGTTCCAAGAAGATATTTTTTATACTGGTTTTTAAAAGTTTTGGTTGATATTGTTAATTTGAAACGACTTAAATTAGATGTTGTGGTATTCTCAATATAAAATTTCTTCTTAGATTCAAGTCATGAACATCTGTAGGAAAAGTGATTTTGTTAAAAAGATATTCAGGAGATTTATACTTAATTAATTTAAAATAGAATGTAGCATGGTGTAACTTAAGTATGGAGAAATGATACTGTGGACCAGCACCATAAACAAGCCGAAAACATGAATTTTTATTTTCTGGATACGATATTGGTCAGCAGCGTCCACTCAGGTTGGGTACACATCACAGCAATGATTGAACTGTGACAAAATGATGGATCCACCAAGCAGTTTCTTTGTGACAATCGGAAGAAAACATCTATGACTGTATATTAACTTTAAATTCCCATATGCTATTCTCAATTTCTTTGTAATGTGATCCTTGAACCGCAGCCCAGGGATTAAGATCAATCCTAAACTTTTTGATAGATCCGAGTATGGTATAGGAGTGTGATTAATTTTTATGATCATTTTGCTTTTGGCATTATGTACCTGGGAGTCATTCCCAAAAACCAGCAACGACGATTTAGTTGGATTTAACTGCAGTAGATGATCGGATGCAATTTTATAAAAGTTTCTTAAATTAGTGTTAATTTTAGTCTCAGATTTCTGAGTCTCGTCAGCGGCAGAAACCCTTTGCAAAGTTAAACATGTAGACTGTATTCAACAAAGGACCCAATATGCTACCTTGTGGTACACCTAACTCAATGGAGGGTGGTTCGGAATACACATTGTCGCAAAACACCTGGTGAGCTCTATCGGATAAAAACGAATTTCAGAAGACGCGTGCACCTTCACTAAGCCCAGTGTAGTCTAACAAAATTCTGCCTTCATCCAGTGCCTGCAGTAAATCATCAGTAATATGGATCAAAACTCTCCCACAACTATAATCTTTTCTAAATCCAGAGCTAAGAGTTTTCTAATTTGCCTATCAATTATTTTTTTTATAACTTTAGACAGAGTAGGATGGATGGTAATTGACATCAGTTGTTTAAATTAAATTTGGAAAATAAGAGTTCAATTCGTTTATGACATGGATTATAAAAGGACAGAAAAACTGTATTATTGTAAATTGAAAATGTAGCTCTTGATTGACATTTTCTCATAGAAATTGGTTAATTCCTGATCTGGCATTTTATTATTGTCGACAGAGTTTATAAAAAACTGATTCAGATCATTGGAATTTCGCAAATTATTTGGTAGAATATTTTCTTTAGACTTGGTTATATTAATTTTTTTTAATTACGCAGATACGTTGTTTTTTTTCGCGATGTATCGGTGTAGTGGTATAATTTCGGAGTTGTTTATGATATTGATAATGAGCAGGAAGTTTTGTAAGCTTATTGTTATTATCGTTTAGAGGGTTTGGTCGTTTCAGACTGCTGCAGCAGGCCGCATAGCTCGACGAGTGCCGAAGTCGAGCAAGGCATCGGCGCCATGTCGATTGGCGGTCAGCCAGGTCAGATCGCGCCTGGTACCGTGCCCAGGACCAAGGAGGGTCGGTACAAGAAACGCGCCTACCCGTCGATTCCGAACCAACCGTCCGAGGCGGGTGCCCATTTCATGTTCGAATTGGCCAAAACAGTGCTGACCAAGGCGGGCGGTACCAGCAGCACTTCCCTGTTCACGCAGGCGTCGACCAACACGAGCCACCACGGACCGCACAGGGCGCTTCACATGTGCGCGTTTCAACTAGGCCTGTACGCCCTCGGTCTGCACAACTGCGTCAGTCCCAACTGGCTGAGCAGGACCTACTCGTCGCATGTGTCTTGGATCACGGGTGAGTCCACTGTTGAACATGAACCTCTCTAAACTTAAACCATTTTGCTCGGTCTTAGGCATCTTGGATCCAGTTTGAGGATATCCCTTTCAAATCTTCTGCGTCCTTGGTCTCCGGGACGCCATTCTAGTATTCTCTATAGCCCAGTTCAATTTTAAGTGTCTGACTCTTTCGATCACATCGATAACGTGTCCCAGATATTTGTAAGATGTTCTGTATTGAATTTCTCTTCCTTCTATGATTAGGTTACAGCTGTGGACTATGTTTGTCATAAATTGGACCTTGACAATGTTAATTTTAAGCCTACTCTTTGGGAAGCGAATAGCGGAGGGAACGATAATCGAGGCAAATCAAACTGACCGACAAACCATTTTTTTTCCATAACATGACTTTTTTCATAAATTCTCACTTATTCTTCTGAAATTCTGATTCATCTTTCTGGCTTATTTTTCCGAAATTCTTACTTTACATTCTAATTTAACTCAGAAATTCCGGCTTATTTTTTCAAAAATTCGGATTTATTTTTGAGAAATTCTGACCTATTTACAGAAATTCCGACTCATTTTTCCGAAATTTTGACTAATTTTTCAGAAATTCTGTTGTATTTTGCAGAAATTTTGACTGTTTTTTTCATAAATTCTGACTTTTTCAGAAAACCTGACTTATTTTTCATAAATTTTGATTTATTTTCCAGATATTCTAACTTAACTCATTTTTTCAAAATTCTGACTCATTTTTCAGGAATTCTGTTTTATTTTGCAGAAATTTTGATTTTTTTTTTCATAAATTCTGACTTTTTTCAGAAAACCTGACTTATTTTTCAGAAATTATGATTTATTTCCAGATATTCTAACTTAACTCAGATATTGACCCATTTTTCTGAAATTCTGACTTATTTTTCAGAAATTCTGTTTTATTTTGCAGAAATTTTGACTTTTTTTTTCCATAAATTCTGACTTTTTTTAGAAAACCTGATTTATTTTTCAAAAATTTTAATTTATTTTCCAGATATTCTAACTTAACTCAAATGTTGACTTATTTTTCAGAAATTACTCAAAAATTTGCTTTATTACACTAAAACCTATATTTTATTTTTGCTACGCAATTAATAGTTCATTTAATCAATGGAAACTAAATTTTACAATGATCTTTTCTTCAAAATTGGAAAATTCTAAGTTTTAAAAATTCTAGAGGGTCATTTTTTTAAAAAAATAGGATCGATATATCTGATTTTGGAATTCTTACAACTTTATGTTTGCGAAGAGATGTTTATCAGCACGCAAATGTCAAACGCCCAATATGCAATCATAACCTCACTTTTCGGTTGTCGTTTTTCCAATCCTTCTTAGCTTGTAATATCATGAACTCAATATAATAAGCTATAAAAGTGTTTAATAACGTTTTAAATCTTTTTAATAAACCCGAAGTAATCAACTCCAAGTATCGGTCACCTTGAAATGGACTTTAAGCTTTGAATAATGTTAGTTGAGTGGGGGTTATATGACATAGTGGGTCAGCATATGAACGTCCCGACGATCGTTTGCAGGTCAAGCGATGGAAATCGGCGCTGCCGCCATATCGTTCCTTATCGACACTTGGGAGGGGCACCTCACGCCGCCAGAGGTTGCGAGTATCGCGGACCGCGCCTCCAGAGGTTGCGACATAAACATGGTGCGTGCTCGCCGGTTACGGTCGTCCATATTTCCTCATTCCCCGAACGTTTTTAATTTAGGTCAGCGCCGCCGCGAATCTGGCACTGTCGGTACTGCCGTACGCGCACGCGCTCAACCCGAACGAGATCCAGCGCGCCATCTTGCAATGCAAAGAGCAAAGCGACGAGATGCTCGAGCACGCGTGCCACACCGTCGAGTCGGCCGCCAAAGGGGGCGGGGTCTATCCCGAAGTACTGTTCCAGGTGGCGAAGTACTGGTACGAGCTGTACGTCAGGCACACGCCAGGCGGCGAGCAACTCATAGACAATGACATACCGCACGATCCGTTACTCGACGCGCACGCGCAGCTCGTCGCGCTCATCGAGCAGCCCGGACCACCCGATGGACCGCCCACCGCTACCCCGGTAGTAGTCACAACTGCCCCGCCTCCCTATCCTGTAAGTAATAGTAATCATAATTCTAAAAGTTTAGAATTAATTTTCACCAAATAAAATAGCATTCAGGAACAATTTCTCATGCATAATTGAATCGGTGAGTTAGAAAACCGTACGAGTCCAAAATCAGCGCTTCCGGAAAATGACTAAAAATCTTTTAACATTGAAACTAGTCTACATATGATAGATATCAGCTGGCATAGAAAAGTTTTGGGTCTCGCGGTTTGTTTTTTAACTCAACCCCCTATATAAAAAAAACTAATCAATATTTGTTGATTTTTTTAATGTCTATTCGGGACAAACAAAAAATACATTATCAAAACAGACATCTCAATCATCATTTTCAGAATTTGTGGTATTCCATGATGTAATGTGAGAATAAAATTCCAAGAATTCACCGTCATATACGTCAATACCTTCTTGATGCCCATTTTTTTTTCGTTAATTGGTACAGGTCCTTGATGTGCCTTATCATTGAGCAGAGGTGGTCTGTTTAAACGTCTTTGAGTAATTTAAAAGTAGGAGAGTGTAAACCATCCATATACTTCCAGGTTTTAATATATGCTGGATTAACACTTTCATACAGGAACTGACGCTAGTTTTCGTTAGTTCTTAAAATCATTAATGTCAGTGTGTACAGCGCAAATGATTTCAAAACGTCTAAGGTGTTTCTTATTGGTAGGTTCGAAACCTACTTGCTCTAAACCACCATTGTTTTACTTAAAAACCCTTTTTTTATTTAGCAGCTAACCCAACAGGGGATAATTTCGTCAACTATGCGAGTTGAGTGCATAAAATCCTGAAAAAGTGATGCCCCTCACCACCTCGCCAGAAATATTTCGATTTGTAAATAGATTTAGTCCTTGTCTGTCGGTTAAGGCGTTTGACTAGAAATCAAATTCTTACTTACTGCAAACCACCAATGTTTTGCTTAAAAATCGCAACTATGCGAATTGAGTTCATAAAATCCTTAAAAATTCATGTCCTTATATTGTTAATTTTTTTCACATCATCAGAAATGTTTCTATTTATAAATGGATTTAGTCTTGGCCCGTCGGCTAAGGCGTCTGACTAGAAATCAGATTCTCCATTGCAGCGTAGATGCTTCTTATTGGTTTATTCCTCTGTTTATGATAGGAAAGCCAAATGAACTTTTAATTGTGTGCTGCACTATACATGGTGTGTGCAGTGTATGTTTTTGTACTGATTTTATTTTCGTCTAAATTTGACCTTGCAGTACCTATGTCGAGTACTGATATAGCATCTATCTATCTATTGCAGCACGCGGCACCGCCCGTCGGCATGTACGTCAGCCATTATAATTTCCTGCCGCATCCGCATCAAATCAGTTACGGCGGTCCCATCCATCCGTTGCACCCGGCAGCGGCCGCGGCGGCGGTGACGTCCGCGCCGCCCCAACACGTCCAGATGTACCCGTTCCCGTATCCGCCGCCGCCGCCCCAGGGCGCGCCGCCTCCTTTCAACCAGGTACCGACGTCGTACCCGAACATCCCGCCCCCGTCCATGCCGCAGCAGGCGCCGTTCACGAACGCGTCTAACCAATACGTCCAGCCGCCGCCGGGGGTTTACACGAGCCCGCCTCCGGCGGCGCCGCCGCCCCCCCAACTGCAGTACTTCGGGCCGGCGGTGACGCTCGCGCAGCCGATGCCGCAAGGCTTGAGGCCCGCCCACCTGTATCCGCAACCGCCTCCAGGTAAGATTTAGACCGCAGAAGGGGCGGGGACTTATGGGAGCGCGAGGTTTAATAAGAATGATAATAAAAAGAACACAAGTCAGTCTATAACGGTGACTACTTAACCATAGTAAATTTTATTGATGCCATTTATAATTTATTGAGAAAATATCGGGGAAAAAAATTATGAAAATCATAATATTAAAATACTGGGGAAAGTTTTTCCGTTTTAGCCATAATTTTCATTATTTTTGTTAACTTTCGTCAATAGTGCGACGCATCTATACACTTTTCAATGTCATTCTGCCTTATTTATATTGAGGATATTGAGGAGATGTTGAAGAAAAACATACAAAAATGTATACAATGTTCTGGGAATTTAGCTATAATTTTAAATGTCATTCTGCTTTGTAATTTCTATTGCGCAATAAAAATTGCAACATTTAAAATACGAGAGATATTTCCATCGTTCCACTTTTAAATGTCCTTTCTGTGAATTTAGTTATTATTTTTATTATTCGGTTAATTTTTTCAATTTTTTGCAAAGTAATGTGTAACATATTTAAATGCCAGTGCCTTACTTATAATTTCCATTGGGGAAGTATTGAGTTAAAATAATAAGAATAGTCGCAACGTTAAAATACCATGGATATTTTCAATTTTCTGGAAATTTAGCTATAATTTTTATTATTTTGTTAATTATCGTCAATATCGCAATCTACTTCCGTAATTTTAAATGTCATTCTGCCTTAAGCGTAAAAATTAGCAACATTAATATACGAGGAATGTTTTTGGAATTTAGTTATAATTTCTATTGATTTTTGAATTGTCGTAAATATTACAACGTAGTTTTCAACATAATCTCTATTTAAGTAAATACAATTATCCCGACGATAAAATAATTTTTTATCGCACATACGCGTAAGTTGTTTTTCCAAATATCAATATATGGAAATTATCCCAGAATCCAGCGGACGAATAGAAGGCCCCTTCTCCAGGGTTAATTTGACGAATAGTAATGCGCCATCCTCTTTCAGTAGGTCTATCAGGCAGGCATAAACACGTCAAGACTTTACTGCCATCAATAGCAGAACTTTGGAAACAATTCTCGTACATTATGTGTAAACCTGAGATCTTGATCCGTCATCACGACTAAATCGTTTATGATTTTGAATACTTTATGAAGTTCACGAATTTCACTCTTCCAATTACACCCGATCGACTGGTGTCGTCGATCGTTCTTGATCGGCTTTTTCGTTGTAAAAAGGTATGGCGCCGCCGCCCCACCCCCAACAGGCGGTCATCCGGCCGCACAGGCCTCAGCAGCTGAACCAGACCCAGCTGCGTTACCTGCTGACCGCGTATCGGGTCGGCATGCTGGCCATGGAGACGCTCGCGAGGAGACTGCACGACGACCGGCCGCAGGCCAAGTACGCGCGGAACCCGCCCTACGGCGAAGACGTCAAGTGGCTGCTAAGGATATCGAAGAATTTGGGTGAGTTCGCCGCGACGCGTCCGGCGTGTAACCCCGCCTCCTCGTCGCCGTTTATAGGTTCGCAGTACCTCCACCATTTCTGCGTGTGTACCGTCAACTCGATCGTGAGCCCGTTCGTGCTCCACGACGTCGCGATAGAGGCAGCGCAGTACTTGTCGCGTAACAACCCGGGCCTGGTGATGCAGCACCTGCGCACCGCGCTCACCCCGCTGGTGAACAAGTGTCAGCAGATGTACATCCAGTGCATGCACCAGAAGCTCTACCACCTCACGCCCGCCGACTACGAGGATTTCGTCAGTATCGTCTGCTCGGCGCGAGCCGCCTTCCAGATCACGCCCGACGGTTCTGCGCAGTTCAAGGAGTGGCTCGCTTCAATCAGGAGGTGAGGCCCCTATCGCGCCACCGAAAGTCTATTTTCGCAAGTAATGAAATGAAACTTTTGAAATACTAAATTAAAAAATATATTTTTTTGGGGCTATATATAAAATTTAAACTAGTTTTTTCGTCTAATAATACAAGAAAATGTCATTTACTCATATTTTCCGTGGGGCTGATTTTTTTTCTTAAACTGTATGTAACAAATTGAAACCCATTGGGGTAACTGTACTGTAACAAATAATATTAATAATAATAATAATGGTTTTACATGGAAAAAAAATAATTGATAATATTTTTCCTTCACGTTTTGGAGGAATGATGTTGTTTCATGTTCGATATAGTTGCTTCAAAATTGGGGCCTTTTGACGTAAGAGCGATTTGAATACAGTCTTCCGCGTTTAATCGATTTCTGTTCTTCATTTTTATGTTCATTAGAGTGGAAAAGCCTTGTTCGCACAAATATGTTGTTCCAAATGGTAACAATTTTGCAACCGCCTCTTCTAGTGCAATTTTGAAAGCCTTTGCAGCTTTTGACATCCAAAAAGATTTGGTTTACTCACATATTGAATATGTGCTTCAGTATTAGATCGAAGTTTAAGAATTCCTTCTGCCAAACCTCAAGGTTCTTCTGGTATCATAGCAATTTCACATTTGAAAGGATCTACAATCCAAAAACTTCGACTTTAGCAAATTAAAAATATAGCAAATTAAAAATTTAACTTTCTACTCACAAAAGTTTCATTTTTACCCCATTTGGGGTAATTTACCCTGGTTATCAACAGACCAACGCCCACTAACAGACTACAGTCAATCAACAATTATCAAACAAACAAAAAGGAAAAAGAACACGGGCATAAGACACAGAGATTCAACTATGTACTAAACTAATAAATTAACATGCTAGTTTTTAATAATTAACTATACTTAAGTTCTGCAAATAACACCAAAAAATATGAGCAAATGCAATAAAAATTCTTTATTGTTATGTAATACTAAAGGATATTGACAATGGGTACAATTAAAGGTATATAACATTTGGCGACAACATATTTCACACAATAAAAGACAAAATTTACATCAGTTGGTAAGTTCAAGACAAAAAAGATCCACAATAAAAAATTAATATACAATGTTAGCGCTAAAATTTCCCGACCTGATATAGACGCAGCTACAGTATCACGATAAAACTTTGCCTTCTTTTAAATATATATCTTAGTAGGCTACGAAAAAAAAATTGAAGTCTTGCGTCAATTAGTTTTTTATTGACAGCATTTTAAACAAGACGCGTCCATTTTAGAGTGTGGGTTCCAACAGATAGATCATCCTGCCTATAGTCCAGATGTGGCCCCCAGCGACTATTATTTGTCTGGATATTTGAAAAAGGACTTACGTGGACGGCGGTTTAACGACGAAGTTGAGTTAAAACAGGCTGTTTTAGCTCATTTTGCATACAAACAAAAAAAGAATATATTTTTAAAGGGATTGAGTTGTTAATAGAGAGATGTAATAAGTGTATTAATTTAATACTTTGTTTCTTTCATATTCAGGCCGGGAAATTTTGGCGCTGCCATCGTAAATCCTTAGAATACTATTATTCTTTCTTATGATATTCTTCTATGCTTTTGATTTTTTAAAAAATTTTAGATGGTATGGATGGTATATTTTCAATGTTTTCGCGGATTTAGATGTAGGTTGTTGTTGGTTTCAGGTCGAAGTCGTGCAAAAAGGACCTGTGGGCGCAGATAAACGCGGCGCTCCAGGCGAACTCCAAATGACAAAGGCCTGATTTAGGTACCCAAAATGCGTGCAGCTATCGTAGGTTATCGGAGTGCCCCGACCATCTCGACGTCCAGCAACAGCCGCAGCCGCAGCAGCAACAGCAACAGCAGGCGGAACCTCGAATGCAACTGTGCACTTATCATCCGATTTATCTGGCGAGTCTGTACGCGCAGGCGCCGGAAAACGGCGGTGGGCGGGACGCGTGGGAGGGCACCCCACCTACCCAAGGGTCCTGGTCGCGCGGCTCCACCTCCCCTACCAGTTGACTTGGACTACAACGTCGCGATAAGCAATATTAAACACGCTCGCTCGGTTTAGTCAGTTGCGTTTTCCGGGTGGGGGGCGGGGACATTTTTGGGTTGCCTTTTCTTTTTTTGCTCGCAAATTGGTTGTCCGACTCTATGTGTAGGTGTGCTTGTCGAACATATCAAAGGTATGTTGAGGTCGTCGGGGTAGCGGTTTGTTTACCCTCGTTTTCGCCTGTATTTTCGGAAATTTCTGCCGTGAGGCATTTTTTTGAATGACTTCGGCGTAAAAAAGGTTTTTTTTGTCGAGCTGTCCACAACTTCTTGGTTTTTGAGGCGTTGAAGCACGTCCTATCCTTCTTTGACTTTTCGTATTTTTAGGTCCTTTAGATTAGAATTTAATATTCCCAATTTTTATGGCGAAAATCATCTCTAGTTTCCTATATAAAAATACGTGTCCAGAAACGCTTTCTTTCCGATGTACAGGGTGTTGAAATTCTAATGGAAAAACGATTTTTTTTATCCTAATCTTCAAACCACTTCACATTCTGTACAACAGGCAAAAGATGTTTTTTGATGCGCGAAATATTTTTAAAAAATAAATATTTTTTACGAACAAAAAACCCAACCTAAAGTTAATCTGATACGAAGGTCACCGGTAAATATTTCTCAAAACATTTCCCATTTCGTTGCTTGAAATCAGCTTACAAAATTAAAATTTCAACACCCTGTATATAGCAACGTTTCCGGATGCTTTTATATACGAAACTAGAGCTTAGAATGTGCCATAAAAATTGGTGCATTAATTTCATAACGAAAAAATGTATTTTATGTTGAAAACGAGAAAGTTGTGGGTCCGAACGTAATCGCGGCGCGGCAACCCCGAAAACGACGTATATCAAATACGTCACGTGTCAAAAGCGCCAGGACCGTATCCCGCAATTTTGAGCGCGACCTATTTTGCGAGCGACAGGCCGGAATCCTTTACAGCGTCGGAGTCAAATTTTCGGTTTGTTTTCGAAGCGGGGGGGTGACTCGACGGCGTTAGAAAAAATAACTATTATACGGGGGCTGCCCCAAAGTCGTTTCTCTTTTAGCGTAAAACAAAAAAAAACACAAAAGCCAAAAAAATTACTGTTCGAGAAAGTGCTCAGGTCTTTACCATCTCTGCCTTCACATAGGTAAACATTATTTTAGGTATCGCCGCCGTAGGGATGGGCGACAGCCGTAGCCGGTTCCGTTCTACGATAGTTTCCGAAGTTTTAGTTTGTTTTTTTCCCATTTTCCGTCGTTTGAAGAAAAATAATGTGTAGTAGCATCGAAAAACTAATGAATATATTATAAATATTATAAAGAATTTTAGATTTATATTATAGTTAGCGTGTTTATAAATGTGTCGACGCGTGAATGATTTTTTTTCGTTTATACGGGGTGTTCTCGAATTGAGGGGACCCGACTTCGGCCGACACAGAGCGTCCAACTTAAACAAATGATAAATTTTGTAAAAAATGCCCGCCACTGGCTTCCCGGGAAAAAACCAAAAGTGAAAAAGTCAGTGGCGCGCGTCGATTTCCCGCGTTCCGAGGAAACGCCCCGTATATATATTTGTATTTTTTTCGGTTTTTAGTTCTGTTACGTGTTAAACGCTCGGTATAAGTAGTCGAACGGTTTTTTCGTGTTTTTACGTTTCGTAAGACTTGGACCGAAGGCGCCCTCACAATCGGCGGCAGCGGGAAAACGAATGAAGCGTAGCGACGCGAACGCGCGGTTGGTGAGGGTCTCTCTTTTTTTTTTTCTCTGAACGCAGCCGACGTTGATCTCAATGACGTGACGACGGCGGCCGGATTCTGCGCGCGCCAACGGTCCGCTGCAGGGAGGGAGTGGCCCGGATAAATATCAACAAAGCGATAAAAAAAAAAGAATAAAAAAAATGTAAACTCGTGCCTTTGACTTGAAAATTTTCCGACGGTAGGTGTCGCCCATATATATATGTGTGTGTATTATATATTTTTAGAAAATTAAAATCGGCCGCCGTGCCCTCGCGCAGAGTCCGGCCCTGCGACGCGCGCGCACACGCATACACGCACGCCACGCCCACAAGTTTTCGGCGAGTATATATACATATATAAATATCTATCTGACCACGCGTTAGTTTTAATTGTTTTTTTTAGTATGTTTTTTATACACTGATGTGTGTGGGTCGCGTAAATCGCTTAACATTTAAGGAGCAGTAAATCTGTTATACTCAATGTTCCAATATTTACATTTTCATCGTTACTGTCCACCCGTGTATATGGTAAACCTAAATACATACATTTTTCGTATCATGAGTGGCGAGTTTGATTTTTCCTCACCCCCACCCGTATGCCACCTTTTGGCGGGGACACGTGACGTCAAGTCGTACTTAACCAAAATCTGGACTGTCACGGGCGGGCCTCGAAATGAACCGGTTTTTACTAGGCGAGACGAAAAAGAAAACAATATTTCAAAGCATAGTATATGGAGCAGAAGTATGACCAACGACAAGAGCAATAAGTGACGAAATGAAAACTGTCTCGAATTGGATTATATGAGGTGATTACAAGTCTCAAGAACTGATAAAATAATAACTGCAGAAAGGAAAGGAAACTAATGGCGTTAACAAAGACTAGAATAGGAGACTGGAACGTAAGAGACCTGGGGAGGACAAGAACGTTTGACTTTGAATGGAAAATTTCGATAAGGAAAAAAGAAGAAATGGATTTACATATGAAAACCTGTCACCGCTGCGTTGGTTTAGACCGGAAAGAAATTTGTGGAAACAAACATCAGCAAGCACAAGTAAAAGCATTTTTGTAGCCAACATAAAAAACGGATATTCAGTATGCGAACGCGAGTCATTTCAAAACTCTTCTTACCGATAAGACCATATAGCTAATAGGTAATATAGGGGCCCAATTGATGCCTCTTAGGTGGGATTGATATTTTTCTACTTTTGACGATCTGTCCCCGGCCATCTTGGTTATTGAATGCCTCAAGGTCATTAGTCAAAAGCGAGATTTTAAATCTCCCTGATGCGCATGTCAAATGAACCTTCTCAATTTTTTTTTTTCGGAGTTGCTTTATAATCTCACACATCACTGACAATTCGGCAATTCGACAGTCCTAACCTTTCAAAATCTAAATAAAGAGATTAGCAAGGATGCAGATGTCATGTGTGTGGAATTATATTAAAAATTGTGTCCGTTACGCCATCTGGTAGTCAAAGATACAAAAACGTTAGTACATGGATTACTATATTATTGTAACGCCCCTTCTAACCAATCAGGAATAAACATCATTGTGTCAAGCAACCTTTCTTTTCATATCCCAATCATAATAATTTCATCGCAGGTAATTATCGGCGCGTAGCCTGTCCCCAAATTCAATTCAATGATGCGTTTCACAAAAAACTGTTGGGCAGCCTGTCCCCACTTACACTCTAGTTTATTATTTTCCATGCTTTTATTGGGTACGTCTACTATGGACACTCGCCCATTGGCGATATGCATCCAGGAATTTCCTAGACTCCAACGAACAACAATAAAATTGTAGTTCCATGCACAGCAAAATCAATGTGCGTTATCACTAAAGGTCATGGTTTATCAATTCTACGCCACCACAGTTCGTCTTAATATCTAACATTACACTATACCTTAAGTACAACTGGGAAAAGGATAGGACAGACATCACAGTATTGTATGGTTTGTATGTTTTAAGAATTTGTATAGGAATTATCAAATTTAAAAAAATGTATAGAGACACTACAAAAATATATATATAGAAATAGTCTATTATGCAACAAGTGCTGTAAACGGCATTTGACTCACGAGTTTATTTCACACGAGCGGAACGAGTGAGATAAAGAGTTTACCCAACTTGTTGCATACTATACTTTTTCTACCACCGCCATGAAAAAAAAATACAACTCGACAAATTGAAAATAAAAGATTGTCGGATTACTAGCTTTCGTATCATTGAAACAAAATATTTGCTAGTTGCCATTAAACCTATTCATTTATCGTTTCGATCGGTTCTCTTATTGTTGTCTCTGTTTAACTGTGTACGTTAGACAGAGAAAGATGGAATTTTGGATATGTCATATAAACAATGGAATAAACACGATTTTAAAACGTTATGTTACTTTAGAATTGATCATTAAGTAGTTTATATAAAGAAAAAGACTGTAATTGGAAGAAAAATCATCCAAGGATAGAGCTTTTAAAAAGAATAAATTTTTAAGATCATATAAGCAAGAAAACGCAAGTCCTAACCTTCAATGTTATTTTGTTTGTACTGATGAGATATGGATGTTTGAAAATCGTACAATTGGTCTTGGCAAGATATTAATATAAAAACAGTAAAAACCACTAAAGGTCACGCAAACGATATGTAAAATTTTTCTGGGAAACTTCAATTTTAAATGTCACTTTACTTACCGACTAGTCCACTAGATAATTGTAGCTTATAGCACGTAGTGTTTAAATTGTCTGATATATTGCATATCATTTTTTGGTGCATTAATTTTTGGGTACATTTTTGTAAAACGACGTCAGAAACGTTCATATGGTGTGCGGTAAAATCTCCGAAAACATCCGATTGCTCCCAAACCTGTGCGGTAAATCCCGGAAATGTCCGAAGTGGCTCGGATCCGTGCGAAAGGAAACTGACGTGGTAAACTGCCGCTTCCCGCACACTAGATCGGTGTGTAATTAGGCAATTTTCAGACGGAACTGGAAAAAATAGTATATTATGCAACAAGTGCGGTAAACGGCATTTGACTCACGAGTTAAATAAACGAGCGAGTTAAAAAGTTTACCGAACGTGTTGCATATTATACTTTTTCTACGACCGTTAGTTTTTGGGTACATTTTCGCAAAACACGAATACATCCACTGACATGACCGTCAGAATTGACAAACGTCAAAACTCAAAGCGTGGGAAATATCTCCGAAAACATCCGATTGCTCCTGGAAATGCCCGAAGTAACTCGGATTCGTGGGAAACGAAACTGACGTGGTAAAGTGACGCTTCCCGCACGCTAGATTTGTGGGTAATTAGGTATTTTACAGACGGGAGTAGAAAAAATATATAATCACATAATCAAAAGCTTATCTGTTACATTTTATTTCATCGGGAAGGCGATTTAAGATTTACAGCCCCAGTATACAGATCTAGACGAAATTTTATATTTGGCAAGAATTTTGTTTTGCTGCCTGGTGTTAAAAGCGTGAATATCTTCATTTTGAGTAAAGTTGTTTTTATTTTTGAATATACTGAGCTTAGATAGAAACAAACTTGGTAAGGTCAGGTTACCGTATTTATTAAATTTAACTGAAAACGCAGAAGAAATCATGGAGTAGAGTAAACAGTATTACACTAGCCTGTGGAAGTTTATTTGAAAAATTATCATGCATCAGTAACTCTTGTGTATTTTTCGTTAAGATTTTCCACCCACTGTCATCAATTAACCCTGCTTTTACAAGAATGGGACCAAAAAATAGATTCAGCACAAAACTACTAAGAAACACTTCTACATTTGGGACTAGGACAGCTCCTAATTTCGGCCTTCAATCTAATGCCGGATAACCTACTCAATTTCTGCCTCAATTAAACATTGTTGAAGATGACGTCAGATACATCGTCATCAGAAGACAATCAAATTGCTGGCCTTGGTTAGTTGGGGATAAAGAACTAATTCTAATTGACGGTGCCATTTTTGTGACGTCACGAAGGTTAATGGCACGCTTCACGTGTGACGTGTACAATCCAATCGCCGAAAGTTTACTCTTCGAGTGAATTTAAGGCAAGAAGCTTAAAAAACTTGTGCGGGGATTTATTTATAAAGCCTGCCCGTGGATATTTCGCACAACTCAAGCTGTAGCGAGGAACCAGATAAAATATTAGTAATTAATCTGGGATAATCATTAAGAACAGGCGATATTAGGTCATTAATGCCCGCCGTAAACGCTAATGAGGCCGAAACGTCGGCGTTGCGAAAACGATTCGACGTTTTTATTTCTACTCTCACGATTTTTATACGGGGTGGTCGTAGATTTTCGGTAAAAACAATTTAATCGTTCACAAAATTTTTTCCTCCGCTCGTAAGGGTGGCCTAACATTTTGCATTAATGTCTCAGGTTAAGCAAACCCCTGTATAAATGCCAAGAAAAGCCGGCCTGTAATTAGCGTCCCGACTCGGGCGATCGACATTAATCGCATTAGTACGATTAACTGTCAAAATTAATGTGGACTCTCGCTGTATACGCGACTATGTCTATTTTTGGATCACTCGTCATCTGGTATCATTATTTTTAGCAAGATGGTATCCTTAGGAAAACCCACAACGCACTGATTATTTGTCTAATATAACCTAAGATCCAATAATCATCATTTATAAATCATAAAATTGTCACCTTCAATCGCGTAGTATTTACTCCAAAATTAAAGTTATTTCTTCAATGGGCACAAGCATCCCGCTGCACGAGTATTTTCACAAGGCCAAGTATATGCTGTAAGAGGGTAGACATAATGTGCCCTTGAAAACAAAAGCTCTATTTCGACACGTACCACATGAACAAAATCGTCGTAAAGATTGAAGCCTTTTTTTCCAAAAATTGAAGGAAAATCTCGGAGTTGACAAATACAATGAACTTTTCGTTTTCTCATAATTGAAAAAAGAATGTTGATTTTAGTCACTGCGCAAAGCTACATACAATGACGCGCATCGGCGCCGTTGCCAAGCAACGAGGTGAATATTACAATGTAAACAACCTGGGAGGGCGTGTCGCGTGTCGTAATCTTTCTTTAACTTGGCCTCTGAATCATCTTTCCAAAAAAAATATTATCTTTTTGTTAAACGGTACAGGGAGATGGTTCACTTTTTCTTATTTACCCCTAATTTCGGAAAGAAACTGTTTCTTTTTTGGCACAATCGATCACGGAAAAGTGTTTAAACTGGTTTAGAACGATTTTCGCGGATCGCTGCCGTCGTATATAATGTGGGCTCCGTAAATTGATAATCCAAATCCATCTCTGGGCGATTAAACCGCAAAGTATGTTAATTAGGCGTTAGACTAACGCCATCTTAAAATACTAATCCCCTCTATTCGGCGGGATAGATAAATAGATGCGGCGCGCACGAGGTCGGGCGATTTTAGTCCCTAGCCCTGGGGGTATCGGGCTACCACGAAGGGTTAAACAGGTGGGTGCAGTGAGTGGGTGCGATATTCTCAAGCAATCGACTATCACCATCAGTTGGGACGTAATTTCTGTAAAATATATTACGGTATCGTATTATCCCTTGCCACAGCGGAAGTACTTTTCACTATTTGCGTTCAAATACTTGGCAGACGACAAAAAAGGGCGGTTTTTCCAAAAAACATGACCCCCAATGAGGAACAAAGTTAGGGATTTCTTATACAGAGCTAGTCCCCTCCCACCAAATAGACAACCTAATAAAAAAATTGATTCCATTTTAAGAGGCACCAAATATTTTACCGATTTTTCTGGCTCATCCCATATAGCGACCAAGAAGGGTTCATGAAATCTAACAAGTCTAAAATAAATCGCCTTTTAATAGGATTTAAATTAAAAAAAAAAGTAAATTTAAACTGCCGAAAAGTAAAGAAAATGTTTTTGGGTGGCCCTGTATAATAGCCAAAAAGTGTAAATACAAAAAATAGTTTCTAACGGTATTCTATTTTCAGTAATTATGAAAAAAAACCAGAGACAGGTACTGTCGTTTGCGGTGATTGATAGACCCCGTATATTTTTCGAAAAAGTCCGAAATATGGTAATTTTTTTTGGGAAAAGTGTTTTCTTTCGAAATGTTTTCGTGATCCTCTTTGACAAATGTTACGTTCTAATTAAAAAGACTACTCCGAATCTCAAAATCATAAAAAATGTCGTTGGTTACGGGCCAACGCCTAGCCAGGGCGTTATCGTATTAAAAGAAAACTCAAATTGTTTATTATGTCTTTAAAAAATCGCAACTTCTACAGCGGATTAATATGGCCGTTAAAAAATGCAACCAAAGAAAAAATAAAAAGAAATTAAGAGCTAAGACGCTCGACAGGGTTAATTTTCGGCATTGGTTTACCTCTTACGTCATTGACGCGTTGTTAATTGACTTGTTTCAAAATCGACAGTTTTGCCGACGCTACTAACCAATGGGGCGACGTGCACGGAAAATCCCTCTCGTAAACTAGGCCAATGGCCGGCCCGCCACATATGCAACCCGGTCTATTTGCATATTTTTAAATGGTGCAACGCGATCGCTATATTTGGGTCAATTCGTCCGTCGTTAATATGTTATTTGTCAAACGCTGATTGGACTATCGCGTAAACGCGCGAGATTTATTACGATTATATTAAAGACATCTGGCGGTTCGGCAAAACCGGCCATGCCGCTTAAATTGAGGAAATTGTACGGAAAATAATTCTAATCAAATACGCAAGCGAATGCTAATTTATTCGGCAGGTTAACGATGCTATCGCTGAGTGCGTCTACCTTTCGTACGCTTTGTTACCGCTTTTTACTCTCCCTGGCCAACGCATTAACTATACCTCTGCATACAAGGCGATTTCAAAGTTGCGAAATATTTCTGTTATTGTCAAATACCACCTTTTGCTTTCAGTTATTCAGTCCAGTGGCGTCCCAGCCCGACAAACAGGCAGATTAAGGTTTTATTATTTATAACGCGTTTATAATAAACCTTAGCTTTTATAAACGTCTTTATAGTTTTTACAAGTCTTGAAGGCCAATAACCCCCGAACCAGTTTCAGTTTTATAATACTACGTTCCTAAAAAAAATATGTTCTACTGTTACTACAAATCCTGGATTCCCAGCGCCCCAACTTTTTTCATTTGCACAAAACTAAGCAAAGTTATTTTAAGAAAAAATAAATAAACTGGAAAGTGAGGTTATGATTGAATATTTAAAATTTGACATTTGCGCACTAATACGATGGTTTCTATAAATATCTATTTGGGTAACTCATTTACCGCTCAGTGGATAACTTAAAGGAAGAAATTTAAACGAAAAACACTATTTCCCATATTAATTAATGTATTTTCGCAAGCTAGAAACGACTCTCGGCACAGACTACTAAAAACAATGTCGTGTTCTGTGTTCTCGTTGGCAAAAGTTTCTTTTTTTTCATATTTTCTATTTTCATAATATATTATTAGAAAGGGAATTTCATTTGCTCGTAGAATACGTGATAATATACAGGGTATTCCATTAAAAAAAAAAGAAAATAATTAACGTAAGTAATAATATACATACTTTTTATAAAACTTGGGTCAGTCAAGTTCTGAAGAAGCCAAAAGGATGGTTGGCGAAACGTTAGCAAGTTTGAGTCAACAAAAATTAACGCAGGAGGAATCCAGAACTTATATAAAAAGTATTACAGTAGCCTGGGGAAGTTTCTTTGAAAAATTATTAAAATACATGGCGTCCCATTTAAAATTTTAATGTTGACGCCACTTTTGCGAAGAATCGGCAACGTCGCAGTGTTAAAACCATGTACATTTCGCCGTAAATGTCCAAGGTACCATCAACAGTTCAAAAATGATCTGCATTTTAATTGCGAACAGAATTTCATGAGACATTATTTTTCCTTACGTTTTAAAGTTAAATACAATCGTTAAAATTTTTGAATTTATTCAAGTGTTATTTGGAGGCCGCTCGGCGATGGAACGTGCAAATTTATAGTCGATTTTCTGCAGAAATCGAGGTACAAAAAACTAATGGCAGAATACGAATTGGTCGGTCTCAACTGTGGCAAGGACCAGTTAGTCACGCCACGAAAAATTTAAAACTATCTACTACAGTTTTTGGGTTGTAATATGGTTTATATTGTCATTATGGTGTCAAAGTAAAAAGTCTGTTCATAGATATAAGAAATATGGCCGAACAGGTCCGTACTTTGCTTAGAATTTAATTATTTTTTATTATTTAATTATGTTTTGTTAGGAAACATGTTAAACAATATTTATTTGTTTAAATCTAAAATAAAATTAAAAATTATTTTTATTACCTACTTGATGTTAAAAACTTTGGTTTCTATTCTATAGAATTTTTGCATAATTATTACATACGTATTCCTTTTGTAGGTTCAAGCTTTGTAGAACCTCAATTAGTTGCTTTTTGGTATAATCTTCTTGAAAATAAATGTCGTTATTATACATGTAGTTTTGGATTGATGCTTTTGTGTCACATGAGGAAGGGGTTTTAGTCAACTGTCTACTGTGATAACTTGCATTGTCCATTACAATGACGCTATTAGGAGGAATGTTTGGAACTAGTTTGTTTTTAAACCAACTTTAAAATAAATCAGGTGTGGTGTCTTCATGGTAATCCAGAGAAGGATCTTTAATATTTTTCGCAGACAGAGAAAGTTTAAACCATCTTTAGAGCCAGCATGCGAAATAGTTATTCTTTTACCTCTTTTTGATGTCGCGTTTGTTTTACACTTATCAGTTGAGTCAACCCAACCCTTTTCCGGAGTATCCTAAGTGTCGAACCAGGTTTCATCCAAGTAAATAATTGACCTTTGTTGAATACACTTCCATAAGGTAGTTCTGCCACATTTAACACCGGTTTCATCTTTTTCAAGCCTCCTAATTAAGATATTTAATGTAGGCACGCTTTGTTCCTCGTATAACCGGTAAATTTTACGCAGCATTATATTTGGATCACTTTAATCTACACTCGATAAAATGTCAGCATCGCTTCTTTCTTTCCTCGCTGAAATGGGATTATTTACAATTTGCCATACAGTTGATGTTGGAATTTTCGTCAGTGTGGCCGTTTCTTCTAAAGATACTTGCTTGGCACTACGTTCAATGAGAGTCAAATAAACATTGTTTATAACTTCCTTAGTCTCAATAGAATAGTGTTTTCTACATTTGCGCGGGAGCATCTCCTGAGATACACTAAACTCGCACGTATTTTGCGTAATTCGCACACGATTCAACACACGCTGTATTACACACGAAATAAGAATGATTACTAATAAAACTAAGTAGTATACCAAACCGAAGAATATTAAACACAGGTAGGCATAAAATTATTTTCTATTACGGACCACCCTTGGATAATCCCATTCAAAAGCAATTGGTCATTTTCTTATATCTATGAACAGATCATACCTTTATAAGTAACGACAACCTTACTATTATAAATAAATGTGAGTGTAGAATGAGACAGCAAACTTGGCTGCGGATAGCGCTGCTTTCGCTCGCCTTGGCGGCCATGGCGGACGCCCGAACGCGAAGAAAACTGAAGAAAAACAAAAGCGAGGAGCGAAGCGAACTCGACCTCGGAAACGGGGTGCAGAACCAGGAGCCGAGCGCCGAATATGACTACGACTACGACTACGGCGTGAGCTCCGAATACGATGACAAAAGCTCTGTTAACCCCAAGGAAGACAGTGTTACCACGCCTCAACCACCGGACGAAAGACCTCTTCAGGGTGTGGATGAAGATTCCACAGACGTAGAGCAACCTCAAAGTACCACAGAGTCGTCACCCTGCGTACACGATTCGAGGTAGCGTCGACGGAGAAGTTCCCTATTCGATTTCGTAACCTCCGATTGTTCCAGGACGTATTTGGACAAGGAAAACTGGTCGGTCGGATTGTGCACCAATTGCACGTGCGCGAACGGCAAGGTCGAGTGCGCAACCGACGACGATTGCTTATCCCGCCTGCGACCGACGCGTGAACCGCACTTCGACGGATTTTCCTTGCCGGGTTCCAGAGGGGACCACGGTTACCCCGGAGAGCCGGGCAGTCCCGGCGCCGCGGGCTTCCCAGGAACACCCGGCTCGCCGGGTATTCCCGGAGCGCCGGGTCCTCCGGGTGCGGTTCCGGACCTTTCCGCCTTCTACGCCCAACTAGCGTTGGCCCAAGGCAACGACAAAGGCCCGTCACCCTATCCGGCCGAACCTTTCCAGTACCTCCAAGCGCAAGTCGGTCCCGTCGGCGCGAGAGGCCCGCCCGGACCTCCGGGTCTTTCCGGTCCTCAAGGGTATCAGGGATTGCGCGGAGATGTCGGCGAGGCCGGCTTGCCGGGCCCCATGGGACCCGCGGGGCCTCGCGGACCTCCGGGAGCCCCGGGAAAAGACGCGAGTATTTTAAATTCTCCTCAAGAACGTCTCTTGAGCGTTTTCTTCGCAGGGAGAGCGCGGAGAGGATGGAGAACCAGGAGCGGTAGGCGCCCCAGGACCACCAGGACCGCGAGGATCTCCCGGAATGCCGGGCTTGCCGGGTAGCAAAGGACACAGGGGGTTTCAAGGCCTCGACGGGGCTAAAGGCGACCGGGGCGCGACAGGCGACAAAGGACCTCAGGGCGCTCCGGGGCTGACGGGACCCGTTGGTCCCTCTGGGCCCGCCGGAATTCGAGGAGAGAGAGGGCGGGAAGGGACTCCCGGACCTCCCGGCTTGCGGGGATTGGATGGTGTCGCCGGTCCGCCGGGACTACCGGGTGGGATCGGTCAACCGGGACCCGCAGGGTTCCCGGGACTCGCCGGCGTGAAAGGGGACCAAGGGGTGGCGGGTCCTAAAGGCAGCCAAGGATTGCAGGGACCTCGGGGCGAGTCTGGCCGGCCCGGCGAACCCGGCGAAAATGGTCCTCCTGGGGTACCGGGAAAAGACGGTTATCCGGGGGAGAAAGGTATGCCAGGCGCAGCCGGATTAATTGGCCCTCCCGGATTCCCGGGGACTAGGGGGCTACCGGGACTAAACGGCAGCCCCGGCACGCCGGGCCCCAAAGGATTCCCGGTAAATAAGTACTTGTTTATTTTTTATACTTAAACGAACAGACACTTTGCAGGGGCAAGCGGGTGAACGTGGGTATAAAGGGGAAACCGGCATGAAAGGGGAATCGGGGTCTACGGGTCCGAGAGGGCTGCCAGGGTTTCAAGGGCCGGAAGGTAAACGAGGTCTGAGAGGAAGCCGAGGCCCACCTGGACCGGTCGGATTACCCGGCGAACGGGGAGCTACCGGATCCATGGGACCGCCAGGTCCCGACGGAGCAATGGGGCCCAAAGGTCAGTCAGGGGAAAGAGGAGCTACCGGTCCCTCCGGCCCGAAGGGTTCACAAGGCGAAGCCGGGAGACCCGGACCGATGGGTGTGCAAGGATTAAGAGGATTGACAGGCCGACCCGGGGTGCCAGGCAAACCTGGCGCTTCTGGAGAGAGGGGAGTACCCGGACAAGACGGCAAACCTGGCGAGCAGGGGCGGCAAGGGATCCAGGGCTTGCCCGGCCCCGTAGGGTTGCCTGGGGATAAAGGGTTGACAGTAAGATATGTTTTTTCGAATATTAAATCAGCGAAATTTTATAATATTCTATAATAGGGGGAACCCGGAAAGGAAGGGGAACCGGGACCGACAGGTCTTCAGGGACCCAGAGGCGATACCGGCAAGGACGGTCAACCTGGTCCGCAAGGACCACCGGGTCCGCCGGGGCTTGACGGCGAAAGAGGCGCCGCTGGTGCGATAGGCCCGAGAGGATTTCAAGTAAATCATAATCGACTCGAATTATTCCCCGGTTAAACGGTTCTGTTTAGGGATTACCCGGAGCACCAGGTAATCCTGGACAACCGGGAAAGGACGGCGAGCAAGGCACGCAAGGGTTGCCCGGTACTCCGGGCTCACCGGGTATAAGAGGCGAAAGAGGTTTCCCGGGAGAACGAGGAAGCGCGGGACAACCTGGTCTTCCAGGACCCAAAGGATCGACAGGCAGTCAAGGAGTTGACGGACCCCCCGTACGTTATTAATTCGAAATTATAATAAACTTACACGCACTCTCGTATTTTAGGGTGAACGCGGTTTAGCCGGCATGAAGGGACATCAAGGGGCGCCGGGGATGGTAGGACTGCCCGGTTTAAGAGGTCCTCCGGGACTTCAAGGCGAAAAAGGAGAACGCGGTGCCTACGGCCCCATTGGACCGGAAGGTCCGGCTGGTAGGCACGGCGAGAGAGGTTTGCCGGGACCGCTGGGACCGTCAGGTCCCCCGGGAGAACCAGCAGCTCCCGGAGAGCCTGGGACTCCCGGCGTTCCGGGAGAACCCGGTGCACCCGGAAGCCCGGGGGAAAGAGGACAAGTAAGAAGCAGCTTTAAGAGACGGGCGGAGTCCAACAATTATTAATATTCTAGACGGGATCGCCAGGCCCGATCGGTTTCCCGGGAAGCCCCGGTCTTGTGGGTTTGCCTGGATTGAAGGGAGACAGAGGACTGCAAGGTTTGAAGGGCCAGCAAGGAAATTCTGGACCGGTAGGGCGACCTGGAGAGCCGGGAACACCGGGTCCGATGGGATTGACAGGTGCGAAAGGTGCAAGAGGTGAAACCGGTCTTAGAGGAGATGTCGGATTGATGGGACCACCGGGAAGGCCAGGAGAACCAGGCGCGGCTGTAAATCTTCTAGCTACCTCTTAAGTGGGAGAAACTACAAACGTTTTTTTCAGGGACAGCCGGGAAGCGCTGGTGTACAAGGGCCGCCAGGTTTGCCAGGTATTAAAGGCGCCCAAGGCGATTTGGGTAGGCCTGGAGCGCCAGGACTGCAGGGCCCGCAAGGTTTGCCAGGTTTAGAAGGACCGAAAGGCGAAACCGGAGCGGAAGGGCCACCAGGTCCGACCGGGCTAGCTGGACCGCAAGGTCCTCCAGGAGAAAGAGGTAGCACCCCTTACTTCTTTCAAATTCTTCGCGTTATACCGCTTTTTCGGATAGGGTTTCCAGGGCTTCCCGGCGTACCGGGTATAACCGGCGCCAGGGGCCTGCGCGGACCTCCAGGAGAAGCTGGAATGGCTGGAAAGCCGGGCAACGAGGGACCTCCGGGTCTTGCGGGAAGTCCAGGACCTGCAGGTCCGCCCGGACCCATAGGGGAACCGGGGCCCGAAGGTTTGCCAGGTAAAATAGGTCCGCCAGGATTAACGGGTCGGCCAGGAGATAAGGGACCACCAGGAACTCCCGGCTCTCCGGGAAATACCGGCCCGTCTGGTTTACCGGCAAGTTTTCGTCGGAATTACCTTCCCGAGTGTTTTTAATTTTTGATATTTAGGGTCAAATTGGTCCAGCTGGACCGATAGGTCCCACGGGCGAGCGTGGCCCCCCAGGCGAGGCCGGACCGCCGGGCATAGACGGTAGGCCAGGAGAGAGAGGCAAACCTGGTGTGCAGGGCCTTGAAGGGCCGAAGGGGGAACGAGGCGAAGCAGGTCAGAAGGGGGCGAAAGGTCATACGGGACTGATGGGATTGCAAGTACGCATTTGATTACCTACGCGGCAGATAATCCATGGGTCTCTATGTAAAGGGCCTGCCGGGCAGTCAAGGTCCACCCGGAGAAAAAGGAATACCGGGAATGCCCGGATTACCTGGCAAAGACGGAGACACTGGTCCGCGAGGACCTCCCGGTAGGGACGGGAATCCCGGCCCAAGCGGAATCCAAGGAGCACCAGGCCCAAGAGGTGAAACTGGTAACGAGGGAAAACCGGGGACTCCGGGCAACCCTGGCCCGCCCGGTCCTCCGGGACCTCCGGGAGAAGGTTTGGGTTTCGACGCAGCCACATTGGCCGCGTTCTTAGCTCAACCGAACGTTCAAAAGGGTCCGGATCCGCAAGGTGACGAACCTGCCAGGGTGTTCGGTAAGGAGATGACGTCAGAAGAGATGAGGGACTTCGTACAACGGGCTTACGAGCAACTTAAAACCTCGTTCGCGAGGTACAAGAGACCCAACGGGGACAAGACGGCCCCCGGAAAGACCTGCAGAGACATCTTGGCCGCTTATCCAGAGTCGCAGAGCGGTAAGGGATTATCGACGATCGAACGGAATTGAAGAGCTTGATTTTTAGGACAATATTGGGTGGATCCGAACGAAGGGGACAAGCAGGACTCAATCCTGGTGCATTGCGATATGGAAAACGGCGCTACGTGCGTACTGCCCCAGCCTGCGAGGTCTAACGAGGTCACATTCGTGGGGAAGGTTCCAGAGATCTGGCTCGGTGAAGTCGAAGGGGGGATGAAGGTAGGCGTGGCTTAGAAGCGAGGTCTCGTTAAGTCACGGGGTGTATTTTCAGCTCACCTACAAGGCGGATAGCACCCAAATCGGGTTCCTTCACTTGTTGTCGGCACGCGCTACTCAGAACGTCACTTATCACTGCAAGAGGTCCGCAGCGTACTACGACGCAACGAGGAAGACCTTTCGCAAGGGAATCAAGCTGATGAGCTGGAATGACATGGAGATCACGCCCAAGGGACCTAGGCTGAGGTTCGAAGCTCTAGAGGACGAGTGCCGGGTAAGAACTAGCTAGCTAGCTTGCCGTTGCGTTTAAACGTAAGTCTGTTTTAGTATCGGAAGGATGCTTGGGCCAAGTCAGTGCTGCGGTATTCCACGGACAAGACCCAAAGGCTCCCGATTACGGACGTCGGGGTCAGGGATATCGGCGTCCCCGGCCAGGCCTTTTGGGTCGAAATTGGCGCGGTATGTTTCTCGTAACGATAGGAAATTTCATTTTTAACTGCCATAAAATAAAGTGATATTTAATTATTTTTTGAAGATTTTTTCCCTGTACATACGTAATAAACTACTATTTACATTTTAATAGTTTTGTTTTATTGAAAATCACGTAGTCCTACTTGTTGCCTTGGTATTTATGGGTCGATTGTTCGCCAAGTCTCCTATGGCCTGTGTAACCCTCCATAAAATCCACTATATCGCTATAATGGTGCAGCAGGTCTGGGCAGTGAAGCGAAAATCGAGAGAAAACTTTTTAAAAATTAATCACCAGATATGGCAACGCCGCCTCGATGTTTTTATTTCGAGAAGTAGTAGTTCAAATGTACCAGAACAGGCGCACCAACCTACTGACATCGCGGAACAAATAAAGCGCGGAGTAGTTCAAATGCACTCTCTACGGGAACCGGAGAAGAGCAAAAAAAAAACACAAAACAGGTACGAATAAGTTTTTTTTAATTCCTTAATGCATAAATTACACTTTCTACGTTATGGTAGAATAATTTAAAGGACAAATGCGATTTTTTACAGTGGAAGGACGAAACAAAAACGCAGATGCTGAGCTCGTATGGCACGAAAACCGTTACGAAAAAAAAAAAGAAAACTAAAAACGCGAACTAAAACTAATCGGAATATAATCGACTCGATCGTTCGATCGCTTAGACTTTGGTAATCGTTAATATATGTACATCCCCTCTCTTGTTTCGATATATACAAATACGCATAGGTAAATAATATATATTTACCGGAAAAAATGTTTGCGAAATCCGAGCAAACTACCGCGTTTAGATTTTCGACTGCTTCAAGGTTATCCGAAGGTCCATTTAATTTTATTTTAATGGAAACATGTCAAATATTAGTAGTAGGTATACCTAACTTCTGCATCCTCCGTCACCCGGGGGACATTTGAGATGACGCAATTACAGGTTCCTGCGCATAATATTTATCACATTAATATATACATGACCAGGCAAAATCTAAGCAACGCGTTTTGCATTATACGTTTTCGTTTGATCTGGTAAACATGCAGGACCGGCAATTAAAGGCTGCAAACTAAAATCTGGAATGCCCAGTATGTACGGCAAAATTCTAGGCGAAGAAAAAAAAAAGTGACGCACCGAGGTCCCGCGCGTGCGCCCCCTAAACCACGTTACCCTTATCGTACTTAGCATTAACCATAGAAAAACTTAACTATACACCTAGCAAATTACTCTTAAAAAGCTGTAAGCTTATCACAATTTTTTTTTGTATATCCGAGGAACGACGCCGCTCGATCCACAGCGGAAGGGCGTTAAAAGGGAAGTTAGTGGGACGCTGAAAAAAATCGTTAAAGAGTAAAGAAAGGGTAGAGCTTCGGTTGGATCCCGCGGGTATCAAGTTTAATACTCGGACAACGCGCGCGCTCTCTAACGGTGCCGAGAGGAAGTGCGCCCGACATCTTATCGCCAAAAATCGAATCAGAAAACGTTCGTTTCGCGATAAGGCGCCGGAACACTGAAAGTTGTGCGAGTTTTTCACTTTCAAAGTTGGGCGCGGCGCCCAACTCCTCAGTAAAACGGACCGAAAAACCACAGACTAGGGAGCAGCGTTAAAAATGTGTCGTTATCAATTGTTCCGATGGTTCTCTGTCCAATAAATTGGTACGGCAAGTTCAAAAATCCTGATTTTCACGTAACCTACAGCATGATGATTAACCTTAACAAACTTTGTAATGTTAATCATGTTTGACGAAGTCACTGTGCTCTCAAGACTTCTGGAATTTCGTCAAAACAACTTGCAAAACTTATTCCAACACAATAGGAAATTTTTGTATTTTTGTTGCATGTATTTGAAGTTATAGATATATTATAATATAAATAAAGCTATTTAAAAATGTACATAAATTATTAGAGGGAAGAATACTTTGTGCGCTTTTTAAATAACTCGTTGAACGATGTAAATCGAAGTTAAATTTGAGATATACGTCACATTTTATCTAACAGATGGCGACACCATTCCTTAAAGATTTCTTTACCGGCTTTCTCCAAAAACGTTTCCAGTTGCGACACCGTCCGCACTGTGGCGCTGACCGTAACATAACATTTCGGATGTTACGTGCTGATGACGTCGACCTGACGGGGCTGCGCGCGCATGAGGTTAGCGTGCACGGAAGGGAGTGGGGAGAGGTCAGAGGTTAGCTCTCGCCGCGCCCGCCCGTCTCATCGGACCGCGAAACCTAACCCAAACTAGTTAGTAAACCGGCTGGAATGTAATGTAATTGATTGTAAGGCCCTAGTTGCGTCACGACCGTTTAACTTCTTTAAACCTCAAACTGGATAGTTGAAATTTAGCGCATTTAACTTCCTTAAGGCTTAGAGCTCGCGTTAAACGCTAATAACGTCAGAACTAAAACGGAAACGCTGCCCTACTCTGGGAAGAGATTGAAAAAAAAAAAAAAAAAAGGAAACCAACCACCCGGAAGCTTGAGAAGTGTTAGTGGCGAGCGGTCCGCCGTGGATAAAGCTGCCCCCCGTTCCCCTGAAGCATCGCGCTTAAGTACGGGACGACGACAGCAATATAATGCATATGTAATAGTAATCAACTTTAAATGCAGGGCTCGTTCATATTTTAAGGGAAACCTAAGAAACTAAACATCGCTCTTACCAAACCTGTACACCGAACCCTGACCCTTGACTCGATAAACCTCTTCCGATATTAATGCACAAATAAAAATATATATATGTATAGGGCTTACAATAACAACAACAACAACAAGCGGCGACACAGCACTTAACTCTACGCTATATATAACGTAATACTTAATACAGCGCCGGCGGCCATATTTCGTGCGCGCGGACTAGAAAACACTCGAAACTCGTCGAGTTTCGCACAACATGGCCGCCAGGCGACGAGTGTACGTTTAGGCCGTTTCTCAGAATGGTCCGGTGTCGGCGATCACAGCCGATTTCGGCACCAGACCCTTCTGGGTGCCACGGCAACACAACCACCATTTGTCGTCCACTTCCAGCACCACGCGCAGCATTTCGCCCTCGTTGTAGGACAAATGGCCGCTCTCCGAGGGCAAACGGTGACCGACGGTCCTCACAACCCTGCGGAATAACGTGTCAAAAAAAAAAAAAAAGAAAAAAACTAGACCGCATGCGACGTCAACTAGAATTCGAGGTTAGGTCCGCAACGCAAAGGCGATTTAAAAAGAAGAAGTCTCGCGATCTAAGACGGGTTAGTGTGGTAGCCAATAGAAATAAGCTTTAACGCTAGGGTGTTAGTCTTTGAAATTCAGGCGCTAAACTTACGCCCGGCGAGATTGATTTAATTTACTTAGAAGCAACCACCGCCACCGTATTCATATATTGTGTAGGAACTGAAAAAAAAAAAAAAAACAAACAAACAAAATCAGATTACGTAATACAGCGTCACCGCCCAGATCGGCATCATGTGTGGACATTTTTAACTAATTAACTACTTCAATTAAAAAATAATAAAATATTAATTACTTATCTAAATTAATAAACTCGACTCAACTTTACTAACTAACCAAAACAGTTTTCAGAACCATCCTCATGGTATCGCATGACTGGAAGGTTACCAAAAAAAATCCCTTCTCGGTTCTAATATGGACGATTGTTAATCTTTTTCCTTTTCCTTAACAATATTAATACAATACCCATGGACAGGTACCATTTTTGGTAACAGAAACCTTCATTAATCTACTTATCAAAAGACTTCCTTGGCATTGCTTTATACTTCTCCAGAATTTCAACGCTTTCCACTTGTTTCTTACAAAAAAATGTAAATTCTTATGGGTAACATGTTTGAAAGCCTTTCGGTAAATCCACAGGATTAAAATCAATCACAATCCTTGAACAAAAAATGTTGACCTCATCGTATATATAGAACGTTAGACTGCCGACCCGGTTCCAAAAGAAAAAAAAATAGACGAGCGTATAAAGAAAAAAGTTGAAAAAAGAAAAAAAATTTAAACATTTGTAAGAAACTAAAAAAAGAAACTGTTTTAAAAATAAAATAGATCGTATCAAGAAACAAGTTGAAAAAATATGAAAAAGAAATCAAATTATCCAGGTATTATCGAAAATTGGCACATTTGTAGGAAAGGGAAAAAAGAAATACATTTTTCGATATTTTCAAAAATAACTTATATTTTTTGATAAAAATGTTTGTATAAAAAAAATTAATTGGAATAATTAGAAAAATAAACTTTTCCATATATTTACAAAAATAATCATTTCTTAAATGAAAAATGAATATAGGCTCTCGACCCGATGCCAATAGAAAAAAAGTAGTGTATCAAAAAAACTTAGGTTAGAAAAACGATAAAAAAAGTTTCTCAGAAAATGTGATGAAATGTAAACTATAATAATAAAATAAAATCATTAATAAATAATGTTCCCATATGATGCGGACGTTGGTGGTGATGCTACCGCATATAGGCTGACGACCCGATTCCAAAAGAAAAAAAAAAAAGGCATCGGTTTGTTCCGTGGTTGCCGCAAAGTTTCCCGCGTAAAATAATGGACTCACTTTGGCGTCTTGGACGGCGCGTGCGCGCCCAACGGTCTCCTGTTCAGCGAGCTGGAGGCCGCCCTCCGGGGAGGCACCATCTTCGACCCCTTGTTCTGATTGGCAGCCTTGTACGGCAAGCTGCTCGGTCTCTGCACGTGCCTCGGCCCCTCCCCGTTCTCCACGCGATCCACCCTGCTCGTCCGCGACTTCGTCGCGCCCTTGACGGCGGGGGCGGTTTTAATTTGAGGTCTCTGCGTCTGCTTCGACGTCGGCGATATCAGTACGGGAATCCCCGACGGTTTGACGGGGGAGGATACGGGCCGAGGGATCTTGGACTTGCCGGCGGGATGAGTCGGCGAGCTCGGCTCCTCCGTCGACTCTTTCCCGCTGAGCATTTCCCATTTCCGCTGCAGCTTCTTGAACCTTCTTCCGTTCAATGGCTTCTCGTCCGAGAAGTTCGAGTCCAACGATTCCGGTTCCGGTTCGTCTCTTAACGGCGACGCCGAGGCGATGGGTTTCCTCTCTTCCGGTTCCGGGTTCTCCAAACTGTCGGCGTACTCCTCGTCCTCCTTCGACAGCTTGTCGTACGCCTGATAAAGCCTCGAGCTGAGCGCTATGCCGGACCATCTCCTCTTGGCGACAGAGTTCACGTCCTCTCCCAGCTTGAAGCTGGGTTTGCTGGGGTCCAGGCAGCTCCTGGGTCGTTCTTTGGTTCTGCGAACCGCCGCGGACTCTGCCGCCTGTCTCACGGTCGCGGTAGAGGCGTCGTCCGATTCCGAGCTGTGAGACGACAAGGCGTACTTGGGGGACATGAACTGCTTGAAGTTCGGAGAGGTTGAGTGTTTGCGCGTAGGACTGAGCGGTTGGTGGTACGAGTCCATTCGCTTGAAACTCAGATGGAGCTGCTTGTACTCGAAGAGCAGGTCGAGTTGGAACGGGAGGAAGGCGAGGGGCTGCAGGGCGGCGATCATGGCGTCGAGCATGCTCCTGAGATTAGTGCCGCCGGTGTGCGACGTGACCAGCAACGAGTCGGCGGTGTAATGTTTTTTCAGCACGCTCTCGCGCGTCCGTAGGTAGCTCGTCCACGCGTCCAAGGACCTGACGTTCAGCAAGCCGAAGATGAACGCGTTGAACTTGATCAGGCCCTCGCTGATCACGTCCTCGCCGTTGATCTTCATCACCAGGTCGTTGAGGGCTTTCGTAAGGGGGCCTTGTTGGGCGGACGCCTCGACGACCTGCCAGACTGTAGGCAACAATTATAGCAATTATTTTGTGTTCAAAAAATCCTAGCAAATGATTAAGTTGGAACGAATGAAATAGAAATTGACACTATGGCGGGGGTATTCTCGGTTTTGTGCACAATACCTACTAACTAAGTCGGCAGAGTTCTCTGAAGATGCATTTCGTGCGACGAAAATAGACAACAAATTTTTAAAACGAGAGTTGTCCCGATTAATATTGGTGATGAATTTTATAACGCAGTGTACGTGGTGTCAGAGATAACCGGCAACTATAAAAATAACAAAACATGTTACCGCAACAAACTGCTTAGAATACTTAGTAACTGTTATAAACAATTGCTCTTAAAGCGCTAATTCATTTGGCCCAATGGCGGCAATGCTTTTGATCCGGACATTTTTGTTGTTTTGTACAGTACGACTACGAACAGTCGGACCGAGTGTTTTTGCTGATTTTCCACATTTTTCCGATGTATAAAAAATATATTCTTGGACAACAAAAAACTAACATAAACTGCATAACATATTTTATTTATTTCGATGTAAAACGAACAATAAGCAAGATATTATCTGGACCTTATGTAGATTGGCTATCTTACAATTTTTCGTTTTTCTACCAGTTCAACGTTGAGCAGCTTTTAAGCTAGGCTTCGATTTTTAGATCTGCAGTAGGTAGGTGGTTGTTACATCTTATTTGAGTCGTGTTGTGTTTCACTTCTCAGTAAGGACTGCCATTATTTATTATTATTATTACTAACAGTGTTAAAAACGGGAAATTTCTCAAAACGAGTATTTTTCCTAGACCAGGAGAGATCTCGAGAATTGCCTCGATTTTTTTTTCGTTATAGAGTTATAGTTATGTTTCAAATAATCGGTCATTTCCTTCTGAATTTTTTTAGTATGCCAATACGCATCTCGTACTTTGCTTGTGTTTTCACCATTTCTTCGAGAGGAGCATCTTCCCCATGATACATAAAAAATTTAAAATATAGGGCCTGTTGAATGGTTGATGGTGGTCCCAGAACAACTCCTTCCTCTTCTTCTTCCTCTTGGTGCTCTTCCTCACACTTTCTTGCTTGTTGTAATATGGCTGCCTCTGTCAAGTCTGCCGTTGTAGGCAAATCCTGATCTATCACCATAAAATCTTGCAACTCCTCACTTGTAAACGTAATTGTTGTTTGAAACTGGTTTAGCCACTGAATTAGTGGCTGATCATCTTCCAAGTCCTATTGCATTCTGTGTCGGTAATAAGTTCTGCATGATGATAGGAGTGTTGAATTGTTTCTGCTGTCACCTCTTTCCAAGCTTTACTAATAAAGTTGACTGCATCTGGCATATTAATGGAAAATTTGTCTTCGGACTCGATCTCCATTAAAATGCTTTTCCCGTATCGACTCTTAAAACGATTTATTGGGGTCTGGTCGATCGGCTGTAATACACTTGTTGTTTTGGCTGGAAGAAATGCCAATTCAATATTCCGTAGATTTGGAATATGGAGATGTGCAGGGCGGTTATCTAAGAGAAGTGATATTATATCTTTGACCTGCCTCAAACTTGTGCCTCATTGAACTGCAGTCAATAAGGTATAAATCTGTCTAGTTTTAAAAATAACGAAAACATTTGTGGCGAACGTAGTGAACTACCAGAAACTGAGCATTAAGAGTTACTTTTCAGAATCTTATAGAGTAGCTTTTAGAGCTAGAACTTATAGAGGTAGATGTTTAACGGTAGCTTTGAGGCCCTGAATTTCTCGAGCCGGAACTTGTAGAAGACCTTTGAGACTTAGAGCTAGAGTTTATAAAGGAGCTATTAGAGCTGCGACCAGCTACTTAACCAAGCCTTCCATATTCATTTCGATTTAAAAATTAAACTTATCTCGACTTACCGGAGTTGTTGATGGCGCCGAAACTCGTCTCGAGACACGGCCTCAGTCCGTCGCTGAGCACCGCGTAAAGGGCGGGGCACAGAGTGGTCAACGTCAGTTTGGCGCACGCGGGATTCAGTCCGGAATCGCCGAGGTGGTTCAGTTCCTGCTGATCGGACGCCGCGGAGAAATGCTGCATGACCTGTTCCACCGCGTCCAGCACTCCGTTGATCAACGATCGCTTCTGCAGATAATTGTCGGACGCGTTCTTGCACAGGTGAACGGGCGTCGTCCTCGGACTCGAATAGTTCGGACTCGTCTCGTTCTCCTCGCAGATAGGCATATCGGCGAGCGTTTTCGGCTGACAGTTCCGCTGCTGCGGCAGGAACGCCGAAGCGTTCGGCGAATTGTTCGGCGGATTGAACGTCTGATGGTGACGCGGACTGACGTTGACTTTCTCGGCGAAGCTGACCGTCTTCTTGCCGAAACGATCGGATCCTTCCTGGTTGATTTTCAACGTCAAAAATTTGCCGACGTAGGAACGCAGGTGCGTCAGACTCTCCTCAGTCTGTCGGTCGTCGTCGGTCGAGAAGCCGCTCAGTTTGAGGAACTCCTCGAGCTGGATCAGCTCGTCGACGCTCACGTGGTCGTCGAGGCTGCTGCTGGACGCGCCCGCGTCCACTCCCTCGTCTTCGGTCTCCGACAAGCGTTTGTTTCGGGTCGCGTGGCGCGACTTGGGGGCGTGGTCGGCCGCCAAATCCTCCTCGCTCGTCTCGTACGCCCCGCCGTAGCGTTTTACGTCGCCTTTCCTGAGGATGCCGCGCGGGAGCGGCGGCCTGGGCGGCGCCGCGTCCTGAGGCAAACTGACGCACCGCATGGCCACGCCCCTTTTGTCACTGTTGACTAAACTCGCTTCGGAGCTCGTGACGCTGTCGTATCGATAAACGAAAAGGGGATTGAGGTTGTTCTGGGGTGCGGGACTGTTCTGCGAGTCGGTGAGCAGGCTCGAGGAGCCCCTGTAGCCGGAACTGGGCTGAGTCGCCGTACTCGAACTCGACGACACGTTCGTCTGCGCCAGCTCACAGCTCGACGGTCGTTTCTTGCTGCGCACGAACGACGGCCGCTCTTTGGCGACGACCTTGACGCCACTCGACACCTCGGGCACGTCGGCCAGCAGCTTGCGGTACTCCTGCGGCAGCAGGACGTTGAGCGACTCCCAGTCTTTGACGTGATCGAAGCCTTTCCGCTTGAGACTCTCGATATCGTTGAAGCTGAAAGGGCGTCGGCGATGGGGGACGACCTTCGGCGCCCTGTGGGGCACGAATAGGACGTCCGCTACGTCGGTTTTCTCGTTGAGGAACCCGAGATCAGGCAGGACGTAGTTCGGGTATAGTACGTATACGGGTTTTTGAACCTCGCCCTCTTTTTTCAGCCTGTTGAGGAACGACGGTTCGATTATTTTGACGGGATCGCGAGGGTGCGGGCCCGCGCACATCTTGTTCGCGTGTTTGAGGTTGAGGATTTCGGAAAATTGAGACGTCTGGATGCTGCGATCTAGGACGTTTAAAAACGACCCGGGGCTCGGAGCTTTCGGTCTGGGACGCACGGCGAAGCTGTCGTTGTTGTTGACGTTCTCTTCGACGCTCTCGGAGAGTTGCTCGACGGACTCGCTCTTGGACGTCTCCTCCTCCGGCTCTTCGGCGATGAGGTCGTACGTACGCGTGCTGCTGCTGTCGCACGTTTTCTGATCGTTGCTCAGCTCGAGATTCTTCAGGTGGTCCGCGTTTTTGGCGTCGGAGGAGTTGCTCGCGGACGAGTTGCTGCCGCCCGGCCAGTTTTCCGTGGACGAGAGTTGGTCCATCGTCATCGACATACCTGAAAAAAAAAAAAAAGAAAAGCAAACGTTAAGAGTAAATAAGGAAAACAGTAAACTCGCGTAGGCAGAAGCAAAGGTTAAAAAAACACAAAATTAAAAAAGGAAAAAGTAAAAGCCGGGATAACAAAAAAAATGAAATGGTCAATAAATTATTAACTTACTTTAATAACATTAAAAGTAAAGGCAAAAAATTAACGTACTAAAAAAAAATGGCAGACATATTTACTAACTCGCTGAATGAAACGTATAAAACTAAAAAAATGCAAAGTCTAAGGAAAAAAAAATTAAACTATGGTCGAGAATATAAAAAAAGATAAAAAAGGCAAAAAAAGTAAAAATACAGAAATGGAAAATAAGACAGTCAAAAAAGTGAAGTGACAAAAATTTGAAAAGGCAGATATATATGTATTTAGCAGCTATTAGCAAAAATGCAAAAGCCTATACAGTCAATAAGAGTAAAGAAAACATTTTAAAAAAGGCAAGAGGCATAATATCGAAAGTATTGACAAAAAAGCACAAAAAAAAAATAAACAAGTAAAGTGGCAAATGTCTCAAAAAAAATTGGGGCGGCATAACCATTTTTTAATTCGCTGAATGAAAAGATAAAAATAATGAAAGCACAAAAAGTCTAAAGAAAAACTTATCAACTAGCGTCGACAAAAGTAAAAAAGTTTTGAAAAAGGTAAAAATAAAAAGAGTATACGAAGTAAGAAAGAAAAAAAAAAGATTATATATAAAAAAGTGTGTCTATAAAATATATCAAAGGAGGAAATATTTATTAACTGGCATCAATAAAAGTTAAAGTTAAGGAAACCAGCAAATTTTAAGAAATCGAAAATTAAAAAAAAGCAAAAATAAAAAATAAGAAAAGCAAAAAAAAAATGACGTCTCACAAAAATTTGGAAAGGCAGGCTACTATTTACTAACTACCAGTAAAAACGCAAAAAGTATAAAACATTGAAATTACCAAAAATTTATTAACTAGCTCCAACAGCATTCAAAATATTGCAGAAAAGAAAAAAAGGAAAAAAAAGAATGAAAAATATAAAAATAGTAAAAGTGCAAAAAGTCTAAGGAAAAACTTACCAACTGGCGTAAATGAAAGTACAAGATAAAAAAAGACAAAATTAAAAAACGAAAAATATAAAATTCATGAAAAAAGGTAAAATAAAAAAAAATGAAATGGAAAAAAAAGAACGGAAAGTAAATATATAACGAAAATAGAAAAAAAAAATTAACAAAGAATTTTACAAAAAGAGTTAAAAGTCGAAAAAAAAAACGAAAAATAAAAAAAATACGCCTACCTTCTGTGCTCATACTTTTCTGTTTCATGAAGAGTTTGACGAGGTTGAAGTTGGGCTGTCGGTTCCCGGCGGCGTCGCAGCTGCTGGCGTCGATAGAGGTCGCCATGTCCGAAACCGAGCCGCTGCCGCTGCTGGTTTGGATTTGATGATGGATGTCGAACACTTTGACGGGTCTACGCTTCACTGTTTCCGTTTCCTAAATGGAGATTCGTTTATCGTGGCACCCCAATGGATTATAACCCCGAAATGTAGCAGACGCGTGCTTACGTGCTGTTATGTGTGGCCTACTTGTTTTTTTAAGTAATTTTGCATAAACGTAAATGCATTTTTACGAGAAGAGGCTTTTTCGTAAAAAAAAGAAATAGAACCTTTTTGCGAAATATAAAATTAAAAATAAAACTATTGTATGTATAGATAGTTTTAAATAATTTTACATATCTTTGAAGAAAGATAATTTAATGTAAAACTTAAAAAAATATATTTACAATAAATGTAAATATCATTATTATTATGTAAAGTTGACATTTAATATAAACAATTTTGTTCTGTAAATAATATTACATTTCTTTAAAGCTAGGCACGATTTTTATACAGCTAATAATTTTGTATTAACATAAATATGCCTTTAAAGCAAGAGCCTTTTTTGGAATAATTTTCTATCAAATAATAAATAATAAACAGAATCAGGGATATTTTTAAAAATAATTTAGCATTTTACACAATTAAAAAAGTCTTTCAAAATATAGAATTTTAAAAATATTGATGCTTCTTAAGATAATACATTTTTGATACGAGGCCACTTTTTAATTTTATAAACGGCCTTTTTAAAAATAACTGCTTTGCGGTTTTTAAAGAGGTGTAAATATGTAATTTTACTTATGATAATTTTTAATGAAAATCTCTTAAAAAATTATTTAAAAATAGATAATTTCACACATCCGTATTATTAAAAAATACATTTTAGTGGAAATAATTATAGGTTCTTATATAGTAGACATATTACATTTATGAAAGGATGGAACATATTTTGCATAAATGCAAATGTGATTGTTAAGCAAGGGCCTTTTTTAGAACAATTTTATATTGTTCAAATATATTTTTTGCAAATTAGGGGGACATTTTTAAAAATTAATTTAACATATTAGATAATTAACAATTTGAAAGTTATTTTACGTTCCTATATGCACTTACTTTTTGAAACGAAGGCCTTTTTTTATAAGTAATTTTACAATAGAATGATTTTAAATTGTAGTTATGCAAATAATTTTAATAATTTTTTTCGAAATACGTAATTGTACATATGTTAATTTTTAAGGGAAACAATTTTACGTTTCCATAGGATATTATATTTTAATTATGAAAATTAAAAAAAAGAAAATAAATCTATTACGCTGTATATTATAAATAATTTTCCATAAGTTTTATTTAAGCAAGCTCCTTTTTTTGAATAATTTTGCATCGTGGTTTGCCAATAACAGATTTTTTTTTAAATTTTACGTATTATGTAATTAATAATTTTTTTAGAAACACAAACACAAATTTCACATATCCATGTTTTCAAGATATTTTTTTGGAAATTATTTTACGACGATATTATATTACATTTTTGAAAAGTAGGCACTTAATATACAATATAAATAATTGCAATATAAGAGCTTTTTAAAAACAATGTTATACTGTAGACATATGTGAGATATGTGATCTAATATGAGACAATTAACAATTTCTTTAGAAATATGTAATTTTACATACGCCCGTTTTTAATGACGATTTTTTTGTTGCATGTTTTTCCCGAGATATTGGTCGTAAAGGAATTTTTCTGAAAAAGATATTTTTTAAGTTCCTCTATGTACTTATATAACATTTTAATTTTATAAATAACTTTACAAAAATGTAAGTATGGCTTTTTATGCAAGGTCCGTGTTGCAAATAATTTTACAAATAAAAATAAATATATAACTTTTTTATATTATAAATAATTTTACATATGATGAAGATCGATTTTTGGAATACATTTACGTTCAGTATTTTGTAATCCAAATAAAACCATTAAAAAAATATAAAATAAATATATTACACTTTTTATATAAATAATTTTAAATAAGTGCAAATATGGTTTTTAAGCAGGAACAACATGGCATTGTGGTGTTCAAAAAAAAGATTTTTCGCAAATAATTTCATATTTATTTTTTTATATTAGTATAAATAAAAATATAACATATATTTAAAATATATTACAAATAATTGTAATATAAGCTATAAAAAAAATACACCGTTCTCATATTAGATGATTAACAATTTCTTTAGAAATATATAATTTTACGTATGCATATTTTTTAAAGACGATCTTAAGATTTTAAGTTAATATTATATTTTTAGAATTAAGGTACTTTTTCATTTTGTAAATAATTTTACATTTGTAGTATGGATTTTAAAGCAAGGGTCTTTTATGGTGTTCAAAAAGGTTTCGAGCAAACAGAAATTATGTTTAATATTATTTAATAAAAAAATAAATGCATATTGTTTACCGACGATTCTTTTTTGCACTAATTTTCCAGAGATTTTTTTTAAATTGCGTATATGTTAAAAAAAAATGACAGATTTCCCGGGTTACTTACCGAACTGTTACTCTGGCTCTTCAAGTACACGCTGTTAGCGACGAGGCCGTTCGTTTTGCGTTTGTGCAAATTCGGCATGCTGCGGCTCTTGGTCGCCGCGTCGCCCAACCCCAAACCGCTACCCTCGTCTTCCGAATTGTTATTGTTACCCGACGGCCTGCGCAGTTGATCGTCGCTTCCGCGTTTTTTCAGTTTGCTCCACGTGGTGAAACCCCCGGAATCCGACTGCGTCATCGACGTTTCCAGAATCTTTTTTGCACGCGGCGGAGGTGCCTCGACCTCGACCGACCGTTCTTGGTGGTTCGAATTCGCGCTTTTGTCTGAACGAGAAGAAAAATGGCACTCAAATTTATATAAGGGCCCCTACCTGCGCTACTAACGGAGCTTCTCGTAGCAATGAATCAAACTTCGGGGTTCGAACGTTATCGCCAAGCGATAATCGAGTTTAATTTGTTTATTTTGAAAGTTTGCTTAATGATGGTTATGTTTTGATAGAGAGACACCGTAGTAAACAACGCTACTTAATACGCGATAAATTAGTGGTCGCTTTGTGACAGATAAATGTTGAAAAATATTCGAAGAGTTTAATTGAATTAACCAAAAATTGTCAGATTTAATGGCCAAGAATATCTTATGAGAAGAACTTCTTTTCAGTAATGTAGTTCAACATAATTTCATCCCCCGCTCTAGTAGAAAATTTAGTTTGACGCTATCCAGTCTACCTAACCAAAACTGACCTATTCTGTGACTAGGAAGCAGCTGATCGTTCCGTGGTCGCGTTTTATTCCCAGGCTTGATGTAAAAAACTTTAATCATAATTAGTACGTGCCGTGCAATTGCCTGCGACGTAGTAAGAGAGGATTTCAAATGGGCCGTTTTCAAAATGAGTCGAAGGTGAGTGGTTGATTCTTTTTTTTGTTGATTCGCGCCACCTCGTTAAGGATAGCATCTCTTAAGTTTGTTATAATACGGCTTATATCTCGTGAGATTAAATATGTCTACGGTATCATTTTCTTCTCTGAACTTTGATTTTAGCTGTTTCCACAAATCTCGATGCAGTGATATTATCGCATACATACTGTTTTTTAATTGAGTATGAAATTAGGAGTCCCGAAACTTGCGCTTTATTGTAACAGAATTCAAAATAAATATCATTTTCTAACAAATATTTATGCGTTTTGTTTATTAGAAAGTGATAACCTATCTGTTGTTTAGTCTATATCTTTTTTGAAGGTAATTAAATCTCCAATGGCGTAATCTGTGTGATTCCATTACTACTTGCCTTTTGTCTATTTCGCGGTACTTAAGTCCCATGTTAGAAGCAACTGTATGCAGGGTGGCACGGCTTTTATTTATATTGGATTTATATTCTTCTAGTTTCTTTTTCAGTTTACCCGAGGTAGCAACAATTTCAATTTGATAAAGACAATATACGTTTCTTCTTGTTAGGTCCTGATCACTATTGTCAATTCCTTTTATTCAATTCTCCACTATTACCTAATAATATCCCTTATCGACCATATTGGAGTTTTTGTAAGTAGACAGGTTTATTTTAAAGCTTATTACTGATTGAGTAAGGTTTTATCAGGTTGAACTGAGGTGGCTTTTACTTGATGAAAATCCATTTAACAAAATAAATAAGAACTAAAAGTTCAGATTTTCACGAAATCGTGGAAATCTGAACTTTTAGTTCTTATTTATTTTTATCAGGTTTTCACAACCTGTTTTGCGGCATTGTTGTATTCACGTAAAATCATTTTTTCGAAACGCACAGTAAAAACTGCCCCAAATGGTCAACACTCAAGAAATACATCAGAAAGAAACAAAATATACTTGGCTCACCCCCGCCTTGTCACTCAAGTAAGAATAATTTTTTTGTTAATGGCTTTAGCCAATAACAATAGGTATGGTCTGTTCATAGATATAAGAAAGTGGCCAATTGCTTTTGAATGGGATTATCCCAATCCCCAAATAATTAAATTCTTAGCAAAGTACGGACCTTTCCGGCCATATTTCATTCTTACAGCTTGCTTAATTCGTATCAGTTGGTTTATTATATCTATGAACAGGCTTTAATAACATCGTAGAAGATTTATTTGGAAGGGTCCGTCGAAAGAAACAGACTATACCTAAATTGTAATAATTTATTTGTTTTTGTATTTATTTAGCTTATTACTCAATAAGCTTGTGAAGTTTTTTTTTCACTTTCGATACTATTTTATCATCAAAGCATACTATAAAAATTTCAGGCTTTTAGCTTTCTACATTTTGAAGTATCCGCTGATTCGTGACGTCATTCCAACCCTGTTAGTTGTGTGCATTTGAATTTTATAATAATAGAGTAATATTGTCGCTTAAGTTTTATTTACCAGCAGTGGACATTTTTATGGTAATGGGAATCCCCGAGATAATAGGTTTTTCGAGGTAGATAAAAATAACATTAGTAAACTACTCCGGCCAGCTTAAATTTAGCAAATTGTTCAGTATTCAGTATCAAAGGTTTGGAGACACGGGTTTTATCTGATAAAAATACATCGCGACGCATCGCATTCTGCTCTGCTCACTTTCGTATAGGAAGCTTTGCATTCATTTTAAAGTATTCCAATCATGTACAACCCATAAACTTGTTCCCTTGCAACTAACCCGATGTAGGAAATGACGTCACCGCGAAGCCACGCCCAGTTTTTACGCGGCCTAAGTGTTTTCATTTATTTAAACACTTTAACATTTCACAAAAGAAAAAAAAAATGTATATCCCTATAGAATGTGTTTTGATTCTCAAATAAAAAAAAAACTGTAAACCAGACCCAAGGTCATTTCAGTGAAGTGAGAGATAGAAAGCCGGTAAAAGTGTGGCTAAAGTGTTTGAAGGTAACGGGTTGTTTGTTCTGCTATACCTGGCGATTCAATTATTCAATAAAAAAAAAATTATATAAATATAAGTATTTAGTTGCTAACAGGCATACATTTTCTTAACCGTTAATTTTATCATTTTCGATGAAAACGTCAGTGTCGAAAAGTCTATTGCCATAGTTTAAAATTTGAGCAGAAGCCGACAAACAAGCGGACAATAAAAAAATATATTTTAAATACTTCCCACAACGAAACATCTCCAATGGAAATGAAATTCATGAAAAAACTCATCAAATAGAGAAACTCTAGGAATTTCAGCTTTTAGCTATAGCACTTAAAAGAGGCTTAGAGGCTTTATAGCTAGAGATTTTAAAGCTATACCTTTTATAATAATAAGGCCTGTATTTTCTTATCGAAGTGGGAAGGACTAGCTAGCAGCTACTCATATGTAACTACTCGGTGCAGTTATTTACAAGATAGTATTACAAAAAACGAGATAACATATTTTCAGAGAAAAAAAAACATACCATACAATTATCAATATTTTTATAAAAATAGATGAGCTTTTAGAGCCACAGCCCTCAAAGCTAGAGCTTTTAGAACGCAAGCTTTATGAGTTCCAGCCTTTAGAGGATGATATGAACTACAGCCTTGATAGCTAGAGATTTTTATTTAAAAACATTGTGATATTTTTTGGAACTAGCTTTTAAGGTTAATTTGGTTAGTTTCACAGGTAGAATTAATCAGACGAGACTGCACTGTGCAATTTTAAGAAATGTACATAAAAAAGGGGTTTTATCATATTTAAGAGCCAATAATAAGTATAGTAGTAGTATAAATATCATATAAACATCTTGCGTCATTTTGAAGATACAGGGTATGAATGTTTTTTGAATAGTTTTTTTTATTTGTTCCAGCGGCATCTCAGGGGTGATCTGATTGATATCAAAGGCAACGTCTAAAAATTTAATAATTATATTAATTATATATTATAACTTTTACCTTGTGTTTGACTGAAGGTCATACGGGACTTTTTTTGTAATTAGAACGCGAATAAAAAAGTACCGTAAGGCAGGACCGTCTCTGACGTCATCGGCGGTGCCTACGCGCTTACCGTTGGCGGGATAATCGCTATCCTCGCTGTACATCGTCACCGATCCTTCGAAGGCTATCGTGTAGTTGTCCTTGTTCGCCTGGCAGGTGAGCATGAGGTCCTGGATGTCGCAGTCCAACGAGTCCACCGAGAAATTCGCGCCAGGCATCGGGGTCTCCTTCACCGGACTAAACAGCAGCTCCGACTTGCAGATCGACATCGAATTCGAATTGGCGGAACAGTCTTCGCCCTGTCGGGGATAAATAAAACCGATCAAAAGACACCGCTTCGAAGGCAGAGCCTGGAAACTACCTGCGAACTGTTCTGTGGGCTCATGAAACTGTCCAGATCGAACTTGCCCATCATCGAACCGGAAACCTCCGCGTAGGACTCCCCCTGACGGTGGGTCTGTGATAAAACGTATCGCCATTAGTATTCTTATTAGTAAAATTTTATGTGCAACGCAGAAGTTAATTTTTTCACAGCAACCTTTAAATCTTCGTTTATCTTCTACCCAAAATCACATTCGACCTTGCCACACGTATTATCCCAAAATCTCGGGTCTATCCTAAATAAACTGCCGTCTCAAACAGCTAATGAAATTCGATTTGGAACCGCAAAAATCCTTAAAAAACCAAAACCTCCCCAATCTAATTCTGCAAAACATGAATGCATTGCCCTAAAATCTCTAAAATATAACCAATTCTCCTAGCTACACTGGAATTCTTCGGGATAGAAGATACTGCTTTTTCATTTTTTTAAAATTTTCTTGGTCAGAGATACCAAAGGGTAGTTATAAACAACATTCATTAAGATATCATTGCTTTGAAGATGACTAGACTCCAATAAGACCCCGTCGTACTTGTTTGATCAACTTTGTAGAGGAAATCATAAATTCATAATCGAGCCAACCGTCATTGTTTAAGATATTGTGTTCCTACACACACTTCGGTAACTTTCCAGAGATGTTTTAGCTATAACGCAGTTAAATTATACAATACAATAAAGTTCTTATAAAAATCGTTAATATTGTTTATTAGGCCCGCCCGTAACTAGCAAAAGCGTATGAGTTTATGATGTGCGTCTATTTCTTGTATTTACGATGTATATACGGGTGTGAATTTTGTTGACAATTATGGTGTTGGTGCTGTTGTTGTTGTGGTTGTATTGTTACTTATATTGTAATATTTCGATTTTTAATAAAGACAGTTTATTATTATGATTATTATTATCATCTCCACTGATAGTAGCGAATTCGCGTAACTCACCTCCTGGCTCAGCTGGTCGGTACTGCACATGGGAGGCAAGTTGGTGAGTAATGCGTGGATGTCTTCCGTCCTGAAGCTTTCCATGTCCGCTTCGGCGAGGTTAGCGTCCATGTTTTTCGACAGGGCGTCGTAGTAGTTGTCGCCGGCCTCGTAGGCCTCGGGCAGCGACAGTATGCTCGTGTGGTGGTTGGTACTGCCATCTCTATAGCTAAATGAGGACCATTATTGACGGTTGGTTTAGCAGTTCTGGTCAGTTAGTTAGTTAGAACGGAATCTTTTTCTAGTTGTTTTCGATCCGATGCCAGTCAAAAATGAGAGAATTTCTACTACTACTACGTCAAACCTGCAGGTACGGTCTGTTCATAGATATAAGAAAGTGACCAATTGCTTTTGAATGCGATTATAGAAGGGTGGTCATTAACATACAATGCAACAAGATTATTACCTAAAGTTTCGGAATTTAAATTCAGGTAAAATTGTGGTCCGTAATAGAAAATAATGTTATACCTACCTGTTTTTAATATTCTTTGGTTTTGTATACGACTTAGTTTAACTTTATTGGTAATCATTTTTATTATGTAAAATATGTGCGAGTCTAGTGCCTAGGAGATGCTCCCGCCCAAATGTAGAAAACCCTATTCTACTGAGACAAAGGACAACAATGTTTATTTGACTCTCATTGAACGTGGTGCCAGCAAGCAAGTATCTTTAGAAGAAACGGTCACATTGACTTAAATTCCAACATCAACTCTATGGAAAATTGTGAATAGTCCCATTTCAGCGAGGAAAAAAAGAAGCGATGCTGACATTTTCTCGAGTGTAGATGAAATTGATCAAGATATAATACGGCGTAAAATTTACCAGTTATACGAGGAACAAAGCGTGCCTACATTAGATATCTTAATTAGGGGACAACAAAGGCCAATTATTTACTTGGATGAAACCTGGTTCGACACTTATGATACCCCGGAAAAGGGTTGGGTTGACTCAACTGATAAGTATAAAACAAACGCGCCGTGAAAAAGGTAAAAGAATAACTATTTTGAATGCTGGGTCTAAAGATGGATGGGACACCACCGTTGATTTATTTGAAAGATGGTTTAAAGACAAACTAGTTCCAAACATTCCTCCTAATAGCGTAATTGTAATGGACAGTGCAAGTTATGTGACAAAAAAAACAATCCAAAAGCAATTAATTGAGGTCCTACAAAGCTTGAGCCTACAAAAGGAATACGTCTGTGATAATTATGCAAAAAATCCACGGCATACAGTTTTAAAATTCTTCCACCTTACCACTGTATATTTAATCCCATTGAACATGTTTGGCACCAACTGAAATCTGCCATTCGTCGTAACAATGTTTTTCCCGCGTTAACTCCAATGTCCTCAAACTTATAGAAACCGAAGTTTTTAACATCCCCCCACAAAGTTGGGCAAATTCTGTTAAACATATAGAAAAAGCATATTGCAAATAATATAGAACAAATAATAATTAGAACAGGCGATGATAGCGTTAGTGATACTGATATATTATGTGAATAATTTTAAGTAATTTAAGTAGGTAATAAAAATAATTTCTAATTTTATTTTAGATTTAAACATAAATATATATTGTCTAGTATCTTTCCTAACAAAACCCTAAATAATTATATTCTAAGCAAAATACGGCCCTGTTCGGCCATATTTCATTCTTACAACTTGCCCCGGTCTTTCCTTAATTCGGATCAGTTAGTCACTTTCTTATATCTATGAACAGACTATACCTCGGGAGCTACGTTTGCCTAGGCGGTGTTGCCCAACCGGTTAACTTTTCCCGATATTTTACGACCCTTTGGAGAAAATGCAATTTCTCACGCAGACTCACCCGTAGTCGAGGAACCACTGGTAATCCGAGTTGTCTTGCACGAAATCGATGTCCTGAGATGAGGTGTTGCTGAGGTACAAGGCCGACCCGTGATGATTGCTGTTGCAATCCGAGTCTGGACTGGCCCGCACTACACCCACCTCACTCATGCCTTTGCCTGCAATTAAGTAACGCAAAAATAACAAATATCGTCCAAGTATTGCTTAAAACCTATTACAACAATTTTTTTAATTTATTTTTGCATCAGTTTGGTATTGTACATATACAGGGTGTTTAATGAGAATTGTAAATACAGACCTAATATTTTTATACAATTTGTATCCGTTTCTATGATCGCGACCATTATTTTTTTTATTTCCGCAACGTTTTAAGTCCAAAAACTTTTAGATTTTACGGATTTAATTATGCTGATAATAAGATTATTGTTTGACATTTTTAGCCTAATTACAAAAATTGATAATTGAAAGTTTAACGTCCCTATCTACGCCTGTTCGCGATATTCGTGGCAAGGATATCAGAGAAGGGGGAAAAAAGTAAGAAAAAGGATCTTTGGCGTTTAAAACATTGCCAAAATGAAATTTAAATTGATCCATCATTGTAAGCATCTAAGAAGGATATAAATTATGCAAAAAAGTATCAGGACCGTTTTTAACATCCTGACTCGAATGACGGTGCTAAAAAGACAAAGCTTTGAATTCAAATTTTATTGCTCAGAAACCACACGTGCTGTTTCAATGTCTCAATACAATTTTTCGTAAAAATTGGTCAATAAAAACATAGTTGCCCCTAAGAACGCACCGAACGTCCGACACCCTACAAAATAATTTTTTTTTAACTAAACACAAAAAAAAGAAGAGGAAAGTTATAATAGCTCATAAAAAGGCATTTTGCATGTTTAGTGCGAAAACATCGTATTTTATGACATTATTCAACCCTGTATAAGTTTCAATTCGAGTTATTGCAACGAGATATCTCAGAAGCACAGAGAACGGTGTATTCATCTTAAGGAAGGGACAACATAATCATGAACACTTAAAGGACCAAATACAAGACAGGAGTTGCAAGCATGTGTAAGAAAGGGGACCGAAAGAATATATGCAATAGACTTGCGATAAGGTAAAGAATTTATTAGTAATAAAAATATTTGTAGAAGTGTGTAGTACATTACACTGTATGACTGAAACTATATGTTATGTTATATTATGTTAACATGATTTTAGGAATGCCGAAGGTGCCTTACTTCCTTCAACTCAGTATGTACCTCTATTCAGAGGTGGAGGCAATCGAATGTATCTGTAGAACTGAAAGACTTGACCAGAGTTCTGGGAGCAAGCGAGTGGCCTAGATATTAGTTTGGTTATACAGTTTGGCACAAAAGCTTGGCATGAGGAATTTTTCTCGCAAGCCCCTGTATAAAAGGATATTAGCCAATTTGTTAGACCTACCCTTCATCATCTGAGATTACCAAGTCTTTTATATTTTTCGGTATGCAAAGGTAGGCATAAGTTCATAGAAACCATCAACCACCTTTCTTGGTAATTTTTGAAGTCTTAAAAAAATTACTGGTAACTCCTAGTAGGGTGTATAAAGTCAGAGGTTACCTTTGTCATAAAAATCAAGAATATTATTATAGGCTTTTACTTGGACAAGGCACTGTGGATTGTTCGTCGAGTATAAGGAAATGTGGATGGGAAAAAATCACGACAGAAATACTAGGTTTTGGGAATAATTATTAAAATGCTTGGGGTTAAAATTTTTGTTTCATTTCAACCATTTGAACAGTTTTACATCATAAAAGAGAACAATCAGTACAAATATTTTCTGCTACACCAATGCAACAACAAAAGATTTGGTGGGGCCATTTCTGGGGCCGTGAGTCCACAAGCGAGGTCTACGATGCTGTAGATTTAAAGTATTTTTGTGTACATTTTTACGCGATTCTCATGTTGCTATGAGAAATGCCCCATCAATTGGTAAAGTAGGCTCACTCGCAACTGGCTAGGGCAAATTGCACAGTGAATTTAGTCAGCTTATAATTAGTTTTATTTCCATCGTCAGGTGTAAACCCTACCTATTTTGGTAAAAACTGAATTTTGTTGTGGACATTGTCATTCATAAAATTTCGATAAATTTGATTTGATAGACGTCAGTAAACCTTAGCCGGTGGCTGTAATCAATAAGTGGCGATAATGACAACAAAATCTTCAAAAGATACTCACGGGTTAATAAAAAATATTCTTTTGAATGCGGGTTGCAGCACCCTTCGATAAAATTAACCTATATTTATTTGGAAACAATAATTGACCCAATGCATAGGAAGGAATTCATGTGTCCTGTGCGGATTCAGCGCCCGATGTACGTCCTGTATCTTTAAAACAAGCACCGTTTTCCTAATTCGTATTCGGATTACAAGTATCTATTGGGTTGTTCGGAAAGTCATTTCGTTTTTTTTGGGGAACATGAAAGACAGTTTTCGTATAATGAATAAATATTTTATTAAATTATATATTGGCCATTCTGGTCCAACACCTTTTGCCATCTTTCTGGCAGTAACATAATTTCCCTCTCATAAAAGTTTTGGTCCTTGCTGGCAAAAAACTGGTTCAGGTGGTTTTTGACATCTTTATTTGAGGTAAAGGTTTTGCCATCCAAAAAATTTTGCAGGGACCGGAACAAATAGTAGTCGGAAGGCGCCAGATCTGGAGAATATGGTGGATGTTGCAGTACGTCCCATTCAAGCTGTAAAAGTTTTTGGCGAGTGACCAAACTTGTGTGAGGTCTCGCATTATCCTGGTGGAACATTACACCCTTCCTGTTGATTAATTCGGGCCTCTTCTCTTTAAGTGAATCATTCAATTTGTCCAGTTGATGACAATAGACTTCTGAATTAATCGTTGTATTGTCCGGCAAAAGCTCAAAAAAAAAAACGATTCCTTTGACATCCCACCAAACGGAGAGCATCACCTTTTTTTGGTGAATGTTGGCTTTTGACACGTTTTGAGCCGGTTCATCTTTTCTGCTCCATGACCTCTCGCGTTTAACATTGTTGTATACAACCCATTTTTCGTCCCCAGTAATAATCCGCTTCAAAAATGGATCATTTTCTTGACGTTTGAGGAGCAAATCACACACGTCAACGCGACGACAAATTTCGCTCCGTAAGGACATGGGGCACCCACACATCGAGCTTCGAGGTTAAGCCCATGCTTTTCAAATGGCCATAAACAGTCGAATTCGACAAATTTAATCTCTCACCGATCTCTCGTGTGGTTATTCGCCGATTTGCATCAACTAATGCCTTTATCGCATCTTTGAGAGCTTCGACCGGCCTTCCAGACCGTGGTGCATCTTCGACATCAAAATTACCGGATCGAAATTTTGCAAACCAGTTCTGGCACTGCCGTACTGTTAACACGCCTTCTCCATACACATCCGTCAATTTTTTTCTCGCTTGGACAGCATTTTTACCTTTTCTGAAGTAAAAAAGTAAAATATGACGAAAATGCTGCTTATTGCTCTCCATATTTAAAAGGGCACCAACCAAAAACTACTGCGTAGAATTAATAGAACTTTTTCACACACAAGCCTTGAGATATCAGCTCTCAAGACATATAATGGTTATGCGGCTTAAGTGTGAAGTTGGTTTCGAAAAAACGTAATTAAGTCCTCTGACGGGAAAAAACGAAATGACTTTCCGAACAACCTTATAGTATCGACTGTCAAATTACAAAGCCTGCCATCGAGATGCCTCGCTAGGCGAGATTCACCGAGACTTTCCGATGCGGGACCGAACGCCGTCGAGGATTTTCGACCATTTGTTGGGTTCCCGATAAATCACCCAGTGTAATTTAACGTAAATTCTTTGTTCGGTTGGCCGCATACTTCAAACACTATGCGCCACCTGGTGGTATATTGCGTAGAAACCTGCTAATAAGTGTCACTTCGAGGAAAAATAAAAACGGCCGGAATGCTTAACGCTTAATTAAGTCGTTCGTCGTCGTATCGAAAAAAACGCATATTTCCCGAGATAGCGTTACTTTCCAAACGATCGCAAACGCGAATTAAAATTTTCAGTGCGGATCGCCGGCGTAATAGGTATGCGGAATTTAATTTATGTTTTCTTGTCGACGCCGCCGGACCGGGGTACCCACCGTTTCGCGATTGCATTCCGTTTTATTTAATTTCCCCCGACGTTGTCCGTTTATCGATTTTACTTCGACGCTCGCGGACCAGTTTCACGCCATTCATACGTCGCAAAGTTCGAATTAACCAGTTTTTTTAAAACACAGACACAGTCTGCCCGCCTTTACTTGGCTATTTAAAAAAAAATATGTTTTTACTTAACAAAAGGCAAAATAAAAATATTATAAAAATTGAAAAGTTTCTGAACTAACAATGATAAACACATTTTTTCTATTTTTTTTTTCATTATTCTACATAGTTGTTACAGTTTAAGGGGAGAGTGGCAAGGACCCCCTTGCCCCCTTGAGGGGGGCAAAGAGGCCCACCTCAAAAATAAAACAATTTTTTTTTCGTTATTATAATTATAAATTCTGGTTATTTGTACATTTTTTGCCCCAGGGCTATTATATACCATGTTATTATAGCCGAATCATAATTAATTTATTGATAGTGCTGTTTTTTGGATAATTCATTTATATACAAGGAGTGTCAAAAAAGGGAAGTATATCAAAGTTATATTTTTTAAATGGGAAACCCTGTATTATTAATTCATTAAAAGAAAGGTCCGTGTTATATATTTTTTTAAATATGAATGTTATATTCAGTCACCACGATCCAATATCCACTTTCAAAACCCTATTTGCAATACGTGTGTAGTGTTGTTAACTTCAGCAAATTATCATCGCACTGTAATTCACATTACCATGTATATATATATATATATATATATATATATATATATATATATATATATATATATATATATATATATAACATTTTTTTTTTGGGAGTGCCGTCGGGTTATCGTTATCCGCACTGAAAAGCCTTATCCCTCTCTTTTTTAGTTATAAAATTAGCACATTTAAGATTAGTTTTTGTGTCCCCTGTAGTTAATATATCATATTCAATATTTCCTGTAATTGGGTCACGTTACCTGTTGCAAATTATTATTATTACTATTATTCGTCCCAATTT